CCACCGTCCACTCGCCCCCAAAAGTGTTAGCGGAGGTAGCCACCGTCCACTCGCCCCCAAAAGTGTTAGCGGAGGTAGTAACACCATCCTTCAGAAGGCCATTTCGAACTATGTTCCTTTCAGTAGAGTAATGTAAATGGGAATCACAGAAGGCGAATTTCGTGGGCTGGACAAAAGTATTTGAACATGCCACCAAGATTTCACTCCTATCTATCTTAAACAATCTCTGGAAAATATTAAAATACCATAGACTATGCAGTTTATTGAATTGGGTATCGTAGCCATATTGATATCAATCATTGGGATTCTAGTAATAAATTGACATGGCTGGATCGACATGAAGTTGTCTGCTGAAGGTGGATTACTATTGACAGCGGGCATATTCAGGCGATCGAATAAATGGATACAAATATGGAATGCATACCGTGACCCTGAAGCAAATCCAATTCCAGCAAGTGCATGTTGGGAATTAGTTCTGACAGAAATCAGCTATATCCCAGCAGCTTTGGCTGGCTTGGGCTATATAGCAGGATGGCATAAGCGAGATGATAGTAATTTATTAGAATTACCCTACAGATGAGTCACCATAATAAGAGATTACAAAGTGACAAGCGTACCAGCGGAAATCAAGATAGGGAAGGATCAGCAGGCTAAAGTGAGCAAGTTTACTTATACTGGCGATGATTATTTATATGAACCGCGGAACTTGACTGCAGTTCAGAATGGAGAAGCCAGCGTTATGTTAAACTCAACTTTGAAGGCTGTCCATGAGTACTAGCCTGGTTATGGATGGAGCTTAACACTAATGGAAAAAGTTTTGAGTAATATTACGAGACGTGACGGGCTACTGGACGGGCGAAATAAAACGGAAATAAAATTGGGGTCTTGGCTTTATCGTTCAAAAGTCGTACAAATTATTGTTTAAAGAATATAAAGCTATGAAGAAGTGTAACTCACGTATCAATTTGCTTGAATAAAACTTAGTGTTTTAATACGTGAAGTTGTCTCCAAGTATTTCTCCGTCACAGTCCAAGAGATCTGGATCCGTAACACAGGAAAATAGAGGTTTTGATGAAAATGAATTGATTCTTATACGTTAAAAGTAAAGGATCGCTCGTATGAACGTCATTATGGAGCAGAAGTTCAATTATCTAAAGCTCAGGTCCTATTAGAAGATGGATGGAGTAAGTGCGAGCGGATGAATGAGTATCAGTATCCCTCGCTTCGCGGATACATTGGTAGTGACAGTCTTCTTAAGTGCGCTTATAAATTGTACACCTATGATGACACTGATTACAATAGCTAGCGGGCTTAAGATGCTCTTTATTCGAAAATGAAGGAAGACTGAAAAAATGGGATTTAGAAGACGTAAGTTGGTGTTTTCTGTTTTGTATTAAAGTTCAGATAGCACGACTTTCTGGGGTTCCAAGGTGATGCATAATGTATTACTATATATTTAAGATACTTAAAAGCGATAGGACACTAGAACAATAGAGCCAACATAAAAACTTAGTTCGAGAAAACTCTCAAATGCTTTCTGCTCATTTCAATGTATTCAAAACTTAGTCAACAACGACTTCATAGACTTGAGAACCGAAATAGACTAGCATCAAAACCTACATGCAAGACATGGCTACTATATTAGACCATTGAACTTAATTATATAGATTTTTTAGAATTGGAATGGAGAGGAATTCCTTGACAATGCATTTCATATGATCATAATAGAGTACAGCGGTGATCTTCATCAAAAATATTGTGAAATCACTCAATATGCTGGATGCGGATGTGTTTCAAAACAACGGATCTGGCACTCCCTTTACTTCAGCTACCGCTACCTGCACCAGCCATCGTTCGCATTCTGTATCTCCGCTTCTTCCTCTTATCTTCATGTCTCTTTATTATACTTGAGATACATAAAAACATCAAGTCAGTATCATTTACCGAAAGTGTACTTCCAAGATTTCGGGCTTCCTCAAGACTTCGTAGAACGAATTTTGCAGTTCTCTGGTAAGAGCCGAGAGATTTTCTTTTGGAATAATTCAAAGAACCTAGCTTTACGTTTGGGACGAGGTTATCTTTTACCTTTCTCGAACGGAACTTGAAAAGATTTAAAATATTACCCTGTACCAAATTGTTTTTTGGATCCAACTTTCCACTGACTTGATCCATATTCTCAGTCATAGACAAATCTTCTTCATCTAACAAGAATAATGAATAAGAATATTTCAGCCACAATTCATGGTATTCTGAATGTATCCATCTATAAGAATTTCCATTTGGGAATGGCGTGGTATCGCCAATTGGTAGCTTATAATGCATAAAGAAAAAGACTGTGAATCTTTTATTATCATTAAAGTCAAATTGGAATTCATATCTGACATAGGAACTGAACAACTTCTTCCGTATGGTACATATTTCGTGATTATCTTTCTTTTCTTCAAAGAGAACGTTTCCTTGAGGTATGTTGTATTTTAATACTGAAGCATATTTCTCATCAAAGTAATGGAATTTTACTCTTAGAAGCGGTATTCCTAAGCCTTGTTTCTGAAGTTCTAATATATTATGGAAGTTCCCCTGATCCGGTGTTAATTCCTTGAACGCATCATACTTCGAAGCCGAATCCTCGGAGGTGAAGATCGTAATATTGCCGTTGAAGTGTTGATTGCATAGCACAAATTGTCTCCGAGATGGCTCAAGAAGTGATTCTTCTGATTTTTCTGATGAGCTATCAAAATGCGCATCACTAGTTTTAAGTGTCTGCTGATCAAAGTCTGATGTTACTTTCTTCGCCGACATATCTTGCAATATTGTATTCTACGGAAATGATTGAAATCCTGTTCCTTTAAATGGTACTTCACTCAGATAAATGGCCTTGCTAGTTTAATCCTTGGCATTTCTTCATGTCAATATAATGTATTCGGAACAAAAAGCGTGCATATATGCGCTTATATAAGCGATATCACTTCACATGCATCCCCTGCAGACTTTTTACGGCACATAGTTCTACTCATGCATTTGTCTAGTCCAGATTCAATTAAAGGCTGAAAAGAAAAGTAGGAAGCCATAGCAATTGTTTATGCGGAGTTTTGGGATTATGATGACTTGACCACAAATTTAAAATATTTTGCAAAGGCTTGCTAAGGGGGAACATAATGTCTCTTTGACGAGGTATCAGGGCTCTCACTATTGTTCAAATCGGCGCATAAAAATATGGTTAAGGGACTGTAGAAGTTCCACTCTGATTTGAAGGTTGCAAAATTAGACCTCAGAATTTAAAAAATAGATTAGTTTCAAATCTGTGTTTTAATGACACTGTTGGACGCATGCAAGAGCTAAGCCATCAGTCTTTAAAAAAAAAAAACTGATGCCTATGAATGTGTTTACATTATGACAGTTCCCCAGAAAAGCATTGTACCTTCCGAACTCTTGAAAATATTTGAAAGACCTTAGAGAATATCGCAGCACAATCAAACCAGTAGCGAACTAAGACATTTAATTTGGGCAGAACTTCATAATAGACTGGTATAACATTCTCTCAAAAAATTGTGACCTGCAAAGCTCTCTCACAATAGTGAGAACTATTAAATATTGGTTTAGCATTTTTATGGTATGCAGTGGTCCATACTTGGTGAAAACACTGAGAACGAAACATCTTTCAAGTATATCTAAACACGGACCATAGAATCATACCTAGCAATAACACAGGAGCGCATCGGCCACTATTCTTACGATGCTCTTCAACTATCAAAGATGCTGTATTATGTAAGACTCTAACTCATCATCAACACATCGTTTCACCAGTTGATACAATGGATGCTTGGGAACAGTCTCTTCAAAGTTAAAGTTCTAACCATGGTATCGGAAGCTGATTTATCCATTTGTAAAACTGCTTTCCTCCCACATCTTATATTCTCCTTGCTCATCAACTATGAACCATATTATGATTTTACACCAATCTTACATATTAAAGAAAGAATAGCAGAATAATCAGCCCAAAATCCTAGCGCATAGTCTGGTTCATGTTGTTTATACTAAATCGCAATCTTCAGAAGGAGCCTTTAAGTTACTTAAGGTTCTTTCTTATGCAAAATATTACAGTATCACATTGTGATATCACTCCTGTCTCACCTAATTCGCATCTCTTCATTATTCGCATTTGACTTGAATCTAAATGAAACCAATGATTCTCCCAAAGTAGGTAATGCTAAAAAGCAGTCAAGAATTCGATAGCGGTTTGCAATGACTTTGGATTCCACAGAATCTGAGAAAGCAACCAAGAAACTTGAATAGTTTGAAGAAGCACAGTTAAAATGCCGACATCACTACTGAGCTGAATAGCGATAGCTTTTCTTTCAAATCCCTATCTTGCCATCATCGCTCAAAATGTACAAGAGAACAATAAGGACAACAGGTCAAACACAAGAAATTTCAAAAAAAGCCAACGATGCCAATAGCGTCAAATGTGCAAAAGTGTACTACAGGTACACCAATGGATCCAAAGAAGACAAACATGCCAAGTGAGATTATCCTATATCACAGTTTTGCAGGTCAAATCCATCAACACTTAGACAAAAGGATACTTTATCATGGAATAACCAAAAAAGGTTTTCTATATTCTCGAAGCGTTGAATTTTCAAGTCGAGCTGGCTAAAGAAAAAATTAATCATGAAAGAGATTAGCACAACTTGAATTTATTTATCACGTGAATTTCGACCTCCCTGGGCATTTAAAATCATATGGAGGACCTTGTATTCCATTCAGTGGGTTCTTAGTATTCTCAACCAAAGCTTTTACTCAAAAAATCGATGCTTAGATAAGAAATTAGTGCTAAGATGCTCGTCAAAAATAAGGGTGGTGTCAAGGGCGGTGTCAAGGATGATGACAGGAACTGAAGGAAAAGCGAGGTTCGAGCCACATATCTTGCGGATGGAGGGGTCGAAAGATCGGAGGTAAATTCATAACAATCTCAGACGCGAAAATTCTAGAACCGGTTCTTAACAAATCTTCATAATATGAGCTTTTAAAGCCGCATTTACTTTCGAGATACATTTATATCATGTATCTAAGACAAGAATAGCCATCTCTTATCGCGGCTTTCTTCTCGTAGCATAGTCAATTAAGTTAATTCGATGGAAGAGACTATAGTGCACAAAAAGCCTTGTGATAGAGTGGCGATCAACTGTGCCGCTTGGGGCGTGGCGTACGGCTAAAACAACTTGGTGGCAAATTTCTTATTCGCATTTAAGAGGTGAATCCTGGCTTTGTTGTTATGCTTTTGATAGGGGAAATCCAAATCTCTGCTAACCCGTTCCATTGGAAAGTATTCTATATTGGTCTCAATATCTTTTTACGGGAATGAGTGAGGAACAAATAGGTTTGAGCTTGGAGGATCCCGAACTACAGAAACGGTTTTTAACGCCATTTTTAGCGAAAAGAGTTCCACCCATCACTAAAGAGGAAGACAGAAAACCTTTCACCCAGAGTTCTTTCAACATCATATCTAGCACTTTCTTCTGGTGGCTCATTCCAGTGTTGAATATCGGTTACAAGAGAACTTTAGAGCCCAGCGATTTGTTATACTTGACCGACGAACTTAAAGTAGAGGCCCTAGCTGAACGTTTTGATTATCATTTTAGCAATCAGATTGAAAAAGAGCGTTTGAAGTTCTATGAAAATATAGAAAAAATGAAGGATTTAGAAAAGAATTCAACCAAAATTGGTGTAGAGTTCAATCCGTCGAAATGGGCAACGTTCTTCGCAGTTCTATACACATTTAGACGACAGTACGCATGGGCATGCATTTATATGGTGATAAGTCAATTGGCTCAGGTTTGTGGGCCCCTACTTACCAGGAAGTTGATTCAGTTCGTTGAGATGCACGCATTGGGGCGCGACAATAATGTTGGTAACGGAGTGGGCTACGCGATCGGTACGACTATTTTGTTGTTCCTATCAGGAGTGTTTCTAAATCACAGCTTCTACAGAGCCATGGTGGTTGGTATCCAAACCAAAGCAGTATTGACCAGAGTTATGTTACGAAAGTCATACAAATTGAGCGAACAATCGAGAATCAAGTTCCCAGTATCAAAGATAACATCAATTATGGGAACTGATTTATCCAGAGTAGAATTCGGTTTCCATTTTCAACCCTTTTTGATTGCAGCGCCTATTCCAATTGGGGTGTCGATTGCTATTTTATTGGTCTATATTGGCCCAGCATCTTTGGTTGGGCTTGGAGTATTGGTTTTATTTTTCATTTTCATGGGAGTGGTTGCCATATCGCTCTTTACCTTGAGGAAACAAGCCAACTTGTTCACAGATTTAAGGATCGACACAATCAAGGAGGTGCTAAATAATTTGAAGATCATTAAATTTTTCTCATGGGAACCTCCTTATCATGACTATATATCGGATGCAAGAAGAAATGAAATGAGTGTTGTCTACAAAATGCAGATAATTATACATATACTCTTTTCTTTAGCTATGACTACGACATTGTTTACTTCAATGGCGTCTTTTTTGGTGTTGTACGCTGTCGGGGGTAGTAGGGATCCGTCAAAAATCTTTGCTTCGCTTTCATTATTCAATATTTTGAGCCAGGAGCTCAATGTCATCCCTATTGCCGTTGCAACTGGATCTGATACATTTTTAGGTTTATCTAGAGTAGGGGAATTCTTAGCAGCCAGAGAGGAGGATGCCCAACCTTTTGATGACGACGAGTTAGAGAATCTGGTGAGAATAGAAAAGCAAAGCTTTTCTATTGTAATGAAACACGCTTATTTTGAGTGGGCTGCTGTGAATCGCGATGAAATCGAAGAAGCAAAAGCTGATGAAGGTGAATTTGAATTTAAGAACAATAAGAAAGGCAAAATGAATGAAAAGAGGATCCAGAAAGGTCCCCCTAATGAAAAAAGACGGGAACAGTTTCAAATCTCTGATGAAATGGGTTTGAACAAGGCGATGATAAATGTCAAGACCAATGAGACAACAGAGTATTCCGGTAACTTGCCATCGGGTGATACTTCTTCCGACGAAAACACCTTTGAGGGATTGAAGAATCTAAATTTGGAAATCAAAAAGGGCGAGTTTGTTGTCATTATGGGGCTGATTGGTTCAGGAAAGTCGTCTCTTTTGAACGCAATGGCAGGTTTTATGAAGCGTATTGATGGAATGCTCATTACAAATGGATCGCTTTTATTCAGCGGTACTCCTTGGATCCAGAGTGCGACAGTAAAAGAGAACATTCTATTTGGGTCCGAATATGACAAAGAATTCTATAAAAAAACTGTATGGGCTTGTTCCTTAGAGAGTGATTTGGATATACTACCCGCCGGAGATAATACTGAGATCGGTGAAAAGGGAATAACTCTCTCAGGTGGCCAAAGGGCCAGAATTGACTTGGCTAGAGCAGTTTATGCTGACAAGGATATAGTCTTACTCGATGATGTCTTGAGTGCTGTAGATGCGAGAGTTGCAAAACACATCATGAAGAATTGTATACTTGGACTTTTGAAAAATAAAACTAGGATATTAGCGACACACCAGCTATCCTTTATAAGTTCCGCTGATAGAATCATATTTCTAAATGGTGATGGCACTATTGACGTTGGAAATTTCGATGAGCTCAGAATGACTAATCGTGACTTTAAAAAATTAATGAAATTCAACATAGAACCAAAAAAGATGGAAGTGGAGGAGCAGCAACAGCAAGAAAGTAAGAGTGATATAGAGGAAGTTTGCTCTGATGACGAAGGGTTTGGTATAAAGGAGAAGGAACTTATTTATCGTCAGTTTCTGAAGCTCTCGAAGTTTTCTTCACTTGATCAGGGCGAGGAACCCTTATACTTGGATTTCAACAAGGACAAAAGTGTGAGCCATGTTTTAATGAAGACAGAGGAGAAAGCAGTTAATAGTATTAAAATTGGTATCTACAAGACGTATTTCAGAGAGGGATCAGGAATATTCCCTAAATATTTGACTACTGTCGCAGTTGTACTCTTCTCTGCCTTTACCACATTTTGCATGTTATTCACGAACACATGGTTATCTTTTTGGGTCTCGCATAAGTTCAAAGGAATGTCCAATGGGATGTATATCGGTATCTATGTTATGTTCGTGGTTTTGTCCTTAGTTTTCATGATCTTTGAATCTATAGCTTTGGTATATTTATCAAATAAAGCCTCTGTGAGATTGAATATCATTGCTATAAAGAATATTCTACATACCCCGATGGCCTTCATGGATACAACGCCTATGGGTAGAATTTTGAATAGATTTACGAAAGATACAAATACGGTTGACAGTGAACTTGGACAAGAATTGAGAATGTTAATATCGAATTTGTCAGATATCTTTGGAATCGTAGTTTTATGCATCGTATACATCCCATATTTTGTCATTGCTGTACCTATACTACTTTTATTAGTTATTATTATTGGTAACTACTATCAAGCATCAGCAAGAGAAGTGGTCAGAATTGAAGCAGTTCAGAGATCATATATTTATGACAACTTCAATGAATCACTTGATGGTATGTTCACAATTAAACTGTTTCATAATGAGCTGAGATTCTTCAAGATACTTGATAAGTTTATAAATAAAACAAATGAGGCGAGCTATTTGATTGCGGCTAATCAATGTTGGTTGGGTGTTAATTTGAACATTGTGTCTTCAATATTTGTCCTTCTTCTTGGTCTTCTTTGCGTCAACAAGGTTTTCAATATCAATGCTGCATCTACAGGTTTACTTCTCTCTTATGCTATAGAATTAGTCCTGATGTTATTTATGTTCATCAGAACGTATAGTGAGGTTGAAAACATCATGAACTCAGTAGAAAGATTGACTCAATATGCTTATGAGTTACCCCAAGAAGCCTCTTATACTTTAGGCGATATTGTCCCAGACAAGACCTGGCCCCAGAAAGGTTGCATAAAATTCGATCTTGTTTCTTTGGCTTATCGGCCCGGATTGCCTCTTGCGTTGAAGGACGTGAGCGTTAATATCAAAGGGGGTGAAAAGATCGGCATTTGCGGACGTACTGGAGCCGGTAAATCTACCATCATGAATGCAATATATCGTATTCTGGAGTTGAGCTCTGGTGTTCTCAAGATTGATGGTGTCGATATTTCGAAACTAGGTCTCCACATGCTTAGATCAAAACTTACAATCATCCCACAAGAATCAGTCCTATTCCGAGGAACTATAAGGAAGAACTTAGATCCATTTGGAGAATACTCTGACATCCATTTATGGAATTTTTTGAAAACGTCTGGTATCATCGAGGACTCGAAGTTTGAATCTGTGAAGGAGCAGAACAAAGACGATCCAAATTTGCACAAATTCCATCTCGATCATGTTGTAACTGAAAGCGGTGGCAATTATTCATTGGGAGAGAGGCAATTGGTTTCATTTGCGAGGGCCATCGTTAGAGATCCCAAGATTTTGATTTTAGATGAAGCTACATCGTCAGTTGATTATGAAACAGATGAGAAGATCCAAATTAACATTGTTAAAACATTTTCTCAATGTACCATTCTATGCATTGCTCATAGGTTGAGGACGATTTTGAATTATGATAGGATTATAGTGATGGATAAAGGTAAGATCAAGGAGCTAGACACTCCATGGAATTTATTCAATAAGGAGGAAGGCATATTTCAGCAAATGTGTCGTAAATCAGGTATTGTTGCTCATGATTTTGTGCGCCCATCGTCCACATAAGAACTCTAATCTACACTATAGTCTGGCAAATACCCCACATCGATTAAGTTTCATTTTTAGCGGTTCTGGCTCCACTTGTATATACTAGATAACTTGTATATAACTAGATAACTTGTACATAACTAGATAACTTGTATATAATTAGATAACTTCTATGTGAAATCATACTTCTTTTTATAAATCAGGTTAATTGAATTAATCGTAGGTCATTGTCATCTTTGGCATTTCAAAAATTGGTTAGAATCTTCAATCGAAATCTTGAAATCGAACAATTCGAATGTTTAAATTTCAAGAATTCCTTTTTCATCGCACTCATTGCACCCGTGCTACCAGTATAGCACTCTTTATGACACTTTGAATGCGTCGGCTGTACTTGATTAAGTTCCAATTCAGGAAAATAAGGCTGTACCTGTTATTAAATTCACTTTGCTTATGTAGAAAGAAATCCTTTTTTATTGTGAGAAGGCAGACTAAATTTACCAAGTCCCTATCTTCTCCGTTCGGTCGTTGTCATGTCGTATGTCAGTTTACAGTTCCAGATTTATCCTAATGCTATTATAATCAGGATCATCAAAAGTTATATCTTCGCTTTTTCGGCTCAAAAGTATTTAAAAGGCACAATGAAGTGATATTTATCTCCTTTCCTTCCTTGTTAGCTTTAATCAACAATCGACATTTATTGAGATGGTATGAAACGGAGATGGCCTGCCAATCTCGATGGCTTGCCAGTATCCTTCGGATGGTTGGCACCATCTACCACCGGTAAATCTTCGAAATCGAATGGACTTATCCCGTCTAAGCAAGCTACATTCACTCCAAGCTTGCTCTGGTCAGATCGTCTTTGATGATGAGTGTATATTCCACAATGAGAACAAAAGAAATGCTCCACCGATCTACTGTGGAAGCGATAGCTTACAAGCTCGTCCTTGCCCTTTAGAAACTTGATCCCCGTAGGCGCCAGGACAACAACGGCACCTCGCATCAGGCAGTAAGAACAGTTGCAACGAAGGGCCGAATTGAGCCCATCGGTGAGGGTAGTCTCGAAACGCACAGCTCCACAATGGCACTGGCCTGTCCAAATCTTCGTATTTCTCAGCATTTTTCTTCTATCTCTTACTTGATTTGAATTGGGATATAGAAGCAAAGATTTTTGTCTGGTGCGAGATTACTTCGAATGCTGAAATCGTGAAGACATAGGACTGCACCTGATTACGTCCGCCGCGTCCGTGCAGAAGACTTCTTCATGGTCGTGAATACGTACCTCAGTCGAATAAATCAGGTTCAACAGAAATTCTTGACAACAACAGAGACCAAGATGACACTAATTGCAATATAGAGGTTGGTCGATGTATATCTCTCGCAATGTAAGCGTTATTGTATGATCCCTTACGTGCGTTTCTCTGCATATCATCTTAATTATAAAGTCTGGGACTTGTAGTGCTGTACGAATGCGTTTAAAAAACATACAATAGATAGTGTATATCATTCCCCACATCAATAAAACGTTTACTTCAAAACAATTTTTCTCCATTCCTATAAAAAGTTTTATCATTATATATATAAATTATACGCAAATATTAACATATAGTAAATATATAAAAACTGGTGTAATTGAATTCTAATAGTTAATTGGCCTTACATGAAATAAATCATAGGCAGCTTTCTGGAAATGAAACTTCAAAAATTTTTTTTGAATTCTACTCATCAGAGATTACAAAGTCACAAATACTTCGTACGGGTTTAAACGAACAGTTTCACCTAAAGTTCCTGTTTTATTATAATTTGATAAAATGATGTTGCTTTTAACGAATTTTTTGGGAACTTTCCACAGGACCTCTTGACTGGAAAAATTGCAAATCACGATTGAACTTTCAGCTGCGGATGAACGCAGAAAAGAGAGAACCAGATCATTCTCTTCTTCAGATTCTATTTTGAATAATCCATAGACAAAAATATCTTTGGACTTTTTGCGAAGCAAAAGTATTTTTCTCCAGTAATTCAAAACCGATTCAGCGTCTTTATCTTCTTCTTCGACATTGAGCTCCTTATCGCTTTCATTGATGTCTATCCATGGTTTTCCTGTGCTGAAACCTGCGTTTTCAGTATTGTTCCATGGAATAGGAGTTCTGGCGTTGTCACGAGATTTTTTTTGGTATTCGACCATCGCAGATTTCAATCTTTTCTCAGAAGCGCCAAAACTAATCAACTCATTATAATTATTAAGGGTTTCTATGTCTCGATATTTGTTGATTTCCCATTGCTTAGGAACATTTACAAGTCCTAACTCTTGTCCTTGATAGACAAATAAAGTACCTTGTTGAAGAGCTAAAAAGGTTGCAACCATTTTAGCACTTACCTTTCTGAACTCTGGTGATTCATTCCCATAACGTGATACCGAACGAGGTTGATCATGATTTTCCAAGTAGATCGCATTCCAACCCCCATTGCTTTGCATGAAGGACTGCCATTTATTGACCACTCTACGGATGTCCCTTACGTCCCATGATCCCTGTTCAAATTTCGTTTTCCCGTGATCTAGGTCCACAATTTCAAAATTGAAAATCATGCTGAGTTCATTACGGTCTGAATTTACAGCTCTAATGATTTCCAGGGGATCGTTACAGCTGGGCATTTCACCAACACTGAATGCATCATATTCTTGAAGAATATGCCCAATGTCCTTCAAATACTCATGCAATCGGGGTCCGCAAGCGTAATACTTTGAACCATTTTGGTATTTCAGATCCTTGTTGGCTATTTCTGCGTCAGGAAAGTTTTGATCTTTTGAAATATAATTAATCACATCCATGCGAAATCCATCGGCTCCCCTATCCAACCAGAATCTAATTATCTTGTGCACTTCCTTGCGCACCTTGGGATTTTCCCAATTTAAATCTGGTTGCTCTTTGGCAAAAAGGTGCAAATAGTACTCACCTGTCCTTTCATCGAACTCCCATGCGCTTCCTTCGAAGCTCGCAATCCAATTGTTTGGTGGATGTCTGTTACCATGCTCATCGAACCTTGGTTTCCTCCAAATGTACCAATCACGATACTCATTGTCAGTGCTAGAGCGCGACTTTTCGAACCAGTCATGTTTATCTGAAGTATGGTTCACAACTAGATCCATCAACAACTTCATTCCTCTCGAATGCAATCCTTCAATCAATTCGTCGATGTCTTTCAATGTACCATAGAGAGGATCGATCTTGTAATAGTCCGATATATCGTACCCCATATCAACCTGAGGTGATTCAAAACAAGGGTTTAGCCATACAATATCCACCCCGATTGACTGAATATAATCCAACTTTGATGTAATACCTGGAATGTCCCCAGTCCCATTTCCAGTTGAGTCTTTATATGATGCAGGATAAATTTGATAAACGCTTGTTTCTTTCCACCAAGCAGGTGTGATTTTATTGTCGATTGTCATTGTTGTAGTAAAAGCTTTTATGAAATCATAGGTGAATCACAACTTATTTATATACTTTTTTATAATTGCTATCGCTATATTTCGCCTTTTAAATCGCTAAATTCATCGCTGTGTTTCGTTCTTTAAATCGCGAAGTTTATCGCTTTTTCTCTTAAAATCCGAGAAAAAAACGACCTTCCCCAAATTTCAAAGCTACTAACCGGCAAGTAATATGTTAATTTCAGTTCAATCGTACCAGCTATGCAAACTCTATAGACCTATAAAATGCAAAAAATACAATCAAGTGCACCCAATAATCGTTATCTTTAACCGAAAATGTGCGATAACCCCCAAGTTTTTTTTTATTATCGTAAGAAGCACCGCTATTCGAATTAGATGATCAATTCATTTCTTCCTATATTTTCATGCAGCCGAAGAAAAAAAATCCATATTATTATGAGTCAATAGTTTAATAGAAATATATATATGAATGCTGAATTGGTTGTTATTTATATGCTTCTATCGTATATCGCCCTTTGCCGTGATGAATATCACGAGAGTACACCGTAAGGTATTTGCAAAATCTTTGACAATATTTCAGAATGGCTTGAGTTCATATATTCTAAATCGATAAATTCTAAACACCTTATAAATATTATGTTGTCATTGCTGCGGTGCTATAACTCTAAGAAGTTTTCGTATTGCGGAGTTCACTTTGCTAGTTTACGCATATGTCTGATCAAGGCATACAAAGAGAAGCATTAATGAAAATATGAAGAATATATAATGCCATGGTAATATTTCTGCTTGCGGTCTGCATCCTCTTCTTCTACTTCTCTCTCTACCCAATTAAGCTAGAAAATGAAACGCGACATGAAAATTCACAACTTATTTTGAGGACATGTTTCATATTTCTCACGATGCCAAAATGAGAAACTATGACGGCACTAAAAAATTTCAAGCAGATTTGTTTCAATTGGGTTGTACTCAGAGAGCTACAAACGTCACAAATGAGAGGCTTGGTGAGTTCTTGAGAGATGCAGCTGGCAAGCAAAAAAACTCACCTATCTTTGAATGTCATCTTCTTTTCTAGGAATCTGAAAATATAGATTTAACTGCTATCTATCTGCCAAACGAATATACTTCTTTCCCTCTTGTATATGAAAAATAATGCTGTAACAACTGTGTTTTGCTCTTATTTATTTCTCAGAATAATAAGATGCATACTACTGTCAAATAGGAACGAAGGTGCGGATATCAGAGCGTTACTTGCTTTTCTTAGGAATTGAGATTAGCCGATGCTATCATAAGAAATCCATAATAATGGATTGAGTTCAGCATACGCTATGCCTTTTTCGCTCTAGTTTCCATGCTTCGGTTTTTAATTCAGGTACGCTTAGTATATACATTACGTAAGATGTTTTATGCTGACTCCTCTCCTTATTTAGAACCCCTTTCTAGCATGGCTGCAAAAGCCCAGCTTGGCACGAGCAAGTAACGTGATAATATTCTTTCCTGTCTGGGTAACATTTCTTGTAGTGCAAGATGCTATCAGCTGCAATCGAACAATACATCACGTGATGATAGTTTTAGTATGACCTCCGCTTGTAAACGTCGAAAGCATCTCAGTGATGCAACAGGTCACTAAATAAAGCAAAGCTCTTGCTCAATCTGCTTTTCTTATTCCATCTCTTGTATAATCTTTTGTTATATTATTTAAGATTGGAGTACGTACTTACTTGACTTGACTATTATTCTTCTTCTCAATGAGTTACAACATTCGATTGTAAGTATACATATTAGTGAGAGATTCTCCAAGAATGTTTCCAAACCTGAAATTGATGATCTAAATCAATTTTGAAAGCGAAATACTAAAATATATATTTGGAGAGAGAGGTTTCATCTTTTCCAGAACTCATTGCCTAAGTTCTTGACGATATTAGGCATGTTTTGATAGATGGCAAGAGTCACTAGACACATTCTACTATTCAAACTGTATATTTTTGTGTGTAACTCGTAAAAATACTGTTATTTGGAATCATGAATTTAAAGCGAAGCACCTTTTAACGTTTGTGGCATTATTTCCCCACCAATTCGGCATACCAACCTGTTTACCGGCAGAAAAAAAGATAAATATTAATAGAACTGCCAAATTATATCCCGTATCTGAAGCAGCTGCTACTATAGAGTTATATATTTTCCAGAGCCCATGTTTGTAATGAAAAGCCCAAAACATAGTTACTGTACCACCAAGAAATTGGGAAAGATACCCTGTGTAATTATTGCCGTAGAAAGTGCTTATGGTTGAAAAGAATACGGGTGTATTCCATAATCTAAATTTCAATGGACACTTTGGAAAAAGCCTATGAAGCAAATACATGATGATTGGAGTACTGAGTCCCAATAAATATCCTTAGGGTAACACGGGGTAGTTTGTGAGAAGTCGTTTTGGGCCTAATATAATATACTGAACCGCATTAGTATTATAACCAACAATAGTTTAGCCGGTCCATTGATTTAAAGGGTCAATTTCAGTTCCATCTAAATAAGGGCGTTTTGCTGAGATGACCCATTTTAGTGCTGCATAATTAATACGGACACCGATTAACTCACCAAAGATTTGAGAAAAGAAAACAGCTTTTGGCGGTAAGTGCATATAATGACCGATTTTTTGACCTTGTAAAATGTATTGAGCTCTGTACCATGCATCGCCCGCAATAGCTCCATATTAAGTGGCTCCCACTGGGTGTTTAGTTTTCATACTTTGGACCATATATCCATATAGTAATTCATTAAAAGTTCCAATAGCCAATTGAAATTTTGAAAGTGCATATAACCAAGATAAAGGAACTATTATTGATCCGAAAACTAAAGCAGCCAATAAACACCACCATGGCATAAATAGATTTCCTGTAGCAAAAATTACTAATAAAGTAATGAAAGATGCTAAAATTAAGATAAAATACCAATGAATAGGAACTTCATTGTATTGGGATTGTATTTTATTCAATCTGCCTGTGTATTGCAAATTGATACTTCTGTTCTTATTTGGTGAGCTTTTCCTTTCCTTGTATGCAGTCACGAGGTTTTTGAAGGATCCACTCAATGATGTATATCCAAATACGACGACCCAAACAAAGCGTCACATAAGATGCAAAATCAAAAAACATGTTCCAAGCTTTTTGGTAACCAATAAGTGGATAGTGGATACCTGGAGGATGCAACAATTATGATTGAAGACATCATGAATTTATTTTCCTGCTTGGCAAAATGTGGACCCTAATGCCGTTCAACCATGAATTAATTTATCTATTTATGCAGGTCTATTGGAAAGCAAGTTTGATTTATCAAGTTTGAGGTCTATCCTACTGTTGAGAAGTTATGAGATTTGAACAATCGAAGGTATTAATTTCATCCTGAGCTAGTTGAAACTTGAAAAGTTTTGCTGTGGATGGCCATGTAAATTGCCTCTCTTGTGCCATTGCAACTGCAATTATATTTCAACTCCAATACGAGCCATTTAAAGATGACGAAGAATTCGAAAATATTATCTCTTTGGACGGCGAAATATGAGGCTGCTCGCTTCAAATGTAATTTATAAGTCTCCGGAACATATTCGCCGATCTCGACAAGAGAAATTTCGCTTTCATTCTTTTATATGCTTACTATGTAAACGTTTTTCGTATAGGAGCATAAGTTTTATGTTTTTCAAGAATGTCAAAATGAATTGCCCAACTTATGGGCTTGCATGATACGTAACTTATGATCGCAAAAGCCCAAAGGGGAGACTTAGACTACAAAAGTGGTATTATCTTTTATTCATCACTGTTAAATATTTATGTATTCGCTTCAGTTTACCGTTTCCCCTTGACCCTTCAGTAGCGTTTCTATCACTTGAAAATGAAGAATCTTCTTTGCTTTGGATGGCTTTCTTTTGGCTAAAGCTTTTCGATTCCTAGTAGAATATCATAGAAACTTTAACTAACCGCAATAATATTCTGGAGTCCTTATAACTTCGAACTGCTAGTCACTTCGGCAACGGCCTCTATCTCAACTTTAATATCTTTGTTACCAAATTGGACGACTACACAAGAACGTGCTGGTTTATGGGGGAAGTGTTTCCTATAAATCTCATTGACAATTGAAAAATTTTCTTCTTCGGTAATGAAAAGTAAGACTTTGACAACGCTACTTAGTGAGGAACCAGCAGACTCTAGGACCGCTTTCAAATTTTTGATAGCTTGTTCTGTCTGTTCAATGATGCCAGGTATAATTTCACCGGTTTCATTATTGCCGACGGCTCCTGAAGTAAATACCAATCCGTTTGATTTATAAGCAGGTGACAAATTAGGGTTATTTGGTTGCCCTATCAGCCCCCATGTAATACGTTCAGGCATAGCTCCTTCGTTCGCTAAATTTCTAATTCTGTCTCAAAATAGCGGCCGAGTTTTTAATATATTTCATTTGCAAAGTGAGCGTAAGATTTTACACGGATACGCGCCAGTTTCCTATTTGAGTTGTAGATGAGCTAAGCGCCCGCGCTTACTTTTTCACGCCATAGTCCGGACCAAGTACAGTAATTGGCGATTTAGATTAATATTTTTCTTATCAAGATGAGTTTTTAAGGGACCAATTTGCAATAATGTGAAACGTTAATAAAATCAGAAAAAGCAAGAGCATGACTACAATAACTACTTTGGAAGAGAACATTAGCATAAAAGGAGAGACATCGAAGGGGTATACCGTCGGAAACAGGGGCGCACAAAATATGGCATTTGGTGGAAAGCATCCATTTATTATTCCAAGCTTTAAAACTAAACTAGAGGAACGAAAATTTGCGTTAGAACACGCTGCCGGCGCTTTCAGAGTTTTTGCCAGAAAAGGGTTTTCTGAAGGTGAAGCTGGACATATTTCGATCAGAGATCCTGTACACCCTGATACTTTTTGGATAAACCCTCTTGGCAAACACTTTGCATTGATTAAAGCTAGCGATTTAGTACATGTTGATGAAAAAGGTCATATTTTACCAGATGGTAATCAGAGCCCAATTAATGCCGCCGGATTCTCTATCCACTCTGCGTTACATAAGGCAAGACCTGATGTTAATGCTGCATGCCACACCCATTCAGTTTACGGTAAAGCGTATTCAAGCTTCGGAAAACCTTTAGAAATGCTTAATCAAGATGCTTGCATATTTTATGGAAATCAGGCTGTCTACCTGGATTTTGGTGGAGTTGCAATTGAAGGTGATGAAGGAAAGGAAATAGCAAAAGCAAGTGGAAATTCAAGAGCAATAATTCTACAGAATCACGGATTACTTACACTTGGTTCAACAATTGACGAAGCTGCTTACTTATATACTTTACTCGAACGCTGTTGTGAGGTTCAATTATTAGCTGATAGCTCTTCATCTGATGAAAAACCTAAAATTATCATACCCGATGAAGCGGCCCTGTATAGCGCATACGTCACAAACGACCCAGAAACATTATATGCTTCGTTTCAGCCTGACTTTGAATTAGAAAAGAAGCTCTCAGGTGGAGAATTTCTTCAATAGGATGTATTCATTGTACTTGTTAGATAAGGAAAATTCACGAATGTCAATGTTTGTATCTTGTGGTGACGTTCTAATGGTCTGAAGATGTTATCTGAAACTTAAGTGTATTTGACATTCAAATCATATGTAATGCCTTAAGTATATGAAAGCTCTTGTGACTTAAAATTGACAAGACTATGACTTGGCTAAATATTTCGTAGTCCTATCTGCAATTAATTGTTTTTAATATACCTTTCAACCGAATAACCTATCGGTTTTCTCTTACTTCCCTTCGCTCCTCTCATAGTAAAGCTGTATATCACTGTTGCTACTGCTGATTTGGATAAGCTTCAGTTTAAAAAGATACAATAAAAAAGTGAGCTACTAAGTGTCTTTAAGGTACACTTAACAAACTAGATCATTTTTCTATTTAAAGTGCTGAGATATTGCACAGATTCAAAATCATGTTGGAATAAAGACTGTAATTAAACTAAAAGGAATTGTCTAGAGGTTCAAACCATATTTGTATTTAACAGACAATATAATCTTGTTGGTGAATTTAGGTGGTTCGCTTTGATACAATGTATAGAGAATGATCGGTTTGTTGTAGAACCCATTAAAGCTCATCTTCATGCTAAATTAACATCAAGTTATCATATTGAAGAAATGAGATATTACATGAGACCACGGCTCTCCCTAAAGTTTTCGAAAACTTCTTCCTTCCGTATTACGAAGAACGTACTCTAACATTCTTAAGTTTTGTATAAACAAGATTTTTTTCTTCCTAACTTCTTCGTTCAAGAGCTATCTATTATCATAAAATGCTTTCTTCGGTGCTTTAATGACGGAAAGAATGAAGCGTCTTAACATGAGATGAGAAGTATTGATGTAAAAGGACTAATAGGTTCCTATTAAATTTCGTCATCAATTTTGCATCACGTGCAATAGAATTTACGACTTGATTCAGGAGAGGATGGGAAACCAATAGTTTTGATCGAAGGAAAGTTTTAAATTTTGATAAGTCGGCTTCAAGACTTAAGAATGTTCATTTTGGTGGAACCTGGATCGCATGTGCAACAGAAATCGAAGAAAGACGAATTAGATAAAAATTCTCCACTGAATTTAGTACACCGAGAATACGTTAATGTTTCAAGAAAAATTTTGGCAAAAGACATAGTTGGTCCTAAATTTAGAAGCAAAACTGGATGCTTGAGATGTCGGCAGAGAAGGTAAGTTTTTTTTTTACTTTCTGACGTGTTGACCTAGTATTCTAATAACTAACGCATGAAGAAAGAAGTGCGATGAAACTCATCCCGTATGCAAAGCATGTAAAAGGAGAAATGAAAACTGTGTATGGTCCTCTGAGAAGATAAAATCAGTACAAAGGAGGAAACAGAAAGAGGAGGACAAATCACAGGCTTCAATCGCCTCTATAAAAGGAGCAGAAAGTGACTTCGGGCAAAATGATGTCTTTCAAGTACTTAACGAAAATTCTAGTTATACCGACTCTTCAGACAAATCACGGTACACAAATAAAACAGCGCACCAAGTTCTCAATGACTTAGGCAGAAAAAATGATGACACGAATAAGAGAATCATATGTTTTCAGAAAGCTGAAAGTTCCTCGATTGGTGTTCCTGAAGGCAAGATTACACCAAGTGAGAAAACAAGAAGGCAGCATAGTTCTGTCGATTACCAGTCCACGCTAGAAGCCTTGTCTTTTAGAGGAGACAAAATAGTGGAACTTGAGGACTTAAATTCAAATTTGGAAGCTATAGTGAAAGCATATGATGATGGAGACAAGCTCCAGCGAGCTCAGAATGAAGAATATTTTTTTTCTAAAATTTTTGATTATCGTCAGCCCAGTTCTGCTCCTTCACTATACTTAGATGAACGTGGTGTAGTATTTTTTAATTATTTCAAAGAGAACGTTTCCAGCGTGATATCAATCGGGCTTGAGAACTCAAATTATCTTTTGAAGACTTTCATATCGATGTCTATGAGTGATGAAAGTATATTAAAAGCTATTGCAAGTTGGGGTGGACTATTTCTTTGCGGCACCTTCGAAAACTCAAAAGCTGAGTCTTACATGTCAGATGCGGTATCTATTTTGAAGAAAAAATTTAAGAACAATCCAAATTTAAATAAATGCGATGTCATCACCTTGTTATGCTTTAATTTAATATCTATTGGTATCTACGTATGTTCGGGCGATGTGAAGAAGTGGATTAGATGCTTTCATGATTGTAAATTGCTTCTCATGAAGTATGGTGGGATCATTAAGCTATGCAACGACTTTGAATACAATAACGATATCCGATTTTTGCTTTCCAACTTTCAGTACCATGATATCATGTCATCTCTGAGCTTTTTAGAAGGCACAAAAATACCAATTAAGGAATACGAAGTAGTTTTTGATGATGCGGACCTATTTTTCCCCACAAATTATGGCGTCGATCCCCTTCAGGGTTGCAATCAGTCACTTTACTTAGTATTGGGCCAAATCGTGAACACAAAAGTCTTTGTAAATAAGTACAGGAACGAGATCGAAGAAAAAATGTACCTTCAACTGCACGAAGCTCTCACAGAAACCGTCGAAGAGATCGCTTTGCTTAGAAATGCATTTTTGGAATATGTCAATTCTGAAGCTCAAAAGTTGGAGGCAAAGATCAACTCATGTCAGCCTTACTATTCTCAACATTTCAGAATAGTTGAAAATGATTTAGAACAGAAATTGCATCAAACATCTTTTCAGGTATACAAAAATGTGTGCAATTTATATTTGAAGATGTATGTGAAGGGAATGCCTCCGAAAACATATGAAATTCAGCAATTACTTTTACAAACATTGAAAATGATCGATGAATTAATAGACTCTAAAATGATTGTCATCGTATGTCTCCCCTTGCTTACTGTCGCAATGGCCGCGTACACCGAAATAGATAAAAAAGTTATTGAGGGTATGTTTGAAAAAGTATTAGAACGTTGTCCAGTTGGAAATGTGCGAAAAGCTAAGATTATTGTAGAAGAATCATGGAAGAGAAACTTTCAAGGTGATTTTTCTGTAGATTGGGCAGAAATTTGTGAAGAGTTTGGGTGGGAATTGTGTGTATGCTGATAACTACAAACTGATGACCTAGATGGTACCGTTATATTAATGACTATGGATAATCAACTTAACATAAGTTGTGATGCTATATAGGTACCTAAATTTTCATTCGGTATATTAATGTTGAATGCTTTCTATTGTGGCTGGGCTCAAGAGAAAAGCATAAAAACATCAAGTTGTTATATATTATATTCAGGCTACATGAACAACACTTTATCGCATCATAAGTGCATCATAGTATTGCACTGTGTATTCTTAGTGCTCCATGTACTAAAGCGGTAGTAACCTCGAAGTTGATATTTATTAACAGATTACCTAAAAACGCGGATGGCAATAAAAAGTAAGTCAAGCCGATGAGATAGTAAGAAACGCGCCTAAATGAATTTCCACATTAACAAGCGAAGTAATAATATCAAGTCTGACAGGCAGACTGTATCGTTGATTGCCGCAGCATCAATACGTAGCTGATAAGACATCTTGATAAAGTTAAGGATTATGATAATTAGAGATTTTCAAAAAGTTATAAGAGGCATTGACCATCTGCTGAAGTTTAATTTCTGATTAAGGTACTAAATTTAGCATGGAGAAGTCGAGTTATAGCGAGACAGTCGTCACCGATGGTGATAAAAAAGATGTAGAAAATATAACTGCAATAGAAATCGATGGCGATTATGCGAAAAACGGTGATGTTGCTATGAAATCGGCTTTTGAGTCGCAGGGCCTTGAGATAGATGACGCAGTCAACAATCGACTTTTAACCAAGACAGATTCATATGTTTGTACAATAATGAGTATCGTGTATGCAATACAGTACATGGATAAACAAACGAATTCTTACGCATCTATTATGGGATTGAGGGAAGATTTGGACATGCTGGGTGACAAGTATACCTGGGTCGGTACTGTTTTCTATCTTGGTTATCTTGTTTTTGAGATTCCTAGCAGTTTGTTGTTGCAAAAACTTCCTATTGCAAAGATCAGTGGGATTTTCATAATTGCCTGGGGATTAGTCTTAAGCTTAACTTCATTGCCTCAGACCTACGCCGGATTTATAGCTGCTCGTACTGTTTTAGGTGCGCTAGAGTCTGCCGTCACTCCAGCGTTTGTTCTTTTTACTTCTCAATGGTACAAAAGAGAAGAGCAGTTTTTGAGAGTAGCAATATGGAGTGCTTCTTGCGGCATTGGTGCTATAATTGGTACTGCAATTGCGTATGGATTAGCTGCGTCCGAAAACTTACCAATGACATCTTGGAGGTTGCTTTATGTGATATTGGGTGTTATTACTATTGCCCTAGGGTTTTTGTTTTTGTTAATTGTGCCAGATAATCCCACGAAGGCTTGGTTTTTGAGCAAAGAGGAGAAGCTATTGGTCGTCGAGAGAATTCGCTCCAACAAACAAGGATTTGGTAATAGCAAATTTAAGTGGTATCAGGCCAAAGAAGTGGTCAAGGACGTGCGAACATATATCTATTTTTTTGTCATCGTTGCCGCTGAAATACCAAATGGTGGTATTGGTAGCTTTGGATCTATAATGTTAACGAATATGGGCTATGAGAGTAGCCAAGCTTTATTAATGGGGACTCCACAAGGAGCTGTTGAGTTTGTGGGCATTATACTTGTTGCTTACATTGCCCAAAGATATCAAAAGAGAATGGCAGCTGCTGTATTTAGTTACATTTTGAATATAATAGCTGGCTCTCTTTTGGCATTTCCTTCAAACACAAAGGCTCAGCTAGCAGGTTATTACCTTCTAGGTATGGCAGTAATAGGCTGGATATCTTTTATGAGTTGTGTTTCCTCAAATTCTGCTGGACATACCAAGAAAGTTCTTACAAGTGCCATAACGTTGATTGCTTACTGTGTAGGTAATTTAATTGGGCCCCAAACATTCCGTTCAGATGAAGCACCAGGTTATAAGAGTGCAAAGATTGCAATTGTCGTGTGTTTCGCCATCTGTTTAGCTTTATCAATTCTCCTCTATGTGATAAATGTTCGAGAAAATCGCAGGAGGGATCTTAAAAACGAAAAATTGGATCCGTCATTTGTAAATTCTGAGTTTGCAGATCTAACAGATTTCGAGAATCCCGAGTTTCGTTATGCTTTATAGTTCATGATAGATAGGAGGTGCAGCTAACTTATTCTTTAATTGGTTTCTTCTTAAAGCTTTATATTTATATATAATAATCTCTATTCTCAAGAAATTAGATGAATAAGACCATACTCTTTATATTTCAATCGTACAAGCACGCTTAATTTGTTTAGCGTATTGGATAAGGGGGCTCAAAATGTTGTCTTCATTATTGTAATAGTAGCAGCACAAGCGTTCTTATCTTTTCGATGTCGCTTAATGCGCTCTTTGGTTGCAAATAGGTAAATTTTGTCATTTTACAATTAGCCATTTTTTGGCCCACCCTTTCAGAGACACTTCATTCTTAATCGTGACTCATGAAGTGCTTGTTTCTATACCTACTCTCATTCAGGTGAAAAGATATACCATTTGTTGAAAGACTGAAATTTCTAAGCATTCCTATAGCAATTGTTTTATAAATATAACTTCAAAATATATAAATCTTTGTTGCAATTATATAAATTTCTCCGAGCTATAATCTTACAAATTGCTCTTACCCTTAGTCCTTAATTTGTCATAATTTAAAACGGTATTCAATAAGACAACAAAACCGTTGTGGATGTCTTCTGGTGATGAGTATTCTGCAGGATTATGAGAGATCCCATCTTTCGAAGGAATGAATATCATTGAAGTAGGGACCCTGGCACTTGTCGAGCATGAATCATGGCCAGCGCCACTAACTCTTTCTAATAGCTCCTCCTCTGAAAATAAACTCTTACAACTTTCTTGGATAGTAGCAATATTTATTCAATCAAAGTGTACAGCTTTTTGAGTATAGATATGAGAAATCTCAACAGATGATTTGGCCAATTGCAGTCTTTTGTTTTCGGAGGCAATCTTTTTGAACTCCAGTTCAGCTTCCTTCATGATAATTTCTAATTTGTCATCACATTCATGTCTGGCGTCAAAAGTGAACGTTCCTTTGTCAGGGATCACATTAATCTGGGCGGGCTCCAATTCAAAGGTACCTATAGTAGCAAGGCCACCATTTTTTTTTTTTGCAATTTCGATACCTGTAAGTATCACCTTAGAAGCTATCTGGATGGCGTCGAATCTCGTGTTCATAGGAGTCGTACCAGCATGGAGGAGCGTCTCTGTACTGTAACTTTATTCCACGAATACGCTTGAACTCCTGTTACGATACCAATTTTCTTTCTTGCATGTTCCAAAACTGGGCCTTGCTCTATATGAAGTTCAAAATGAGCCGCAATTGGATTTGATCTATAATTAGCAGATATCTTACCTTTGTAACCGATTCTGACTAACTCATGATCTATTGAAACGCTAGCATTTTCGTTAATTGATTTAAGTTCAAGTGCCTCTTCTTTAGTTACCAAATCAGCCCATAAGCTTGATGCAATAAGGGACCTTGGGAATCTTGCACCTTCTTCATTTGTCCAATCAATGACCGCAATGGGGTACTCTGGGACAATATTATTTTCTTTGAAAGTCCTTATTACTTCTAAAGCTGAAAGGACACCATAAATACCATCATATCTACCTCCATTCGGTTGGGTATCAAGATGCGATCCCATGGCTGTCGGTGGACCATTTTTTTTTCCTGGATAAATTGCAAAAATATTTCCTATTTCATCGACCTGAACTTTACAACCAAGGGCCCTAGTTTCTTCAACAAACCAATCCCTAACTCCCTTGTCATGATTATATAATGCAAGACGAAATATTCCTGTCTGTGTCAGTTCTGGACCCCATACGCCATGTGCTCCAAACTTTGCTGCAGTATCGTGAACAGTGTGTATAAGTCTGCCTTTTTTGATATTCAGAGATGCCATCGTGATTTTTTAAAGAAACAAATGACTTGATTGTCGACATAGAAAGTTGTAAACTATTATATCTTATTCATAAAATGCCTTTTTCACATATTTTAGAATGCCTTTAGAGAGATTCCTAAGCTGCGGTTGTTGTTCATTAAACTTGATGCGGTTCGACTTCCAGTTTAGGCATTTAGCGCGACAGCCAAATTTATTGATCTGATATCAGATCTGCTCAGTCCGACCGAACATGTGCAACCTCTCTAACATGTCTGCATGAAGCAAAAATTCACAATTTGCCGCGTGAGCCTTCTTGGTTGAATCTAAATCAAAATAGCTTCATGACGTCAAGTAAATTAACCTATAGTGAAGGGACCATTTCAAAGCTTTTGTAGAAAGCTCCGATAAAGATCGTTGACACCATCCTAGACACTACTACTCTCTCAAGACTATGATAAGATTGAATTATAGGGCTGTTGATCACTTACCAAGCATTATGGTACAAATCAGCATCGATTAGCTGAATACTTTAAAATGATCTATTTCAGTCAAGTCCTAATTTTATGTCCCAAAAATTTATTATCCAAATCTGAATTAAAATTTTCTTTGTCTTTCCACCATCCACGTCTTCTAATTCTCTGAGGCAGTCACAGTCAATTGTCATGGACGGTTGCAGTAGCTTTACTATATTTCCCTCTTTGTTTAATTTTTTGACATCTTCATGCTTAATTAGAAACATATATAAACAAGAGGAAATGCAGTAAAACATTTTTGTAGGTAGTCTTTCTTATAAGTGTATCAAATAATTCCTATTCTTGATTAAATGTAACTAACGTCCATATTATTGTTGACTTTTATTTTATTTATTAATTTATTTATTTATTAATACAAGACGCCTGTAACTACAGGCTACCTTCATTTCTACTTACAAATAAGTAATATTTTACCAACTTTCCAGGTCTTTTATTCTTTATTTACAATTCGCTACTAAAAGATAAAAAAGTGGGAAAATTTTAAAAGTGAATCAATTGGGAAAGGAAACGTAAAATATTCAAACAAGATATCTTATTGCCGTTCATATAGTCAATTGCAGGTACTTTATACCAGACATTTGTTTTTCAATAGATGTCTTTGCCAAAGTTCATAGCGAGTATCTAAATTTTTTTTCGACAGTTTTCTGCTCAAGATCAATATCACGGATCCTGAAATCGGGATACTTTAAGCTAAGTTCATTCAAATCGATAACATCTCCTAACTTTTTTCTTCCTACTACTATTAACTCCCGTTTCCTGATAAGACCAAGATCGCTGCAATTGCTATTGGTAATCGCGACATCGTCTTCTTCGATGTGCTTTTCTGTTCTACCAGAATGACTTTTATTATCTAGATGCTTGTTAGAATAATAATATTGTATGGTATTTAGTGCAACCACGATCGTAACTATTATCTGACAAACTAGGAGGGCAGTGAAGCCTTTTGGATAGTAAGGAGCATCGCCACCACGAAGTATCTGTCCACCGGTAATACCACCAGTATTGGCTCCCATAATTATAATGGCCATGGCTATGTTCCGAGTTACAGGTGATTTGATATTTATGCTCAACCAACTGGTATTCAAAACATGTTGCACGGTAAAACAGTTGTAGAGTGTAATGATTGCAAACTTCTTATTTTTTGGGTAATCATGTGGCATTGTCCTCAAAGCTATTGATAATGCACTTTGCCATATACAGCTAAGAAGGATTAAAAGACCTCTATGTCCTTTTTTGTCTGATATATAAGATAAAATCAAAACTGCCACAATCAAAATCCAGCCTCCAATGGAAGAATAAGCATTACTTTTGAAAACATCAAAACCAAATGATTGGATAAGAGATGGCGTATAAGTTGATATTACAGTGGTCGCCTGAGTATTAATTATAGTAATTGTCCAATGAATCCAAATTCTCCATTCAAGAAAGGCTTCCTTAATATCACTGAACAGTATATTTTTTGTCGCAATGAATTTGTTGGGATCATCTAATAGGATACGTGTAGATAAAATATGTCTCTCTCTATCATTGAAGTATTTTATTTTTTTAGACCAGAAAGGTGACGGATTGTTAGGTGACTCGGGTATCGTAAAGAAGTAAAAAATTGCTATAAAAAACGATACCAAACCTTCTATCGAAAATAGCCAACGCCACCCAGACCAATCACGCACACCTGTAAGGTCTCTCAAAATAGCAGCGCTTATCAAGGGACATACAGCAGTCGCAACTAAATTTCCTGTAAAAAAGATTGAATGCCTAAGACTTAGTTCCGATCTCTTCCACCAGACAGAAATAATATAAAGTGAACCCGGTATGTAACCCGATTCAAACACTCCTAAAAGGAGACGGGTTCCAACATATTGAGAGTGATTTGTTGAGAAAGATTGAAATATTGCAACTATACTCCACAAAAATATTTGGGCGCTGAGCCAGTATCTTGCTCCTATTTTTTGCAATATTACGTTACTGGGTATCTCGAAGACTACTATACCGGTACTCATTATTTGTAGTCCAACGTTAAATTGATTTTGCGTCATATGCAAATCTTCTAAAAGAGTACTAGTTTTTGCATTACCAAGATTTCCTCTGTCCATTTGTAGTGCAAAAAAACCCAACCAAAGAATAGGCATAACTACCAAGTCAACCTTCCAAAGAAGTTTTCTTTCCTCTTCATCGGTCCAATCTTTGACTAATGTGACGCTTTCCTTGTTGTTTCTGTTGAGAATAAGAACTTGCTGATAATCATTTCCTTCTGAAGACAGCCCTAAGTCTCCTTCTGTTTCTTCCTCTATTTGGGTATCATGAGAAAATCCCTTTTCGAACTCTATTTTGTATTGCAGAGTCGTCATAATTACAATTTTGCTAAATCATAAAATTTCAAGCAAAAAGGTCCTTTTATGGACCCTTTGTGCTGTTTCCGACAAAGCCTTATGTGAAAAACTCAATTGAGCTCCACTCACAAGTGGAGCACTTAAATATTCTGATTGGCAAAAATTCAGATGAGCATCATATGTGGCTGAATTTAAAATGCCTATTAAGCCCCAAAAAAAACCTGCACTCGCGAATAGTTAAAAAGTTACAGCTTATTACTATTATAAGAAGTGATTCGAGAGCACAAACTTCAATCCAAATTAAACTTTACGCTTAATGGCCCGAAGAGTGGTTTTCTCTTCTAGGGATTCCGTACAGTGAAAGAATAACTTCCAACTTAGTTTCATAATCCTGAGCCACAGGTATCGCATGGCTTACTCCAGTTTTTCAGATACCGGCAAAATGAAGTAAGCCGGTTATCAAGAAGGTTCTCTTTTCACTTTGCAATTGGATCTGAACATATTGGAGCTTCAATTTATTCAGCTCTCTATTTTCTAGAGCATCTTTTTTAAGCTCTATTAAGAAATTGCAAATAATTTCACTTAATTCTTATGCCGTTATCTTCACTGTTCTCATAAATACTAAAAAAAAAGTAATGACAGACAAAGACTTAAGATGGATAAGGGGGTCTAGTATTATACATGAACACTTAATATCTGTTAAATGAACCTTAGCCTTACGATTGGGTACTGGTTATTTTGGGACCAGCTAGTGCTACAACATGAAGCTGGAACTTATCAGGACTTTGGCCATTGAGCACGTGAATAGGTACCGCTATACCAATGTGAAACGTAACAAAAAAAAGTTGATTTAGACCATATCTTGAAACCAAGAAAAAAGAAAATACCCGATTAGCGTACCTGAAAAAAACATAAGATTTATTTCCCAACCCTGTGGAGTAAGTCTAAGGTCATTTAATGTTTAATATTCATGATTAGTTGATCAGCTACGAATTGGGGACAATATACTGATTCCCAAAGGAGTTAGATCCCCAAAGGGATTAGTTACCAAATGGGGCTAGGAGAAAACTGTTTTCGTTCACGGTGTTGCAACCACATATAATCCCACCATGAACAGCCAACCATATCGCCATCAAATTTGAACACACTATTGAAGAAATTATACCAATAGCTAAAAAGCGAGATGTCTCTAAAAGATAACAGCAGTGATTCACAATCTCAAGAAAAAGAGAAGACGGCTGATCAAGAAAACGGCACTAAAATGAGGCAAAAGTATGACGAGGGAGACGCTGGAGACGGTAGTAAGAGGGAAGATCATTATTTAAAAGGATCAAAATTGGCGTTTGCTTTGCTGTCGATATACCTTATGATTTTCCTTTATGCGTTAGATCTGACGATAGTATCAACAATAATCTCAGAAGTTAGTAATAAATTTGATGGATTTGACAAAATAGGATGGCTCATATCAGGATACATGTTGAGTATGAGTGTATTCATTTCTACATGGGGAAAGCTTTCAATCATATTCGGCAGAAAATACGCAGCTTACGTCGCAATTGTTCTCTTTGAGGCTGGTTCCTTAATGTGTGCCTTGGCTAATACCATGAATGTGTTGATTGGAGGTCGAGTATTGGCAGGTGTCGGTGCCGGAGGAATACAGGCTCTAAGCTTTATTATAGTTACTGAAACAGTTCCAATGGAAAAAAGGCCACTAGCTATGGCAGGAATGGGTGCAGCCTTCGCGATAGGAAGCGTTGGAGGGCCATTATTGGGAGGAGTCTTCACAACTCATGTCACATGGAGGTGGTGTTTTTATATCAATTTACCTCTCGGTGGGATATCCCTCTTGTGTCTCTATTTTGTGTATAATCCTCCGAAGCCTGTTGGAAATTGGAAACAAAAGTTATTGAAAATTGACTATCTAGGAGTATTCTTATTGACTGCGGGGTTGATACTCTCCTTATTAGCAGTTACATTAGGTTCTGGTAATGGTTATGACTGGAATTCTGTGGCAGTAGTTTGCTGCTTTGTCTTCGGGGGTTCAACTTTAATAGTGTTCTTTATTTGGAATTTTAAATTGTCAAAAAATCCAATAATCCCTTATGAAGTTGTGGCCACTTACCAAGTGATTGCGGCTTGTCTTACTGTCGGAGGAATGTACGGATCATTTATGGGATCCTATATATATCTAGCCACCTATTTTCAAGTGATCAAAGGAAAAAGCGCATGGATGTCTGGGATATATCTACTTCCGATCATAGTACCTATGGTTTCATTTACCGTGATTACGGGAGTCCTCATTAAAACAACGAGGTTGGTAAAACCATTCATAGTTTTCAGCAGCATACTATTTCCCGTGTCCGTTGGAATTACGAGCATTTTAGAGACTGACCTGTCGAAATCTAAACAAATCGGACTAATTATACTTAATGGGGCTATTGGTGGAATACAATTTCAATCAGGAATAATGGGGGTACAGTTAGCAGCACCAAGGATCGCTGGTGGTGCAATAAGTGCTATTACGTTTAATAATTTTCTAAGGGCATTTTTGGGTACCATAGCTTCGGAGTTGGCAAATACTGTTTTCAATTCTTCCTTTAAAAATAAATTTAAGAATGCTGTGATGCATCTCCAAAATAAGGAAATCAAGAATGAGCTCGCGGCTATTAGTGCTTCAGAAATTACTACTTCTGCGAAGACGATCGAATCTCTCTCGCCTCAAGCTCAAAGAATAGTGAAAGGTTTAGCCATGGGAGCAATAAAAAATGTATTTTATATGTGTATTGGATTTGCAGCCATATCTACCATTTCCAGTCTTTTTATAACAAATGCAAAGGTCCCAGAAGACATAAAAGATGAATAAATCAGCTTCCAATTACTATAAGAGGCTTCTTTTTATATTCCGAATACCTGAATAATATTAAAAAAGATCATATAAAAAATAATCATCCCACTGATCTAAGACATGGTCACTTGTCCACTGAATACTCTCCATGAGAATCAGGGGATCCTCTTCGCGATTTGAGATCGAAAGGTTGCATTCCTCGCTAGATGGTATATTGAAATAACCCTCGAAGTCCATAGAAATGCTCTCTTTGATATCTTTGAATTGCTCAAACTTTTTGGTATAAGCCTCAACAAATATGCTGTAACCAAAATCTAATATACTAATAGCATAGTCATCAGCATGTTTAGAAAGGACTTTAGGAGTATCAACTGCACCACGTAAAAAGAATACGATACCCTTATTTAAGACCATCGGATCATTCAAAGAACATGTAGTTCGTTCAATTATTTCCTCCTCCGGGTTCGAAGAACTTAAAACATTGGACATCTTTAAATCATATGTCTTTCCTTCCAGTTGTAAATTGGTGAATCTAGTCATTGATTGCACACATGATATTAATGGTCTTATACAAACTTGCTTTGAAGCTCCTATACCTAATAAGAATATCTGAGACCAGAGAGATCGAATTGAAATTTTGAATGTCCTTCTCAAGGACAATAAAAATCCACCGAGAGATACAAGTATCAACATGTTATACCTTGTAACAGAGTATTGAAACCTTTTCATCGTAGATTCATCTCTAAAGTTTTCCCTATCCAGACAGACAATCTGGTAACAATTCAGGAGAATAGAAAACAGGGGTAATATGTTGAAAAATCGGACAACTATGTCTTTGTATTTTTCAGCATCACATGTCTCTAAGCTATTAGCATAAAAGTCTTGTAATATTGATTGCGATGAAGCTGAGCGGATGAACTTTTTAAGTATCTGTATACAACTAAGTAAATCGCCAACAACCACCTCCAGTTTACTTAGCTTAGCAGCGCAAAATCTGATTGTTTTTATAAAATCTATCGGCATATAATTTTGCTCCTCGAATATTGTGTCATTAAAGTAGTCATCGTGAATATGGAGAGGGATTCCTATGTCTACTGAATTCAATGCATCAATATGAAGCAAAAATAACCAAATTTTTTTTATGGTTCTTCTTGCAGTCAAGCTCTCTGCAGCATATAAGGAATCTATGCTTCGATGAAATCCCATATTTATTGCCATATTGATACATAAAGAATGCAAAAGCGTCCCATTTGAGCCATCTCCTCCGTCATTATCTCTCAAATTATATTTTTTATGTAGTCTCAATAGTATCAATGCTTGCAATGTAGGAACAGTTGAAAATTTTAAAGTATTTCCTTGAAATAACAAGCTTGTCGCATGGTTGAGTAGTTTATCACTTACATCATACAAATTTTTATCCTCTATTTCATCTTCTTGTATCGAATATTCGACTAAAAGCATTATTAGTGCAATACGTGAATATTGAACCTGCTCCATATTTCGAGCAGTCACTTTTCCATTACTGTTCTGAAATATTTCCATAAAATCCCCTAAGATAGTACCTTGATTTATCAAAGGAAATGCCCTGTACCATATACTTTCAAAAAAACGATTTAATAAAGACAAAGTATTTTCATAGGAGGGAAAACATTCTGGGATTGATTCGAAATTTACAATTTGCATCATCTTCATAGCTCTATTACCTTTCTTATGCTCTACTTTCCATTGCCTTCTTTTTTTACTTAGTGACTCCTTAAAGTTTGAAAGAAGATCTTCTCCCACAATTGGACGGAAGTTTGTTAATCCGTAATATGCTGTTCTCCTTTTCTTCCTTACCAACTGCTCATACATAACTTTCCTATCCATCCGAATCGGTCCATAGCTATCCAGTTCTCTCTTTAATTCGTGTTCTTTATTTGAGGGGTCTCGATATTGAATGAAGCTACTGCCAACAGATGAATCATATTTGCATTCCTCAAGATTTCGACTAAGACAAGAGCTGCACTTTGGCCTTTTTCGATCACACTTTATTTTCTTCAATTTGCAATTAATGCACGAAAAGAATGTTCTCTTACGTTTTTTACTACATTGCTTTGGAAAGTCGTTTATAGTAGTTATTTCCATCGTAGTCGTCAATATATCAAGGAACAAAAGTATCTGCGCACTTGCTCTTGATATAACAATAATTATATGCAGATGTGTCGATCCAAAATTTGTAATGATGATGAAATACTCGCTAAAGAACAAGACTAATGAATTGAAATCGACATAAAATAAAATTTCTACATTGAGGCGAACTCTAACTCTGCGAATTACCAATGGAATTTGGTTCTAACGTAGCCATATTAAACTGAATTTTGGAAATATTTTTATCAGCTTCAAAGCTTTATCAGTTGATGATATTTCTCATTTTCTCAAGCTACTATTAACAACTTAAAGATCGCTCAGGGGAAGCTAAAAAACAATTTGAAGCACTTCGAAACATCTTGCCTCCAATAAATGTCAAAGCAAGAATAAATGTAATAAAAGTAAGGAATAATGGGACAATATTAATTTCAAATCTCTATTAAAGGCTTTAACAACTGGGATATCTCTTCGTCTCAGCCTTGAAACTTGAAAAGGAAGGGCAAGTAGTAAATTTTAGCCATTTGGAGGATCGTACAAATTAACCCTTGATACAGCGAGAAAAGTTTATGCAGACAAGCTGTGGCGATCTGAATATCGCTTTTGCTTATCATGCCACAGAGATAACCCCCCCCTGAAAAAAGAAAGCTGGTAATATTGGAATGTATGCTTACTAACGCTTTAAGAGCCACATTTTTCATCTACTATTTATACTTCAACTGTTACATTATATTGTTGAATCCAATTGCGAAATAATTAAAGATTTAGTCATTACCGTTGAAAGAATATGGCACCATCAGCAACACATTCTGGAAATGACCAGAATGAAGAACAAGTTTTAAAAATTATTGCGGAATTGATCCCTGGGTCCTCAGATCCAAAGTCTTCATACAAGGGTGGATTTGCAGACTCTTTGGTTGAGAGCCTTCCACAATCAACGCGTGAAAGATTACAAAAGTATGCGATTGATTTATCTCAAGGATACCCTGAGAGACCTCCTACAGAGGAAATACCGATATTCATCAAGGATGCTGAGAGGATTCGAAATGAAGAACATCCTTTCGTTGAAAGAGGTAAAAATGCGGACCCTGAAAAGAAGTCCCTCTTTGGGGCAGCAAAGGAGGTGAAGCATTTGACAAAGCACATAGGTACCGAGATTGTTGGTCTTCAACTAAGTGATTTAACTGATCAGCAAAAAGATGAGCTCGCTTTACTTATTGCTGAACGTGTCGTGGTTTTCTTTAGAGATCAGGATTTATCTCCTCAAAAGCAATTGGAATTAGGAAGATACTGGGGAACAGTAGAAGAGCACGCTCAACAAGTTCATGTTCCTGGTCTTAAGGGTATCACTGTTATATGGCCCGATTTTTTCAAAAAGCAGGGCCTTTTCAAAAGCTTTAAAAGAACTTTAAATTCAGGGACCAGTCGGTGGCACACTGACTTGACGCACGAATTGCAACCGCCAGGAATAACACACTTACACAACGACGCTATACCTGAAGTTGGAGGAGATACTTTATGGGCTTCCGGTTACGCTGCCTATGATAAGTTGTCCAAGAGCCTTCAAGAATTTTTGGAGAATAAGAACGCAGTTTATATTTCGGCACACCAGTATATTGACCCTGAAAATCCTTTGAGAGGAAAGGTTAATATAGAAAGAGAGCACCCTATCATTCGGACTCATCCTGCAACTGGTTGGAAATCTTTGTTCGTAAACCGTGCTATGACGAGAAGGATCGTTGGTTTAGAGCCAGCAGAGTCCAACCTTATTTTGGAATACTTGTTTGGCGTATTTGAGAAGAATTTGGATATACAGGTTCGCTTTAACTGGAAGCCTTCGAAGAAGGGATTAGGGACTTCAGCATTGTGGGATAATAGAGTTTCTCAACACTTCGCTGTCTATGACTATGAAGGCGAAGAGCCGAGACATGGTACCAGGGTATCATCTTTGGCCGAGGTTCCATTTTATGATCCCAATTCCAAGTCCCAGAGAGAGTCTTTAGGTCTATCTTTAGATTAATTATCTCTGCTTCCGTTTGTGAACAACCTTTTTAAATAGCCTGCCAATACTTATTTAACTCGAAAGCTCAATTATAAAACGTTTCCAATGATGTAATGCTCATACTATTCAGAAACGTATTTCAAAACCTTGCAAAAAAATCGTCATGAGATTTTTTTTTTTTTTTGGAATTCTTTTCAGTATTCTTTTTCAGAGTCACTCTTGCTTTGTTGATGAATCTGTGGTTTCATTCTAGTCTCATATGAAAGCACCCTAGTCGAAGAATGAAGTTTCAGAGTTGTAAACAGACTCTTTCCATATCTAGATATTATAGCCTCTATCGCCTTTCATTTCGCTTCGACTTGACAAATGCAAGTGGCTCTAAGAGGTAAAAAGCTAATCGCCATATTTTTTATATATTTTCTATTTTCTTAAAATGAACTCTATCACGATATGTCTACATCTACCACGTTTCGATATGGAGCTTTCGTATATAATGGCTCTCACTTAGTTTACCGTATACTCAAAGCATTGAGGTGCTTTCAAGCAAATGCGTTACCCTTGAGTATTTTTATTGTGTTCTCTAAAGAATATAGCGCATCTGCCATTCAGAAGTAAGTCGCATACCGATCTACAATTTCAAATGCGCGCGTGTGGTTGCGGTATACCAAACGCAACCACAGTTTCATTTCGGGCATATTTTTTCGTTCAGGCAATTGCAAAAATTTTTAAGCTTTAAAGAAAGGTATGTAGACTTGACTTCTATACATACATTTTAAAATAAAAAATAAATGAAGGGTATTTCAAATCAAGTTGTCGAGGAGACTAAATACTTGGACAAAAAAATTGAGGAATTAGCTGTCATTTCTCAATCGAAAAGTGAAAGAAATGACAGCCTTGAAAAAATAAGTAATGAAGGAGATTTATTAGCAAAATTTGACATTCCGGAAGACTTGAAAGACAATTTAACGGAAGAAGATATAGAATTCCTAAATATTAAAGTTATTCCTCAGCCATGGTACAAATGGTTCTCTCCTACGGATACTGCTAAAGAAAAACGTTTAGTTCTCAAATTAGATTTATTAATTTTAGTATACCTATTTTTATCGTCTTTTGTGAAAACCTTGGATTCAAGCGCAGTGAGTTACGCATATGTGTCTGGAATGAAAGAGGATTTAGGTATGTATGGTAATGAATTGACATATCAAAGTTCATGCTACATGGCAGGTTTTATTGTTGGCCAAATTCCCTTGACCATGCTAGCCACGATAATACCAGTGAATTACTATTTACCTGCTATGGATATCGTTTGGGCTCTTTTTACATTGTTCATATTCAAAATTGAGAATTATCGTCAGTTGTATGCTTTGAGATTTTGTATTGGATTATTGTCTTCGTTTTTCTTCCCCACCGTGCAATTTATTTTGGGTTCGTGGTATAAGAAATCCGAAATTGTTATTAGATCTGCAATATACTTCGTTGCATCTCAAGCGGGAAGTATGGCCACAGGCTACATTCAGACAGCTGCATATTCTCATTTAAGTGGAAAGGCTGGCCTCAAAGGATGGCAATGGTTATATGTTCTAGCATTCATCATCGCAGTTCCTATTTCAGCCTACGGCTTTTTTACAATTCCTGGACTCCCCGAGAAAATAAACAGAAAGTCGTTATTGACTGACGATGAACTCAAATTAGCAAGATTAAGAATGATTAGAGAAGGAAGACGCACAAATGATAAGTTGACAATCTCGGTCATTCGTAAAACTTTAAAGGGATGGAGATTTTGGATTTTGGTTGTGTTTGCAATATTTTTTTCCCAAGCAGACGGAATTAGTTCAAATAACGGATTGCCTCTATGGCTAAAGGCAAGTAATTATTCTGTCTCGAAGATAAACACGATAACTACGGTTATTCCTGCAGTTACAATTTTTTTCTCATTATTGAATGGAATTGTCGTTGATTCATGGGAGGACTCCCACCCTTTCGTTATTTCTTATGTTGCAGTGTTGAATTTGATAGCAGGAATATTATTGGTTATATGGAATATCTCCAAAGGAGGGATTATGTTGGCATTCTTTCTTTCAGGAACGGCCGATAGCATTGCTGCTGTTTTGTATTCTTGGGCTAACCTAATATGTTCTGAAAACTCTCAAGAAAGGGCTTTAACTTTGAGCACTATGAATACATTGGGAAATACTTTTTCAGTTTGGGTTCCTTTGTTCGTTTGGAAGACCGTTGATGCACCTGAATACAAGAAAGGATATGGTTACAACATTGCGTTAGATGCAACGATGTTGATTTTATTGGTACCATTAACTTATCTTTATAAAAAGTCTCAGAAGAAGGAGAAACCAAATGAAAATGAGCTTTGAACACTATTTTGCATTTTAATTTTTGCACCAATAGTGTTTTATTGTTTACTTAAATAAGACCTAGCACTATCAATTAGATATAATAAAAGATTCCCGTCATACTTTTAAATGCTGTTTTTTTTGTCCCTAGTGTATTTTCGAAATTATAGTGTAGCTTCAGAATTTGAATCGAGCCTATCGTGAGACGAAACATTATTGCGGCTCCAATATTTTAGCTTTAATTTTTTGGCTCTATCTAGAATCTCAAGCCATGATTCTTCGAAAGGCTGAAGCTGGTGCCCAATTCCATTACCTTTTCCTGCCAATCTTATTAAATCTTCATAATAAGTTTGATAATCTGGAGGAATAGCATGGAAGGCTGGAGAGTTCCCTTTTTTGCACAATAATTCTAATTCCCATTGCTTTTGCTTTTCAAGGCTGGGTAGATTCGACCTATCAGCAAGAACCCTTGCTATCAAAGTAGATTGGTATTCAAAAATCCTAAATGTGATAGAAGCAATAACTATTCCAACAAAGGACAAAGTTGGATCACCGATTTTGAATATGTGCTGAAACAAATTCTCCACTCGATTATTACTATTAACGATAATTTCATTGTCTTTGAAGAAGGGATAATCATAGACATATCCTGTTGCAAGTATTAGCTTGTCGATTTCTTCGAGCGATGTGCCATCTTCGAAATATACTATCAATTTTTCTTTATTTTCGGATACATCTATTCTTGTTATTTCAGGTTTAATTTTAAGATTCTCATTTATTTTGAAAGAGTCATTAAAATCGTTTCTTGGCTTCTCACCTCTCGACGATACAAAAAGAGGGCTTTTTACAACGGGTAAAATATCGCTAACCAAGTCTATAGATGATATACCTGTTCCTACCACAAGAATTCTTTTATTAATATAATCATCGATATTTCGAAATGAATTGGTGTGCTGAATTAAGCCCCTATTTACCTTCTGAGCTTCACATAACCCTAAAAGATTTGGTATATTTGGGATCGAATAGTGTCCATTGGCAACAATTACGGCATCATAAGAATCCTGATACCAATAGTCTTGGTTATCCTTGTCTCTGTTAAACTCTCTTAAAGTGACAACCCACTTCGTAGCCCTTTTAGCGATCAATTCAACAGAAGTGTTATATTTCACTAGATTCTCGTACTGTTTGAACTCTTTTTGGATGAAATCCTTTACTATAGTGATATGTCTGAACGGATGATCAGGGCCGAATAGCTTAATAGAGTGATCGGTTCTCTGTTCCTTGATTCTAGAATAAGAGAAAGACATCAAAGGATCCGGAACATTCGTTTCTAAGTATTCGTATGCTGCAGACTTGAAACCTTTAGGAAATCCCTGCGTAGGATATTTTTTGGGAAGATTGTTGGGAATTTCTATATCTCTGGTATTCTCCTTTTCGTCTACTAATGTCAATTCCTCAGGTATCTCATCATACACCCTTTGAAGTTAGTATGGAGAATACGATAAAGGGAAATTTTTAACTTACCATAAGCCACCTGCTTGCTCTTTTCTTTCAAACAATTGTATCTTTTTGAAGCTTTTTTCAGAAAGTAATGAATGTAGAGTTGCAAGACCTGCAGGACCTCCTCCAATGACAGCAACAGATTCTACTCTACCTGTAGTCATCTTATCTCGGGAAACCTAAAAAAAAAATTAAGTGGGTGAGATGCCTTCTATATTTTATTAGTGTGTACTGGGGGCATCCTATTGATTGAGTCTTTAAACATAGAATTAACTGGGCAAAAAATCTCTTGCTGCAAGTTTTCTCGTGCATTTTACTAAAAAAACAGGATCCACAGAAATCAGAAACTGTAAATCGGCACTTTTTCAGAAACGAAAAACCACAGTTTATCCTCTTATTTGGTCCCATTTAGGATGCCATAATGTTTTGAAGTGGTTAAATAAAGAAAAGTTTAAATTTTATACATTCCCTCTAAAATGGTTATTGAAAGCTAATTGCTTGTTGAACTGCTTTGTTATTCTCAAAAGGTCGGCACTTGCCCGTCCTTTAAATTAAAAAGATACCTTGTGATGACAGAAAGCTTGCTTATCAATTTTTTTCAATTAATATATAAATTGTTATCTTCAAGATATTTTCAAACTTAAGAAAATGATATTAAATATTAATTCTAAAAAAGAAATTATTAACGGTAACTGAGCATAAATGAAGGAAAGCAGACGACAAACAAACTTTTAGATTCAAGACTAAAAAAAAACAGATGAAGTGCGACAGCAAACAATTCAGCAGTTCAAAGGCATAATTAAGGTATACTGAATGTTTCATGCGGAGAGCTTTGGATTCCACTCTTTTGGCCGGTTTTCTCCATTGTCCCACATGCTGACCAAAATAACTCTGTTACCATCATACCAGGGAAGTCTTCCATGGGATACTTGATAGTTATCTACAAGAACTAAATCACCATCTTCCCACTTATGATTAAATTCTAGCAGTAAAGAAATTTCTAAAATTTTTAAAAGTTTATTTTTAGGTATTAACTCACCATCGCTAAAGGCGATAGGTGCATAATACCCACCATCATTACCAATGTATGGAGGGTCCAACGCTTCTTTATCTCTGGCAGTACCAAAGCGGCCAACTAGTCCGTTGAAAAAAATTGGTTTGCCTGAAACGGGATGAACTCTAATAGGTGGAACATGTTGATGAATTGTTACGGATTCATCTTCATTCCAAGTAAAATCATCAGTCAATTTTCTGATCATTACCTCGGCCTTTTCTTTTTGAACTTTTCGAGAATCTCCATCTTTGATAAAATGACCGAATGCATCAGCGTCTTCCCAATGGAATTCATTCCCTTCAAAATTTCGTTTCGATAATTTGCTGGGATAATTTTGCGAGCTTTTAATCCTTCTTTGGGCTAACTCTTCGATAAATTCTGGCATTGCTTCATAAACCTTTTCAAAAAGCTCTGCAGAATGCCCCAATGGCGTTTCTCCTCCTTGTGTGGCGGCCTCGCTACAGAAAAAGTGAATATATGGTGGAAAATGTGTATATCTGGCGTATTCGTTGTGTTGGTAGAACCTTATACTTGGAGGACCTTCGTTAGCTGTAAATACATTCTTTGCTTTTTCGTGCCTCTTTCCGGCAAGACCAATCTGCTGATAAGGTTTGTTACCTCTTCCTTCTTCTATTGCAGTGATTAATTTCGAAAAATGGGCAGCACTAGAGTGACCAATATTTTTTATCAAAACGGCGCCATGTTTGAAAATTAAATCGTCAAAGATACCTTGAGATGAAATATCTTTAAAAAAACTGAGTGAATTCTCTAAATCTTCATTAAAATCAAGTTTCAAAATGTAGGGAAAATCTACTCCATCAAATTGTCTTGAAGTCGGCTGCTTTTCAAGTGTTAAAATTGAAGAGCCATAAATCCCTTGCAATTTACTAGGATCATCAGAAATTATTCTATCCTTTAAACTGTCTCTTATCGCCATACTCAATAAAAGAATTTTACTTTCCTTTCTCAGTATTTCTGCTAAACCATATATCTTTGAGGTATGCGCCTACTGTAAAGTGCCACAGAACGTTAGAGATTGCGCCATAGAGTCTATAATTGTATTTTAGTCAAAGCCCCTACATAAGACGGGGAATGAAAAATAGTTAGATATCCTTCGGTGATTTGACTGGTCACATAATCTAGATCTTGCATTCATAAACTGGAATTTAACTTGGCATCGCGTCAGAAATAGCAAAAATGACAATTCGGTTAAAATTTTCCTTTTCAGCGGGGGAAGAGACGACTTTACCGCTATTGTGGCTGCAAGATTGAAATAGAACAAAAAATTTTTGAAAACTCGCCATAATAGCCATTCTAACATATGCTTGTAACTATCAGAATATATAAGATAACCTTGCAAGCCCAACTTAATTGACAAAGGTTAGAGCCAAAATGGGTACCGCAAATAGTATTCAAGCTAAAGAAATTTCTGAAAATGAGAGCGATGATACTACCCTTCAGAAAAAGAATATTTCGGAAAGCCTTGATGGTCTGAGTTCATTAAAGGCACCTGAGTTTCAGATCGTGACTCAAGAGGCATATTCTCATCCTATCATTGAACACAAGAATACATGGAAGAGCCTTGTTTGGGATACATGGGGACATCCCGATAAAAGGCACGTCAAAATTATTAGGAAACTCGACTTAACGCTATTATTATTCGCGACCGTATCTACATTCATAAAATACATCGACAAGACAAATTTAACATCTGCTTACGTTAGTGGAATGCTGGACTACTTTGAAAAAAAAGGCTATGAACTTACCATTCAATTAAATTGGGCGAATAATGGTTATAATATTGCAAGCATTGTTTTTGGATACCCTTTCGGATATCTTATGGCTAGATACAGTACTAAATGGCTAGTCATATCGATTGAAGTTGCTTGGATAATAGTTACTATGTGCTTTAGTTCAATAAAATCTCCTACACAAATGATTGTCCTAAGAACGTTATTAGGAGCATTCGAGTGTGGTCACTATCCAGCACTTTCCTTCTTATTGGGATCTTATTATACAAAGGAAGAATTAGCTAGAAGAAATGTGTTGTTACAAAGCTCAACTGCCCTAGGTTCCATGTTTGCCAGTTATATCCAAAGCGGGGCCTACACTCATTTAGACGGAAAGCTCGGAAGAGAGGGTTGGTCTTGGACTTTTATCATAGATGGGGTCATCAGTTTGGGGGTTTTAGTTCCCCAGATAATATTCTTTCCCGACATTTTAAGCAGGGCTACTCCTGGCTTGGTATTCTCAGAAGATGAGATAGAGTATTTACAATCGAGAAAGCCAGAATCAAGAAATGAGAAATACAACTTTAGCCTTAATGATATTAAAGAAGTGTTCACTACTTGGGAAGTTTGGGCTTTTTGGTTTTTTGGGGTATCACAAGATATTGTATCGCTTTCAATGGTAACATTTATTTTTTGGATTGAAGGTTGGAACACGATAAAAGAAGGTAGCTATTCGGTCCCCCAAATAAATAACTTCAACTCGATATTATATGCTGTGCAATACCTTGTAGCTATTGTTACAGGTTGGTCTTCAGATACTTTTCTAAGAGGAAAGAGGTGGCCCCCAATTGTCCTAGCTGGATTGATTTCTTTTGTGGTAACAATTATTCTAGCGTCAACTCCTGTTTATCCTCACCATAGAGGTTTTAGGTTCTTTTTATACTTAAACACATCTTGGGCTTTGGGAACTGCAGGTCTCTATTGGGCTTATGCTCAAGAGTACTTTGAATATAACTTTAGATTGAAAGCAATTGTGACAGGAGGAATCAATATTTACTCTTTCACAGCTAACTGCATTGTAAACCCTATATGGTTTAGAACAGATAAACAGCCTTACGTTCAAACAGGTCACTACATATCAGCTTTTTTCGCTTTTTGGTATGCTGCTGTTGCTGCGCTTCTTGGTTGGAATGAATATAGAAAAAGTAAGGCTATCTCTCAGCTTTCATAGTTCTCTATATTCCATCTAAGAAATAGAGTTTGAAGTAGAGGAATTTGACTTAGGTGAAGCAACCATTAGCCCATCTTTTAACTATATCATACGTTACTATATTTGATGCACAGAAAATAGAGCTATATTACAAAGCTTGAGAGATTTATCCAAAATATAATACTTAAATTTTAGGACACAAGTTCTTCTGAGTCAATGAATTCACTTTAAACGCAGTAACAAGTTACATTTTATGCTTTGGATGAGGGAAGGGTCGGTAACAATACTGAAAAATAAATCAATTATTTGAAAAAAAATTGCCGCAAAAAATTCTTTCACGTGCTTTGCTAAGAACTACTGATAGTGCAGAGAGTTTGCCAACAGATGCAATATCAAGAGCTCAGACTATACCTAAAAATTCTATGATAATGAATGAAAATAAATCAAACCTAATAATCAGATGATGATAATGAGAAGATTTTTGTTCTTAAAAAGTCAGGAACATGATTAATTTCAAAGAAAAGTAAATTTATGCTTCAAGGTTTATGAAAATGCTCAGATCTCTCTATTAAAGATATTCTAATATATGTACAGAAAGGCTTGGTATATATTATGAAGCAATTCAAATTACTTAATTACATCAAAAAGACTTTTCAGAAAGAATCTTCAAGGTGACTCTTAGATTCAAGTAGAGAACGCAATATTTGGATTTCTAATTTGAATTGCCATTTCAGCTCATTCTGGAATAATAATATATTCGGCTCTTAGATCCCAGGATCTAAGTCACTATTAACATATGATTAAACAGTAGTACTTTTATTCATGAAACTGACTCATCTTTAATTCCACTTCGCATTAGCTTTTTCATTGAGATATAAAGATCAACTTGGCAGTATACATCTCTTGAGCCAATCACGACTTATGATCAATGAAATTAACCCATAGCATTTTCCATATGCGAATCAAAGCTAGATTCTGTTGTATCGGGGAAGATGGAAATTCTCACCCGAACCTGGCAACCTTTGGAGAAATTACTGTGGACCAATAGAGCGCCACAAAAATGATGGCTTTTGTTGCTAGATGATTTCCTGACTCAATTTTCTTTGAGATTGTAGTATCTCTTATTCAGAACCATCAATTAACATCTCCCAATAAATTTATGTACCTTTAAGTTGTCTGGCTTGATTACCATAATTTGGAAAAACAAAAAAAAAACAAAAAGAATTGCAGATCATAGTCAATTTTTTTTTTTATTTTAATTTATTTTCATTGTTTAGGGAAAAAGAGAATGCATCATCTGTCTACAAATGGTAGGAAGTAAAAGATTGAGAGCTTCCAATGCTTGCGAATATTGTCGCCAAAGGAAGACAAGATGCGATGAAGGAAACCCTTCTTGCTCTTTATGCTTAAAACGCGGTATTACTTGCCACTACAAGCAAGCCACTCCATCGAAATTAGAGAAGTCGATCAACGATATCCACCTCAAAATTGAGAATATTGAGAAGAGGTTCCAAGCGATGGAACAGCAAGGCAGCTTCAATGGTCGCAGAGTGGGAGAACTGCTGCTGCTAAATGATTCTTGGTCTGCAAAGCGGCCAAAGGTTGAAGTGGAATCAAGTTGGAGTAACTTCTTTCCCTCAAATAGTATATCGGCTGAGATAGACAACCTAGCTGATTTGGTGACCAATGAGGAGCAAAATTCCGAAATTTTAGGACAGAATATGTATTTAATTCCGAATTTGAGCACGCTGATGGCAAAGCTCAGAACGTCTGCGAAACTCTCTCTCAACTCATGTTATTTATCTTTGAATTGTGAAGAGTTCTTAATAGAAGAAGATAAATACTCTTATAAGGGAAGACTTGACGATTCGACCCTTCAATACAACAATGTTTTCTCAACATCTTTAGTTGAGAATTTTATCCAATCGTATTTGAACTACATCTATCCAGTTTATCCTTTGGTATGTGAAGATCAACTAGGTAATATTCAAAATGAAATGTCTACTATGGGACTTCATAGCTCGTGTCGAAGCTGTATCTTGTTAATGGTTTTGGCGTTAGGGTCCGTTTCAAGTTCAGGTGATCTGAAAAATTTAGTAGCTGTTCCTTATTGGACAAGTGACGAGTATAAACAAGAGGGTGCCAAAAATCTTCCTGCGCCTCCAGGTTGGAGCTACTTATGGTTAGCTCTTGCCATGAAAGAGCGACTAATTACTTGCGAAAAACCCGGATCTGCAACTGTGTGCATTCAACTCTTATTTTGTCTCTATTTTCTTAAAATTGGGGATTTGACCTCTCATTACATTGAATTGAAACATTCTTCTACACAGTTATACTGCTTATTATTGAAACAAAGAAACACTGAATTATCAGGTCTATCCGTTTCTGAAGACGAAAAAGAAAAGTTGATTAGGTTCTTTTGGATATCGTTGAGAATGGAAAGAGATTTTCAAAGAATGGTCAATATTGAGACATCTCCGTTGTCTCAATTACAAAATTGTTTGGATTTGCCCTCTGCATGCTCTACAAAGTTTCCGCGAGATTCTGTTACATTTTATACTTTCTGTTTTATGACAAATGTTTTGCTTTCCAACATCAAAGATAAGACAATTGCAGTCTTGGTGAATGTTGGTAAATTTACCACTGACAATATTTTTCTGGCTATATCAAAATTTGAGTCTGATTTAAAAAAGTGGAGACTGTCATTGACTGTTGATATACAATGGGAGGAGTGTATGTTCTTGGAAGAAAGGGGTCCTGAAATGACTTCATTAAAGTTGACCTATTATATTTGTCTTGTTTTCGTCTATCATCTCCTAATTCACCATATAAACCTCACCGATCTTGATATTTCAGAGAATTTTATAGCAAAATCTATTCTTAGGAAGTCTGTCGATTCTGCTGTGAGAGCCATAGAATTATTCTCGAGCATGTCAATAGATGAACTTACACCAGGGGTATGCCATGACTTGCTGATCTCAATGAAAATATTGGACGAAGCTATTTCAATCTTGGATGATTTTGAGGAGGAAGCTGACATTTCTAGAGTTCTGAGTAAAGCTCCTTTGATTCAACTCAATCTTGAGAAGTTTGGCCGTCATTCTCCCTTAATTGAAAAAGATTTAAAAACTTGTGACGATATTTTACAATTGTTAGGTAACAAAGCTAGGACCTGAAATATGCTAGATATATATAAATATATATGACCAACCCCAACAACATATAGACTCAAGTCTTTTTGATGTTACATTATGTTACCTTTGTCCCTTAATGATAAAAAAAGAAAGTATGTTGCGGCAATTCAGAAGTGGAAAATATCTATCTTCATTTCGATACACTCAAGAGATAACATTAAAGTACTGAAGTTGGGTAAATATTTCAGATTCGTCACAGAATGGGTAGTTTCTTCTTTATCTCAAAGTATTGTGTAATTTGATAGCTTTCTAATAACAAAAAATTTCCCAATTTTGCTACATTTAAATGCTTTTGAAGGGAAAAAATTTGAAAAGGTATCGACATCGAAGTCAAACTAATCATTTCAACAATAGCCGCAAATATACCATCGTGTGCCAATTATTGTACTTAACCCTCGCTTTTTGTACGCGCATTATATGTAGTATGCAAGTTCCATGAATTCGCTTATTGTAGTAAAATAGAGTAATAGATGAATACGAGCATCAATTAACCATCCTATACTTTTTTCTCACTTGGACAAGTGAGCTCTACTAAGTGTTCCTCTTCAATGCTCCCTGGTTCAGAGTCAACCATGTCTTCCTCTAATTTTTTTGTTATGTCTTCTTTATCTTGCTTATCTTTTAAGACTTTGGTAATAAGGGCCCATATTACAAGCAATATAGAAATTATAATTGAAGTAATCATACCTTTGTGGTATTTTGGAGCGTCGTCTGCGGGATAAAGGAGTGTACCCCAAAAGCAAAATAATATTGAAGAAAACATGTTCATACAATACAAAGTTAATGCTCTCAAGGGATCATCACCTTGACAAATTTCATTCGCCCAGGCGAAATAAATCGTTTGACCTCCATATGATGTTCCAGCTAGGTAATAGGCAAATAACCTGCCACCTAAGGAGACATCCCATTTTAATAATATTGAAGCTGATATGAGTTGCAAAGCGCCTAATACGCTAACAAATTGCCATTTCAGATTAGGCAAAGCATCATTATATACAGCAGCAACCAATATTGTAAATATAGCAATACCATTTATAGCAGTTGGCCACTCATTAATTTGGGCAATAGAAAATGTACCTTCCGCTTTTAGAGCCAAAATCATACAAGATTGGTTTGAGATTGCTTCCAAGGCACCACCAATAACCCACAACATGCTTAGAGTTGGAAGTTTCCAATCTAAAAGCGCCCTTCTTAAGAGGTTCCAATTCAACTTTGTATTTGGCTTGGGAGGTGGCAACCTATTTTTTGCAATTTCTAGTTCTGATCTTTTGAAGTAAAACATCGTGGTCGTCGTTGGGGTGTCGGGAAAAAATAGGACGCCGTAGATGGAGAGTGGAAACACAGCTAAACCATCAATTATAAACATCCATTTCCAACTTGCAAGGCCGAGTCTGCCATTTAAACTCTCATGAATAGCTGTTTGAATATAACCTGAAATCATGGAACCAGCAACTCCAGATGCAGCGAAAACTCCTATTCTTTTTCCTATTTCATCTTTTTTTAACCAAAAACCAAGGATATATATTGTACCAGAAAAAGTACTCAGCTCAAAAATGCCTAAGAAGAAGCGGGCAACACAAACGGTGGAGAAAGTTTTACATGCAGCTGTGCACATTGTGCAAGTTGCCCAAAGAATCTGGTTCATCGGAAAATAGTATCTGGGTGGAATCTTTTGCAAAAGTATAGCATGTAGTGGCATAGAGATTATGTATCCAACAGTCAAGCAAGTATTGATAATATTATACTCATTACTTTTCAAGTTGAGGTCCTCTTGCATACCCGTCACGTATGCATTTGCAAGAGCAGACCTATCCAAATAGTTGATGAAGTAAGAAATACAGCAATATGATAAGATGAAAGCATCTACTTTAGCAATGAGCCTTTGCTCTTCTCGACTTTCAAAAATATCTGTCCAAAAAAATTTTAGAAGCTTTCTTTTAAGGCTCTTCTTTTCACTCATCCTGTTAACATAAACTAGTTCCTGTTATGAGTGTCTAATGAACTCAAAGGGGATTTCCAATGCTATTTTATACTACCCGTTTCAACGGGGGGAAGAAATCCCTTAAACGAGGCTACTATTGTTTGTTTGATAACTTCTCGTTTCCTTACTTCAAAGATAAGATCGTAGTGATCTGTCGGCGAATTTAGCCGAAAGCTGATAGACCCCCCGCAAATTAACCGCGATGTCAGATATATGGATATTTTACAAATCCGATTATTTCTCCCCAGGCTCGAAGAGGAAAGAAGAAGAGAATTGAAAATGACAATCAACGCTGAGACTTCTGACTTGAATTTTTTAATATATGCTGGTGCTTATGGTTTTAGAATAAAAAATTTAAAACTTTCTGTGGAATTATCACACAAGATTTCAACAAAATACGTAAAAATATAAAGATTCAAGTCATTTGAAATTTATTAAAAATAATATATTTATAGTCTTTAGTTAGTCGATATTTTTATGTTACCTAAAGTTAATGGAACATCTGCTAGTTCTAATTTGGCCATTAAAGATCCAAAATTTTCACCGGGGGTGATATTACCTAAAGTTACTTTAGTATCAGATTCAGAGAATCGAGGGATAGGGAGGCGAATATTATTTAATGTCAAATAACCCAATACTGCAAACGCAACCGCTTCTTTTGCGTCTGCCGATATTGGTGCTATTTTATCAATTTTCTGTATTGTTGTATGTGGAAATCTATTCCTAAGATGCTTTAAAATATTCGGATTATGTGCTCCACCGCCGCAAAGATATATCTCATCGATTTTCTTTGAGGAAATCTGTGGTATAACTAGTGACTCGTAAGCTCTAGCAATACTTTCACTGGTAATTCGAGTCATTGTTGCAACAATTGCCTCTTGGCTTAGGCCCTTGTCTTGAAGTGATTTCACTACTTTCGCACTAACGTTATCACCAAATAACTCTCGTCCTGTAGTTTTTGGTGGCATGAGGCTAAAGTATTCATTCTTCAAAAAATCTTCCACAAAGGCCAGATCAATTTGGCCCTCTCCCAGTTCCCCAATTTTCCCATCAATATCGAACTGCTGCGCTTCGCCCGTTAGAATCCTCACGGCGCTGTCTATTAACATGTTCCCAGGACCAGTGTCAAATTGAAAAAATTGCTGTTTAGGATCCACTACAGTTACATTGCCAATTCCTCCTATATTTTGGCTCACCCTTACAAGTTCATGATTCAGAAGTATCGCTGACTCCAAAAATCCGCATATTGGTGCTCCTTGTCTTCCAACTGCAACTTCTGCTGACCTAAAACCACTTATCACAGTCTTACCACTAATATTTGCAATTACAGCAGGCTCACCGAGCTGCAATGTAGAATTTCGGATGGCACCGCGTGGCTCGTGCCAAATAGTTTGACCATGGCTAGCTATCAAATCTACTTTCTTGATATCGAATCCACTATTGAGTGTAGCATTGCCGAATATTTCACCAATGGCAAAGTTCATGTCACAGAGCTCTGCAGTAGATATAGGTGTCCCCGGAATGCAAGCATTCAAAATTCTCCTTTTAGCAGCATGCTCCATTGGGATTTCGAAATAATGTAATAACTTCACTGCAAGATCAACAATTTTGTTCTCCGTATCCAATTTTTCGATTTCTATGCTCACCACTGCCAAATCAATACCATCAACACTAGTACCGCAATTAAGACCTACTACTTTTAAATTATTTAGAGGCATGTTTTAACTGTATTTGATCTAACATTTTTGTATCAAAGCCGGCTTTCATATTCAGTACCATTAAGCTATTTATCAATACGCTGATACTCAAACTTCGGTCATTTATGCCGACAATGCGCGTGCGATAAAAAAATGAAATGCACACTCGATAACAGACGACTTCGGTAATCCTCCTGATACTTACATACGCCCTCGATGTGTCACTTGTGTTGTCAACATCATTTTGCTCCTGATTAATGTAAGTGATAGTAATAGAGCCCTCCAGTTCAGCTGCATTCTTACTCTCAAAATTGTTGTAACATTAATCAAAAATTAGAACAAAATGATTTTTCACACTATTTTGAGTTGATAGCTCTTTTCGGTCAGAGAATAGAGGAGAAATTGGTGTCCATAAGAAACAATGAACAACAAAGTCTCCTCGAAGTATACCAATATAATCTTTTTTTTTTTTGAGATTATTGAGATGTTCATATTTTTATACGATCTCCTTTAGAAAGCCAATTGGAGGCACTTTGATCAGTCCAAATATCAATCTGTCAGGTTTATGTCTACGACAAACTACACCAAATATTTTCAAACGTGAGAAAGCAAATTGTTCTAGCTCTTCCATAACAATTTTTTTTTTGGAAAGAATGCAAATCATGTTATTTAAATCAATAGACGGCATAAAAAATTTAATTTTAAAAGAATCTTAAAAAATAATTTAAATTTTCCACGAAATTTACTTTTCTTCACTATGGATAGTAGATTAATTACTTGGGTAATATAAATCACGTAGAATATCATTCAAGGCGGTAAATCCTTGGGTGCCGAGTTGAGTGCTTGCTTTAAAGCGTTCAAAATGGAGACCTGGATCATTGTAAGCTATGTAATCATACACATATTCGCTTTTCTAAATTAAAACATTCTGGAGCATGATTTTGCCCTGTAAGCAAAACCAATATCATAGTTATGAAGTCGTAGAAAATTTACCAAAAATGCTCTCCGGTAATTTTAAACGTCCCATAAACTTAGAAAATCTGTCGTCCTCAGCTTGTTCATTGTCTTCAGTAGTCTCAATAGCATTCTGTCCGTTTCCTAAATAGTAATTTTTTTGAGCGAAGCAAACCAAGAAGGAAATAAATAGAATTCCCAATGAGGAGCATAATAGATAATGCATGGTATCAACATACGCTTCGATAGCAGAATCCCTAATTTCAGAGCCCATAGGATATGAACGAAGGGCGCTCAAATCGCTAAAAAACTTAAATACCTGCTTATCAGAAACGCTCTCTGGCATGTAGTTTCTCAAGTTCGTTGGCATTTTACTATTCCATATAGCTGCTGCAATTGCACTACCAATTGCACTTCCTATACTGGAGAATAACATGAGAATTGAGTAGGCTACTGCCATATGTTGATGAGAAACTGCTGCTTGAATTGCCGTACGAGAACTGTAAACACTCATGGATCCTCCCAAACCCAAAAATATTTGCAATACAACTAGTTTGCCTGTGCCGGAATTGCCATCTCTCACACTAACCCATACACCTGCACAAATAATTTCGATACAAATTCCTATAATTTGCAAGTACTTATAACGATGAGTAAATCTGTGAAGTAAGCCCACGAAGAGTCCAAAAAAGCTTTTGGAAACTATCACAATGTTATTGAAGTACGTCCAGTTTCTATTGTTCCAGTCCATGTATATCCAGACAAATGAAGATAAGTAAGTTTCACGTAAAGCGGAAGACATAAAATAGAAAATATTGAAACAAATCTCAGTAATGACTGTCCGATTGAAATTCAGTTTATGCATGCATGGGAACGGTGCAACATATATCTCGAATAAAACGAATGCGATCAAAATAATGCCACCGACAACAAACATGGCAACTATACTGGGATTTTTCCATTCATTTTGAGCTGTTTTGTACAAAGACAAAGGTAAAAGAATAAGACTCAACCCTGTAGCCAAGAGAAGTAAGCCTATCACGTCGATTTCTTTAAAAGAACCGATAAGGGTCTGTGTCCAGCCCTCAGCATCTTGTTTCACCTTAATCCCAAACCTTTTTGACTTCTCTTCAACTATTCCTAATTTCTGAGCTTTCCTTTGATAATAATAAAGACTAATCATACCAGGTAACAAGGAGACTGGAACAATAATTGTAAACATTCCGTAACCCCATTTCCAGTTTTTTTCAAGGATATCCTTCACGACGAGGCCAGAAAACCAGGATAGTATTATGTAAGGTGACGATAAGGTAGCAATACCGAAACAACGCCACTTCAATGGGGTAAGATCACCAACGATATATACATTAATAAGACTTAAGATGGATCTTCCAAGATTACCAAATACATTACCGACAATATAAGACGATATATTCGAGCTTGTAGGGATTATGATGAATCCAATGACATACAATAACAAAGCGACAGCGTAGGTGGTGGGTCTAGAGGTGACATCGGAGAATTTAGCAAAAAATAGTTGGCCAACTGCATTTATAATCTTCGTAGCAATTCCTAGGGTAGCAATTAAGGTATGGTGATTGTAATATGACGTCGCATATACTTCGTAATTCTTTGTCGTAGACAGGTCCAAACCCACCGACCATGAGAGAATCAATATTGAAACTATCAAAATCCATTTCACTTTGTTCCCACCTTTTTCTTCTTTTATTAAATCTTTAACAGATTCAATAAGAAGGACTCCCCTAGACTTCTTGAATTCTAAAGGTTCATTGTAGCTATCTTCGTCATTTTCTGACTGTTCAAGCTTCGAAAGAGAATCCTTTTTCGATGAAAACCTTTCAAGGTCAGAATCTGATTCCTTTTTTTCTTGAGACTTCAATTCCAGCATTTCCTTTAACAAAAAGACAGAACTTCAGAAAACTACAAGTCATCACAATGATATTACTTTTTATATTCTCATATAATTATTGTGCAGCTTGATTTGCCAAGATATGTGTACCCAGAGAAGTCTAATGATTGATCTGATAATCTTTCCGATCAGCCTTGCAGCATCTTATTTCTCAATTCGGATTTACATTCAACCCTTATTTGTTCATTGAGTTCTCTGGCCGAGGATTGGTTCATTCATTTGTTTAAAAATGCAAATCCAGTGAGAATCTTTCTTGGCATACTTTCAAAAGATTTCGAACCTTGTCTACCTTTTTTGTTATTCAAAATTTTGACTTGAAGTTAACTCGTAACTTTAAATTTGCCGTTTACAAATAGAAAAAATGGTGCATCAATAGGATTTTCTCTTGGCATTCCGAATTTTTTCTAACCTTACTACTTTTCTTTGTTCTTCGTTCTCATTTTGACAAATGAAACGTGCTTTTAATGAACTGCGAAGCCGGATAAAAAGACTTCACAACATTTTTGTCTTTCATTACTGATGTCATCAGAATCCACTGATATGGGGGTTGGGCTAAACAGTTCTCAAACCCAATAATTGAAAGCTAAGGTAAAATCTTGTTCACGAAGTCTTTATAAGACAGTAAAGCATGTGCATGTGAATAAGATAATATCTGGAAAGCGGATTCTATTCAGTAACTTCGAATTAAAGAAATCAGAAAGCTAATTGTAGAACAATACTTTTGAAGAGCACAAAGAATAAGATGTCATGTGGTAAGTACGATTGCATCCAATACCTTATTGAAGCATGCAGGATTACTTAGAACTATACTTTTAGATTTGCGATATTCTCATCACATGATCGACATTCTGGGAAATAAGTATACTTAACGAGCTGCAGTTTTAAAGAAAAGTATACGTAAGGTGTTAAGGATTGTATACATTATTGTTTGCCATGATTTCGTGTATTGTGCTTACCATGTGTGTGAGATTGATTTGAACAATAACAACTTTCTCCCCTGAAGAAAAGTTCTACTCTTTACAATAGTTCAACGCAATAAAAGAAGAATCTGCACGTTAATTCATCTCCAGATTACTGTTTCTATTTAAGGACGCCCTGATAATAATGAACCTGATTTCATCTCTTCTATAGATGAAATATTTAATAAACAATCTAGCTCTTTCTGAGCACCTCAACTACAACTGTTATGTTTTCATCGTCACTATTTCTACGACTTCTTCGATCAGTTGTCCCTCTGATACATATTCCACATTATCACAATCTCCAAACTTAGCTGCGATGTCGCAAAAGTCCAAATTTTTCGTTTCCACCCAGAAATAATAGATCACTGGAAGAAACAACACATCATACGAAGCATTTATAAAATAAAATTTCCAGCCTATATTGCTCATCGCTATTGGGAGAACAAAACTCGATAACAAACCAAAAGACGAATTCATCACAACGAAGAGAGAAATTCCCGAACCTCTTGAATGGATGGGACTTATTTCGGCAGGATATGCCATTGTCAATGGAGTGAAAGTGAAACCATAAAAGCCAGTGAATATGAACATCATTGCAATCGCTCCATACAGCCCATGCACGGATTCACCAGAACCAAATCTTTTTATTAATCCACCCAATATATAGAATGATGCTACCATTCCACTTAAAGATATGAGGGCTTGCTTTTTACGGCCAATATAGTCAAACGCAAAGGCCCCAACTGCTGATGCAAGGAGACTCCATAAACTCATAATGATGTTAACTTGAAGCTTACTTGTAACGTCAGTCACTCCCGCCAGGTCAAGTAATAAAGAAAAAAAAATACGAACCAACTGAGGAACCTGCGAGCTCAGTGATTACAGCCTGAGAAAAAAATATAACCAAGCGCCGACGATTCGCCTTACCTTTAAAGAACTGTAACCATGGAAAGCCTTTGTGTGCTCCATTATTAAAATTTTCTTCGATTTCAATGAGATATTCATCCGCTAGCGCGTCGGCAGCCTCTGGTGAGACATTTTGGCAACTGGCTAAGATTTCGACAGCCATCTCTTTTTTGCCTTTCATCAATAGAAATTGGGGCGACTCAGGTGTGAAAATTAGGCTCGTAGCAGCAAATAGCGAGAAGCTGCCTTGCACCAAAGATGGGATTCTCCAGGACCAAGTTCCAGGCACATTCCTAGAACCGAATGTAACAACAGATGCTATGATACCTCCAAAACCAAAGCAGGTAAAACAAAGACCAGATAAAAGGCCCCTTTTTTTAATAGGAGCAAGTTCGGTGACCAAAGCCGACGCCGCAACCAAACAGGCCGAACAACCACCTCCCAAAATAATTCTAGCTACCACAAACATTCCAATATTTTGAGCAGCGGTCTGAAGTGCAACACCCACTATTGTGAGAAGCAAACCAACCAATATAGTTGGACGTCTCCCCCATTTATCGGTAAAATAGCAATTGATAACCAAACATGTAATAATCTGACCCATCCACATACTTGCAGTATTTAGCCCAATAGTAACGGGAGTCAAATCAAAATATGTCGTATACAGTGGAAGATTGAGAATAGACCCTATCATCATACTATCGTATCCCATTACTGTTGGATGTATTATCGCAGTACATACTACGACAGTAAGAAAAACATATTGGTTTTTTCTCGGCTTAACATCCACTAAATTGACATTATCAAAAGACATCACAAATATGTTAAGTCGTCTCACACCAGATGATAAACCTAGGGAAAGCAAACGCCTTTATATCTTTTCATTATTCAGCTTACAACATGTCAAGCAAAAACAGATTCTTATCGACATAAATTTGATATCGATAATCTATCAAATTTTTTCCGATCAGATCAGCTCGGGCGAGCTCGGGCGAGTTCGCCCGAGTTAGGTAATCGAGATTTATCTTGATATTTAAGGACCAAGAACCAACTTAGATTAGAGCCTAAGTACATCATCATTAAGAAATGCAAGCTTTAGAAGCAAAATTTACAAAACCTGACTTTGAGCCTATTCCAATAACAAAAAATGACTCTCAGAAGTCAACATTTGGTTTCTCATTTGGTAAATGTCTTGAGAAAGTCCCAAATGAAGTTTTTGCAACTGCCGAGAAGACAATAACATCTAAAACTTACAACGACTGGCGCCAGGATTTTTTGAAGGATGGATACGCCATATTGAAAGGAGCAATTTCTCCTGAAAAATCCAAGGAATATCAAAATAGAGCATTCAATTGGGTTACGTCATTCGGTACTGAGTTAGATATTTCAAAAGCAGAGACTTGGAAGGAAGAAAACATTCCCGCACAGACAGATTTTAACGTATTTTGCAGCAATGCTATTGCACACGAAGAATTCATGTGGGACATCAGATGTGAAGAGGGGGTCATAAAGCCATTCAGGGATATCTATGGAACGGATGAGTTACTCGTGTCGTTTGATTCTCTAAATATTACGTTCCCACGAGCTGATAAGAAACCTAAGGAAAAATGGCTTCATGTGGACCAGTCGCCTTTCAAAACTGGGCTTCAGTGTATACAAGGCATCGTCGCATTAAGTAATCACGGTCCGAATGATGGTGGGCTTGTTGTATACAAAGGATCTCACAAGTATTTTGAAGAGTTTTTCAATACTCAAGTAGACCATGACAATTGGGATACTTTAGATTATTATGGATTCTCCAATGAGCAAGCGCAATTCTTTTTGAATCGTGGATGTGAGGAAGTTAAGGTTTGTTGTGAGCCAGGGGATGTTATTTTGTGGGACTCTAGGACATGTCACTGGGGACAAGAACCGTGTCCCAATAGTAAACAAATTAGAACAGTTGTCTACGTTTCCTACAGTCCAAGGTACTTTGCAACATCTGAAAGTATTGAACATAAAAAAAAGGCGTTCCAAATGTGGTCAAATACTACTCATTGGCCTCATGACAATATTATTTACAAGTCAAACGCAGTTTTAAGGGAAGATGGATCGATTGATCCAAAAAGTAGGTTTAAACCCACATGTTTGCCAAAAATGGATAAAAGAATGCTTCAACTTGCCGGTCTCATTCCTTATGGAAACCAAGCTTAAAAAATTAAGCATTTGCGCCATAACAAAACTTTGTGTAAACATTTCCAAGAAACATAAAAGATAATTGATATCAATCCGAAAAGTACATCTCATGGTTTTTGGTCATATTCAAGAAGAAATAATTTGCTCAAGAGTGATCCATCTAGTTGATCAACGATATTTTATGGAGCTGGTCTGAAAATTTTATTTCTATAGAGTATAGACCTTTGAAATTATTGTGCACATTGTTAAGACTACTTCCCACCCAATTAGACTTGATTGTGTTTAGTTTCATATTTAGGATCATGGCTGTAAATATATATCAGTTACTAGCAGACAACCAGCTTAAAAAGTCTTGCCACTCATTCTCCTGTAGAAAATCATGAAAAGAGCACTTATCATCAGAAGATTGAAGAGCCGTATCCGAGTTCTCGTATATTTTTGGTAGATTCCTAATATCTTTTAAGACCTTATCCATATTATTACTCTCCAATATAGATTTCTTGTTTTCGCCGGAGATGATATCGGTTAGTGGTTTGAGAATTTGTAAACCTACCTTAGCAGTCTTGTGTGTTTCCTCCAATTCCCTTAAGATCGGGAATTGTTCTTGAACTAATTCCAAGCGTTGATCAAATTTCACTAGTTTGGAATTTGTTAAAATGTCAAGCAACAAAAATGCAGATGCAGATACAGCATTCTCACTAGCAAACCAATATTTCTTAAAATAGAAAGGTATCTGCTTATCTGAAAAATCCCTTAAAATGGTATATGCATACTTAAGGCAAAGATCTCTATTCTCTTTCACCCATGACTCCTTACTTTTAAAGTTGAGCAGCATTCTGTTCAACACGAGAAGTTCAAAATTAAATTTACTTACAAGTAGAAATCGTTGAAAGCGTAAAGGTTTTTTTAGGGGCAATTTGTCGAAATATTTCAATGAGTTAGTAGCTAGCAGCTCTATCTCTCTTTCTGCGCATTGAAGGTTCAATAAAGTCGAATCACAAACTTCAACTTTGTTGTCAAAATAGAGCCTATTTTTAATTTTTGCGATTTCTGCCATTATTCTATTGTAAGTAATTGTTTCAAAATTCTCCGATTCTATGGGGGAAGGATCATTCATTTCGTCCTCAGACAAATTTCGGGGTAGCCTAGTGGTGAAACCATCAGCTGCAATAAGCCGTCTTCGTCTAAAGGATTCGAGCCAATCAATAATCACCAAGATCCACCATAAACGACACCCAAATTCAAAGTCCAATGTCGATAGCTTGGCACTATCATCAAGACAATGTAAGTTCAAGGCTTCTGCTATGTACACTATAGAACTGAGCATTGCATTTTGTAGATGAACACCAGCAAAACCATGAAAGCATCCTGCAAGTAGGCAATAAGCTTGAATTGACTTCGGGTTAGGATAAGTTAAAAACTTACCTTTATGTAAGCATTCTAAAGAAGCTGAGGCTGTAATTTGGGCCAAATTGAAAGCATCCTTGCTGGAGAGTTTCAAATCATCTTCCAATTCATTGCTCATCATGAATAACGAATTACTGAGCACAGCATACCATATTGACATCCACAAGTAAACGTCAAGTGTTCGGTTAGCAGGAAAACATATGTGCTGCGGTTCCGGAGACCTCCAGAATTCATCATGTTCTCTATAAAATACTGGAGGATACACCGCAGTATGAATGAACAGGAGATATTTCATATTAAACTCCACAAGCTTGAATGAGACCTCTTTTGTGATATACTGAGGCAAAATATCATAGTCTTCGAATGATCCTGGAGATATGCAAGTTGCATCACGAACAAGATCTCTTGTCATGATGTGTATCCCGGTGCTGTAAAGATCGATTGTCTTTTTTATCACTCCGGTCATTGGATTAATCCTCTCTTGATTCAAGGGTCGTTCGAGCTTTAATTTTGTCTCATAATCTAATACTTTCTGCTGGAGGAGTTTGTTCTCGAGTTCAAGTCTTACAAGAGGAGAACTAGCACCGGAAGAGTTCAACAATACACCATGGACCAGCACCTCCTCCCTTCGACATGTATTCGCCGTGCCTCGAGAAACACACCTATCACATGGTATCCGTTTATCGCATTTAATTTTCCTTTTGTAGCATTGGTAACAAGACTTTGGAGCCCTTTGAGTCTTTCGAACTTCTCCCATGTCACCTATCATATAAAAGTTGCAACATTGGGGGTCTCTTTATCGTTCGCTTTAATCTACAGAAATCTCGCGAAGATTGATACGAGTACTGGTTCCACAAAATCCAGAAACAGGCACAATTGATTCTTGAGAGACTAACTATAGAATGATATTTCTTAATTAAACCATTCCCTTGGTTATATGACCTTATTCTTGCTTGTATCTCAAGAGCTTTTTTCTTTCAAAAATCTAATTCAAGATAAGAAAATTTCTTCTTCAATGGTGCCAGATATGTACACTGTTTAAAAGAAAAGAGGATTTCAACTGCATATTTTTCAGTACAATATTCCAAGAATTCCAACGGGCTCTTTAAGATTTAAAAAAGAATTCGGTTAAGGACATTGTTATGCTTCTATCCGCTACCTACAATTTTTTTTCTATTCTATCATTTCTAGCTTATTATTTGGCTTGAACATGTAAAATGCAATAGCAAAAATTACTTAAGATCTGTAACCCATTTCATTCTGTAAGATGTGTATGTGATGCTTCCTATGTCAATAAGAATTGAGGAAATCTAGTACGTCTCACCTTAAGAACCCATTGTGTTTTAATCTACAGCAATATTACATTGATACACCAGAACATAATTTCAGTAAGTGGGGGAAAATATCAACATTGAACTTATAAAATCTTGTCAATCTTCATATTATTTAATATCTGATATCGGTATTCAAATCTTATTTTGTAATGTATCCTAGAATTTCTCTTTTTCAATTAATCCGTCGATATGAGATTTCATGTCATAGCCACACACTTCCTCAATGGTCAACTTATTTACATCTTTAAGTGAATTTGTGCTCCATCCAATTCTCTCGTTAAGATTTTCGCGGGCCCTTAAAGATGCTGCTTGGATCTTTGTCACCCTAGGCTTTCTCACTAGTTCATAAATTTTCAAGCCTTGCTTAACAGTGAGATTGAATTTCTTAGAAAATATATAACCAAGAGCTCCAGAATCTTCAAACGCGGAAACCGCACCTTGGGATTGATCTGGCATCATTGGATGAGCAGCGTCCCCTAATAAGACTGTTCCCTTTAATCCATCTTGACTTGTATTATAGAAAAAAGGTAATGGCTGATGGATGTATAATCTCCATTGCTTAATATCATATCCACATTCTATGAAAAGTCGCTTTAAATTTGGATCCAAATTTGGTAAGGATGCATTTAGCTTTTCAATGGATACAGTATTGTTCCAACCGCTATCTAAATCTTCTTTTCCTGCGTCAAAGAAACAATAACAAGATACCACCTCATTATTAGAGCAAGGAGAGAGGACAATTTTGTATTTATTTTCACCTCCCCAAAATTCAATTGCGTCATTAGTGGAAAAGTCTTGGAGTCCTTTGCTTCTCACTTTTTCGGTGTCAAAAAGGACCCTAATGCACGATGAATCTGCGAGCTTGAAGTTAGGTACTAGCCCAAGCTGTTCCCTAGTTAAAGAACGAATTCCATCCGCTGCAACAATTAAGTCAGCGGATGTTTCTTCGCCATTTTCAAATACAATATGCCCTTTTTCATAGTCTATGTTTACTGCCTTGTGATTCAAAATTAATTCGCAAGGCTCTCCTTTTCCTTCGCTTGAAGTTGCTTTATCCATTAAAACTGTGTGAAGATCAATTCTATGGAAATTGTAATAGGGAAATCCAAACTTCGCAGCATAATCTCCCAAGTCATATTCATCGGTTATGTTACCCGTATTCCAATTATGTTTTATCAATCTCTTCAAAATTACTGGCTTAGAATCCAAAGGATCAATTCCCCAATCATGGAGCCACCTTCCTCCATTAGATGCACAAGATAAAGAAGCTCCCACTTCACCAGCGTAATCGTACCTTTCATATATTCTAACTTTGTGGCCATTGTTTCTCAAGGCGATTCCACATGAGAGACCCCCCAACCCCCCTCCAAGGATTACAACTTCTAAGGGCTTCCAAGTTTCTACTGTCATTATAATTTGGATAAAAGTGCAGACTTTATTGACTTACATCTTTAAAGCTTTATATATTATTTGCGGTACGTTAATTTTTATTTTGCGACTTTATTGTAGAGCTTAGGAGCACGGAATAGTCGCCGTAAGAAAAAAGATAAGGCCAAAAATGTCCGTCGTGAAAAAAAAAGGGCCGCAAAATATATCAATTGCACTACTTAACAAAGTTATCTCCTAAATTATTCATTATATGTAAAACATTATCAAAATGGCAATATCATAATCTTCTGTTGATAAGCAATTATACTCATTGGATAAATTACAATATAAATACCTTCAAACCATACTCAAATGACAATACTTTTCCTTAAGTAGGCGCTGCCAGTTGAATCCTTTATCGTTTGAATTGTAATAAAATCCATTATCAGAATTATGCCATACTTCTCTGACAAATCTCACCGCAGTATTAATATGATCAAATCCAAGGTTACTTGATATACTGCTAAAGCGTGCCAATATGAAGCTTCTGTCACCTCCTCCTAAAGCAGCCATGATTAAGGGAAATAATATTAATGATTCTAATGAAGATCCCATGCGAATATGGGAGATAGCCTCGACAATATTTTGAGATGCGACTTTGACTTTGGGATTATCCAACGCATATCCATTTCTCATCTGATGGTGCATTAGTATCCCAGCCCATTGTATAGCTATCGCGGATTCTGCTAAAGAGAGTAAGTCGGTTCCATCATTTTCGATTTCAGACAAATTTTTTATTTTAGCTTGTTCAAGCAAATCGTTAATTTCTTTGGGTAATTGCCAGCTCTGGAGCGCCATTTCAATTGCTTCATATTCAACTTGATCATTTATACTAAAATCTTTTGACAGGGAGTTATAGCAAGAAAAACTTGGTAATTTAATAATATGACTAAACAAATCCTTTGCAAATCCAAAAAATAAATCGGGTTCACTTTCGGACTCATCATGTACTTTACGTTGCACGCGGAAAGGATTGCTATCATCTTGACCTGATAAACCTGGTATACCTGTAGTAAGTGAGCTCATGACATCATGATAAATAAAGAGCTCTATCAAACCCCTTGCATTCTTTGATCTTCTTTTAAAATCTTGAATGCCTCCATTAGACTTTATGATTGAGCTAGCTAAATCCATAAGGGAGCTTCTCTTTTGTAGCTTGTTCAAAGCAATTTCGTTGTTTATGAGCATTAAGCATATTGACAATACAACCTCAGGATGTTTATGCCTAGTGGCCATATACTCATATGAGTGCCGGATTGCTTGATGGTGAAACTGTCTCAGGATGTTATGAAACTTAGGTATTGTGCTTTTACAATGCTCAGCTGAAAGAGATAGTAAGGAATACCATATTGCCGGTTGACTCATAGACATGGGAACAATCGTGTTTAAATATATGTTTCTTTGTTTAGATGGAAAAGCTACCACCGCAAACGAGGTATTTGTTAAAAAGTGTTGAAACAAAAATGATTCATCATCGTCCAATTGATTGAAAGGGCTTAAGGGCGAATGTATTTTCAAAAAGTTGGTATCTGAGTTCTTTTGTAACTCAAGCTGTGGATAATGAGTATGGGTATCGTTGTAGCTCGAAGCATCTACCAAATTTTGTGTTTTCATTTCTTCATATCTTGCGCCAGGTCTTTCACAAAGTATTCCTTTGCTAATACAATATGAACAAGGTGAATCAATGGTATTGCATTTTTTGTGTCTTTCCTTACATGCTACACAACCAGTTTTCAGCCTCGCACTAGATAACCTCTGTCTGGTATTTACGCTCCCACTTTTTAAATGGTCTTGGCGCAGTTTAATAGGCGAAACTTGGATACAAGTTCTAATAGCTTTGGATTGAAAAGATTCAACACAAAGGTTATCCAAAAGTACTTTCTTTGATGGTCGTCCCCTTTGTTTCGTTATCCTATTTCTAGTACAGGAAACTTTTAACCTTTCACATCGATCACAAACAGAGTCTCTAAATGTGCATCTCAGCTTCTTTGATTGTTAGTTAATTCACAACATTAAACAAATAAGAACTTACTGTTGAATAGCAACGGTCACAACTTTTTGACATTAGGCTAGGATAATTCAAAGATAAATGAATTTTACGACGGATATTTTCTTGTTTAAGTAGTTCGAGATCTTATCTTGAGAATTGAGATAAGAAAACGAAAAAAAAAAAGAATTAAATAAAATATGCTTAGATATAACCGCATAGGTAATGCACGAACAAGAAAAGCGAGTAAAAAGATATCCTTGATATTTAATCCCACTTTTTCAAGAAAGATTTGAAAAAATAACTATGCATACGACGGATAATTTTTATCTATCACTACATTCAAAAAAACCTGGAGGCTATAAAAGGCAACATCGTGCTAGTTTTTAGAAGAGCATAGATGAACCTTAAACTGGCCAAAAGCTTATTAAATGGAGGCTACTTATAATATGCCTATTGATGAGTTAAAGGAGAAAGGATCAGACTTCGTCTTAGATCAAGAGTTCTTGGGTGAGATTGAAAGGACACAAGAGAGTGATAAATATGATTCGAAATCGGAGAAAGAGATCAAACGAAAATTTGACTTATATCTTTTACCTATTTTTTCGCTAGTTTATTTAGCTATGAGCATTGATCGAGCATCAATAGGTAATGCGAATATTGAAGGTCTCGGGGAAGACTTACAACTAGAAGGATATGACCTAAATCTTGCCTTAACAGCGTTTTTTATATGCTATGGAGCCATCGAGATTCCCTCAAATATGGTAATCAAAAAGTTTCCTCCGAGATATTGGTTATCTTTGTCCACAGTTCTTTTCGGACTAGTATCAATGTGTACTGCTTTTGTCAAAAATTACGGTGGTTTGGTAGCTACGAGGATCTTCTTGGGATTTTTTGAAGGGGGAATGCAACCAGGGATTACTTTTGCACTTTCGATGTTCTACAAGAGATCTGAACTTCAAGTTAGAGTAGGATTTTTTATCGCTTCTGCTGCGTTGGCTGGAGCTTTTGGTGGACTTTTGGCTATGGGATTAAGTGCCATTCCTACACACGGGCCGGTGAAGAAATGGGGGTGGATCTTTCTATTAGAGGGAATCATGACAATGATCATAGGTATATGTGCCTTTTTTATACTCCCTGACAGTCCGAAGAGTGCCAAGTTTTTAGCCTATGATCAGAGAGAAGCGGCCCACAATAGGGTTGAAGTCGAGTTGAGGCATAGCAAAGACGAAAAGATTAACCGAACTCAGCTCGTCTTGGGATTTAAGTCCTTACACAGCTGGCTATGTGGCTTAGCATTCTATTTGACGGGATTAGTGGTGCAATCAACGTCTTTGTTTCTACCTACTTTGTTAAAAGGTATGGGATATACAAGCTCAAGGGCTCAATTAATGTCTGTTCCACCTTTTGCTGCTGGCTGTTTCTTTGTTGTGGTTTCTTCGTATGCTTCTGATTACTTTGGGGTCCGTGGCCCTTTCAATGCCTTTTATTTCCTATTATGTGTAATCGGTTATGTGCTTTTATACACCGAGGATAGACTTGGTGTCAGATATTTTGCAACATTTCTCATATGCATGGGTGGTTTCTCATTAGGTCCCGGCGTTCTCACTTGGTCTAGTAATAATGCCGCTAGCCACACCACAAGAGCTGTAGCAACCGCAATTGTAGCGATAGTTGGTACTTTAGGGTCAATTACTGCAATGTGGATCTATTTACCAAAATACGCCCCAAGCTATGATGAAGGACATAAAATTTTGATTGGTACGTGTTCTGGTGGGGTAGTTCTCTGTTTAGGAATGTCAACCTACTTGTTTTATGAGAATAAAGCTCGAGATGAAGGAAAGCGCAATGGTTTAACTGCGAAGTTTGCTACCGATGAAGAGGCCAAGTCCATGTTAGCACATAGACATCCATCTTTTAGATACCTTATATAAGCGATTAATTCTGTTAGTTTAAAAATTCCATGAAGATATTTACTTTCTTGAGGTTACTGCATATGTATCAATTCCATTTTAGTCTCGTTTTTCAAGAAAATGCTTCATTTTTCTTGCTTATTTACATTGGCTTTCAGGAAAAGACGCCCTGATAAATTAATATTCCAAGGTAAATACATTAACATTCATGGATCAATCAACTACAGTTTGAGCGCGGTCTTGATTGATGTCAATTTTTTTGAAAAACCATAATACAAATGTTCAAGCTTCATTTGCAAGAACTAGATGAACATATATTCATTCGAAAAGGGATTTCATGTTGCCAAAAAATATAAGAAGAAATGGAGAGCACATAATACTGAAACATCACAGTTGCGCTGATAGCATGCGATATATATAAGACGAAACCCAATATTAACGAGTACTCTTTAGAGTATTTATTAGATTGAAGTGTTTTTAGCGTTGTTACTCAAATTACTTACACTTCGAAAATTTCATTCTAATCTTTTCAAGAAGTCTTCTGAGAGCTCTCTCAATATAATTGTTTATTTGCACAGCTAAGATTACCTACTGTGGTCAATCTTATGTGTTAAAGTTGTTTCAAGTTGATGATAACCGATGAAAATTAAAATAAGCCGAGAAGAAAGAAGTAAGCATAATGTGTTTTGTGCTCTCTGTTTAATAGAAAAGGGCAATGAAACCTAACAAGATAGCGCCAAATGAGAAAGTCATTGTTACAGCGCCTCCTTCAGACATAGTGAAAACTGAAGCGGAGGTCAGTGGGTAAATTGACTCACCTGCAACAGTGGACTGTGCGGTTTGCGTACTAATTGCCTCACTTGTTATTTTGGTTGAGACTGCAGTGTTTGAGGCTTCTGATGAAGCTGAGGTTGGACAGTATGTGACGAATGTCGATTCTGCCGCAGTGACTGTTGTGAGACCAGTTGTAACCGGAGTTTCTTTGCAACTATTGTCAGAACATGATGTCACGGTAATGACAGTAGTCTCAATCTCTGATTCGTCAGATTTTGATGCTGTAGAGCTCTCACTTAATGGACAGTAAGTCACAAAACTACTCTCACCATTAGTTACAGTGGTGAGGCCAGTGGTGACTGGTACTGTAGAGCACATATCGTCGGAGCAGGAAGTAACGGTAACAACTGTAGTCTGAATTTGGGTTTCTGTCGATCCAAAATTCACTGAACTCTCGCTTGAACCACTAATGGGACAATATGTAACATACGTAGTCTCAGAGTTAGTCACAGTTGTCAAGCCAGTAGTAACAGGTACTTCTGAACATTTGTGATCAGAGCATGAAGTTATCGTAATTACTGTGGTACTAGCAACAGTATCAGTAACAGTCAGAAGAGACGAGGGAGTTTCTGATGTGATTGAACTTAATTGTGCTGTAGAATCAGAATAAACCGAAGATTCAGGACTTGAAGTAGCGGCAGAACTGGTACTCTCTCCAGAGCTAACTGTAAATTCAGAGCTAGAAGGAGCTGACGAGCTAGAAGGAGCGGCGGAACTTGATGGAACTGCTGAACTGAATGGCTCCTCAGAGCTTGATGGAACTGCTGAACTTGATGGTTCCTCAGAGCTTGATGGAACTGCTGAGCTAGAAGGAGCTGCGGAACTTGATGGAACTGCTGAACTGAATGGCTCCTCAGAGCTTGATGGAACTGCTGAGCTAGAAGGAGCTGACGAGCTAGAAGGAGCTGCGGAACTTGATGGAACTGCTGAACTGAATGGCTCCTCAGAGCTTGATGGAGCTGCTGAACTAGATACGGTTTCCGAGTTAGGAAGGATCGATTGAGACGGTTCTTCAGAGCTTGATGGAACTGCTGAACTTGATGGCTCCTCAGAGCTTGATGGAACTGCTGAACTGAATGGTTCCTCAGAGCTTGATGGAACTGCTGAACTTGATGGTTCCTCGGAGCTTGATGGAACTGCTGAACTGGATGGTTCCTCAGAGCTAGAAGGAGCTGCCGAGCTAGAAGGAGCTGCCGAGCTAGAAGGAGCTGCTGAGCTAGAAGGAGCTGCTGAGCTGCTTGATGTCGCAGGACACTCGCCATCTGAAAAGGTAAGCTGGTATATATCATCAAAAGTTGTAATTACATCTCCAGATGGTGTCGTGATCTGCAAATTGAGTTCATAACGATCGTCCCAGTTGAACCATACTATTTTGATAGGGTAATAGACGCCTTTTTCCAATTGGAACAGCGCACTCTCAGTTCCGTCTGCGTATCCATTATCGGTAAAAGTTCCTAAAGTATTAATTGAAAAATTTCCTGAAATACTTGCTCCAGGGTCGTTGCAACAGGAAGCCCCGCTTCCAAATTGTAACGTAGCACCATCGTCTGACATTAAATCGAAAGTGTAAGTTCCTGACTCAGTTGCTTCGAAGTACCCTTGCAATTCTGCAGTGAAGTTCGATACAGTTATAGGGAAACCGAATATTTCTCCCGCAACAACTCCACTTCCTGGAACATTCACAGAATTTATATCGGTAACCAGATTAACGGTACCAACTACCCCAGTTGTAGAATATCCGGAAGTGAAAAAGTCAGCATCCCAACCGCTTTTGCTGTAATGAGCATAGTGATAGAACGTCACATCAAATCCTTGGCCATTGATTGAACTAGGAACACAGCCGCTAGTGTCTGAACTGGCTAAATTCAAAATGAATGCCGATGCACATAAAACGGAATAGAAGCTTCGTGAAATCATGATTTACTTTTATTCTATATGTTCTTAGAGTTCAAGCAAAACATTTCTTTAAGCAAACCACTGGTTATATTTATATTCTAAGGAACATAGGATGCTGCAGAAAATAATACCGCGAGATCCAATGTACCTCCTAATGCAGAATGAAAACTTACATTTAGAGAGAAAGAGGCGTCATTACCAAGGTATGAAGAATGAACGAAAGAAAAAAAAAAGAAACATCATGCATATATGGCTATTGCTTCAAGCATTCCTCTACTTCGATCAATGTTCTTACGTTAGCAGTTAATAAGCTTAATCGGATAATAAATGAAGGGTCTGATCAATTGATACAATGACTCTTGTGACTAACAATACCAAGATTGACAAAATGGTGTGCAACATGTGAATTCTCGGTGGTTTTTTAGCTCAAATCTTGAATAATAAAATCGTTGGTTAGGAATTCAAGCAAGTAGAGGTTATTACAGGAAGTGTTTGACGCAGGTAGGAAACCTTCATGTTAGTGTGTTCTTAACTCTGAACCTAGGAGTGTTTATCTCTCGGAAGTCTCCGTAATAGACCAGAAAAACTCAGAGAAGTGGATACCTAGCCGGAGGTTGCCTCTATATTCTGCATCTTTATTCATCGTGTAAGATTTTTAATATGTGTGTCCCTTTTGGAGAGGTATCCTGCATGATGAAGCTCTCATTCGTAAAATAATGTAAGAATTGTAACAAAAAACACACTTCGTATTTAGGAGCAAACTTCAATTCCGGTGGTTCCTCAAGGTCGCTTATGCAAGAGAGGAAACCTGGGTCGCTTGTAAATACCAAAGAGATCTCTAGTTTTTTTGAGCTGAATTAGTTTTCAAAATGTGTTCAATTTGAGTGAATAGGAGTCATGAATCATAGAAAGTCGCAAAATAGAGAGACTACTTGTAAAACTAGTATATATTAGTCGTAGAGAAGGAAACATAGTGCCTTTAAAGTTGAGTATCAATGCGCAAGATAGATTTTGTCATTCTTATTGTGTATATAACATTTGGATATTTTTACTGCAAGGTATCGATCGATGCGAAAGCCCGCATAAAAATTAACTTCGAGTAATTCAAGAATGGATCACTCTAGCTTCCAAAGCTAGCTGCTGATGCTATTAAATAGACAGCTTGGCGTTTTGAACTAAACCAACTAATCAATGGAAGCCCGGATTGCTTAGAAAAGGTCAGAACTCGAAATAAATTGAAGTGTACATACTAAAGAGCCCCGATTCTAGACTGCAATATAGCGGAATGTAACTTCAAAGAATTGTACTTTGCTGGCTTCTTGTTTCATTAATTCATGCAATGTGTTTTTCTCATAAACATTTATACTATTCTTGAACTCTCAAATTCAAATACTCAAGAAGAAATTCAAAGAACTAGTTTGCGATTGTTGCAACAAGAAACTGACATGATGGAAGCATCCTCTGCTCTAAAGGTCAATTCTTAATGGTAGTAATTCTAGATAAAGATAAAAATCGAGACTGTTACATGACATTCAAAATCTTCTAAACATGTATGGTTCTTCTCTCGTACATATTTTGCTTTTACATTCTATTCAATTGGAAGTAAAGGCTGTGCCGTAATGCATAATATCCGTAAAAAGAGTTTTGAGTCTCGGATATTTACTCATCTTTTTGGCGGTCGAGCTATCGAAGCTCGGATTTGCTCAGCATTAAACTTCGGAGCTTGATGCTGACATGAGGTGCCTATGAGAAGTGCCTTAAGCTTCTCTGCATTCATTACATATTATGACTTCAAACGTTATATCTGAAAATCAAAAGAGATAGAAGCAAATCTTGGTATTATTGACTTAGCCGAGAATCTGAGCAGGATACATGAACAAGAAAAAATAATTCATCGTAAATTATGATACCCGTATATATTCGTCATCATCTTTCTCAGAACTATAATTTGTAAATCTAAAAGGACAGTGCCTTTATAACTTTGAGGAAGATTAAGTTCAGCCACGTGAAACCTTTAGATTGTTAGTGTCGTCAAGGATGTTCTTTTCAATTTTTGAAGGTGTTATTTCTTTGTTATAGCTCGGCCTTTACTCGACCTTTACTGCCTCGGCATTTTTTCCCTAAAGTGTATTCGCTTAATATGTACTCGCCTAATATGTATTCAATTTGATGTTATTTATTACATCAGCCTTTGTGTTTCAAACAACAACGCTCCTTCTTCTATTTACTAATATTAGCTAAGTACACATTACATCAACAAGCTCTTCCCGTACTTGCTATTTTGTGACATTGTGACATTGTCTTGTTGACATATCTATTAAAATAGGAGGAGTATGATAACTTTTGATGCAAAATCCGAATAATATGCAGTACGAGCTCACTCCTCGCTCATATCTCGACTTTGAGGTCTTTACTACAGTTTACCCGAATATACCGCAACTTTAAATTTAACCTCATTTGCAACCATCATTTGAAAAGCAACATAAAACGAAATGTCACATCATAAATTGCTTGCTTTCATGGAAAGTAGGATATTTAAGAGGACCAACTATCTGTAACTACTATAGATACTCTTCTATTACACCACAGTCCTGAATAAAAACCCTTTAAAATGGCAAATCTTTTGAGTTATACTTATTATTCAAAAATCTACAAAGACGGTTTAAACGATAAAAAGCCATTAAGTACGAAATTTCACGTTCTCGAGCAGCAGGCCAAAGACATATTGCCTGCAGCTGGCTTTGGTTATGTTCATAATTGTGCAGGTAGCCTGGAAACAGACGAGAAGAATAAAGCTGCCTTCAAGCGCTGGTCTATATTACCCACAAGGTTAGTTGGGCCCGGATTTCCTGATCTATCCGTGAAGCTATTCGGTGAGAAGTACGATTATCCTGTAGCGCTCGCTCCAATTGGTGTTCAAAAAGTCTTTCACCCAAAAGGTGAAATAGCTGCGTCCAGCGCCGCTTTTAAAGAAGACGTACCTTATATTCTTAGCACTGCAACAGCCACATCATTGGAAGATGTCGCAAAGTCAAATGAAAATGGTAAGAGATGGTATCAATTATATTGGCCGGCTAATGAGAATAATGATATTACTGCTTCTTTATTAAATCGGGCGAAGAACAATGGTTTCAAAGTTCTCGTAGTAACGTTAGACACATATGTTTTAGGATGGCGTCCAGGAGATATTGATAATGCATACAATCCATTTATAAAAGCAGATAATATTGGGGTAGCAATCGGAACATCTGATCCAGTTTTCAGAAAAAAATTTAAAGAAAAATACGGAGTTGAAGTTGAAGAAGACATGCAAAATGCTGCTCCAGAATGGACAAGCACGATTTTTCCTCAAAGAAACCATTCCTGGGAAGATATTGAATTTTTGAAGAAACACTGGGATGGGCCAATAGTTTTGAAGGGTATTCAAACGGTGTCAGATGCAAAGAAAGCAGTGGAATATGGAGTTCAAGGAATCATTGTGTCTAGTCATGGTGGAAGACAACAGGATGGAGCTGTGGGTAGTCTTACTGTCTTACCTGGGATTGTTGATGCAGTTGGTAAAAAGTTAGAAATTATATTTGATTCAGGAATTAGAAGCGGTGCAGATATTACGAAAGCTCTCGCACTAGGTGCAAAATTTGTTCTTATTGGCCGTCCTTACATTTACGGTCTTGCTGTTGGAGGCGAGGAAGGTGTTAGGCATGTGATTAAATCATTTTTATCTGATCTTGAATTAACTTTACATCTCTCTGGAGTTAAAAAAGTTTCCGATTTGTCAAGAAGTATACTTTTTGATGAATTCAAAAAGGAATAAAGCACATACATAAATGAATTCTAAGTATTTTATAAAACTTAGTAGCCAGAACTAATTTTTAATATCAAAGAGCCTATTCTCACTCAAGGTTTATAAATCATTCATGAAAAGGAATCCTTAGAGTAATTTAATTACATATCATACACATTTTACATATTTCTCTTCATTCAATCTTATATATTAAAAGGTGCCATAAAAATATCCAGCTGCTTGTAATGCTTGTATTCAACGAGCGGTAAAACCTCCGGAAGCAAAAATAGTTTGACCAGTGATCCAACCCCCTTCAGTAACCAAAAATCTGATAATAGGGATAATGTCTTCAATCTTGGTCAATTTATTCTTCATCACAACACTCTTGTAGAATTCAACGTCATCCTTCTTTTCTTGGGGATAGAAGAATGGTGTATCCATTGGGCCTGGTGCGACACAGTTCACTGAAATGGCCTTACTCTTGAGCTCTTGAGATGCAGATTTGGAATAGAACTCCACTGGTGCCTTTGTACCTTGATAGGTAGAGTAGAATGGCGTATAAGCGGCCAACAACGAAGTGACAACAGTCACGATCTTACCATTCTCATTCAAATTCTTTGAAGCTTCTTGAATGAAAAAAAAAGCTGTTTTGTTGTTGACTTGATCCATCTTTTCAAACTCGGCTTGAGAAATATCAACTATTGGTTTTTTCAATACCATTCCAATACAGTTAATGGCAATATCAACACCATTAGGAAACTTACTTTTAGCCTCCTTGAAAAGTGCTGATAATTGGTCTGCGGTATTTAAGTCGCCCCCATAAGTATAAACTTTTATACCGTAAGAGCTAGAAAGCTCTTTTGCATAAGCCTCTGACTTCTCCTTATCACTAGAGGAATGATAATGAAGGAAGAGATTTGTTCCGAATCTTGCCAATTCCTTCGCAACGCCACCTCCTAAGTTCTTGGTTCCACCAGTGATAATGGCAACTTTACCTTTAACATCGTCTTCCTTGCTGAAAAATAATGACATATTTGTGAACTTAATATTATAACTGTGTATTATTATGAATTGAGTAGATTCTAGAGAAAACGAAATGCTTTAACCACCCTCTCTATATATATTATTATTTTACTTTGACGATCATAACCTGAGATTTATATCGGCCGAACGCATTTATATTGAAGTTCTCCGATAGACAAAGGGGAATTTCGAGCCAATTTTACGAGACACTAAACCTGGATACTTGCTTTCTTACAGTTTGCTACCTGCATAGACTAAAACTACATAATATTGCCCACCTTTTATTACATAATAGGACTGTATTGTGCTCAATTTTTAGAATTCACTCGGCCGAAGCCAATTTAGATCAAAAAGATCATAGCATCTAGTTATGGAAGATTCGGCCATTAAGATTTCATTATGCTTAGTAAACTTTTAGGATAAATTAACTGGAATGTGTACCTATGGGGTGTTGGGCGTGATATAGCATTTCCTTGATGGAAAACTATTTATATGGCCTTTTCCGTTATCAGAAATGTATGTGAAACTAAAGAGTTTTTGGGGTCAAAATGCAACTTTGTGCATAAATAACTATGTGAATAGCTTTGATATATAAGCTAAGGTAATAGAAAACACTACTCAGAAGCAACAGTGACGTATACGCCCATTCCTCAAATGTTATCTGGTGGTATGTATTTGTCTTTTGTTCGTTTACTCAAATAGGATCTTGCTCACTTATTATAACTACTCTGGATTTGCAGAAATACTTATCGGGCCTTCGATTATATGACATTTGTTATTTGCATATATAAATTGCTATATGGACTTTTCAGAGTTTTTGCAAATTAGTCTTGAATTTTTCATTCAAAAGTTTTTCATCTCTTCGAGTAAAATAAAAGGCAATACCCGTCATAATTAATCCCAATGAACTTAAACATGCGGTATACGTGAACCCTTTGAAGTACTCTGGTTGATCTGCTGTGTCCCAAACAAAAATCGGCACAAAAGCATTGGTTACATATGCCAATACATTTGTGCAAACGACTACAAAGTTTCTTTTCATATCGTCATGAAACAATAACCTATTAACCCACGAAAAGATTTGTGGTTGACCCCAAGATGTTGGAACACCAATCAAAAAGTAGCAAAACCACTGTAACCCTTCAGGTATGTTCCAATGCGCTAATAGCGAACAGCCGATCATTAAGCATATGAAGAAGGCAGCGACAAGATAATGATTTTTTGTTCCTCCAATAAAATCGGCGAAGTACGCTAATATTATTGTGAAACCGATCCCAGCACCACTAACTGCAGCAGTCATATGATTATATACTTGTTGAGGTTCGCCCAAAGTTATCTTCATCCATGTTTGGAATGTAGGCTGACTGTTGGCAGCACAACTATTGTTGTAAGCCAAAAAAATAATTGGAAAAACGTAAATGTGCCAAGTATTAAAAAATGACTTTATTTTCTTCCAAGTGTACTTTGATCGTGTGTTCAATTGAGCCCCAATTCTCCTTCTTCTCTCAAGGGCAATTAATCTATCGGTCTCGGTCCAGTACCAAGAGGTAGTAGTCGATGGCGTATTAGGATCAACAAATAAAGTGTAAATTCCAATTGGTAGTGATATCACAGCGTCAAAAACAAACATCCATTTAAAGGGAGGAAGCTTACTATTCGCGAAGTTAGTTAAGATTCTACTTTGTAAGGGTCCGGATACCAACCCCGAAGCCACACCAGCACAAGCAAAGAATGAAGATCTCTTGCTCAACTCTTTCTTCCCATACCATGAACCAACTAAATACTCGAGCCCAGGGAAATACCCAGACTCTGTTAATCCAATTAAAAACCTCAAAGCATAAAGTCCTTTCAAAGATTTGCATGTAATCATTAGGACAGTCAAAATTGCCCACGTAATCTCCAAGCCTCCAAGATAATATCGGGCACTAATTCTGTGAAGAATCAAATTCGATGGCACTTGTCCAATGATGTAGCCCACTGTCCACAATGTTTGAAGGTAGTTGTATTGATTAGCATTCATCTCGTAGTATTCATCCATACCATTGACATACGCTGTCGTAACATTACTTGCGTTCAACTGTTTAATAAAATATCCTAACATAGAAGAACTCATTAAAAAAAAATCTAGCTTTAACAAAAACTTCTTCTCTAAGGGATGCTTATCTACTGAATCCCATAACAAGAGCTTAAATTTAAACCATTTGGAAGTCTCACGGTATTCTTTTTCTTCTTCAGTTAAGTTCAACGATAGATCAATACGAGGACTTTGATCACTATCTAAATCATCTTGTGATTCATTCACTTCTATAGTTCCATATTCATCTTTCAGAGTCAATTTGCTTAAAGGTTTGCTTCCGTCTTCCCTTATTTCTGTTTGGGTCAGATCCCTGCTATCATCGGATAAAGGGGGTTGGTCCGATCGACCTCCGATCTTGTTCAAAAAAGTATTCATTCTATGTTGCATAAGATTCCAAGAATTTAGTTAGCGAAGAGTCTCTTCTTATTAGTCTCTTCCTGAGTGGTTCCAAACCATTTTCAATGTATAAATTGTGTTTTGCAGCCACACCTCGCAATCAATCTGCAGGTGATGCAAAATTATAAGAGGCTTGAGGAGACGCCACACGCTTTTGCTAAGACAACGCTATTACTAAGCACAAATTTGTATCCTACTGTGTGAGATCTAACTCCTCACTAGGATGATTTCTAAGATTCAAAAATTTTTGCTAAAAAGATAGGCTCAAACGTGTAAACAATACGGAATATGATTACCAGGCAAATAATATTAGAGGTTTTTCTCCAAGTCAATTCATTGCAGGCTATGTGTTTAAAAGCTTCATAAATGTTTTTTAAAAACCGTGTTACACCTCGAACCAGGATATCAGAAGTTTCCGGGAATCTTTTATACTGGTTTTGAAAGTTTTCCGTCATTTTCATGGTGCAATAAAATCCTCAAAATCGTGCTATTCGTTTGATCAAAATTCTTTTTTTATATGTTGCAGTCTACAGCTTAGGGGTATAGACCTTACAGAGAAATGAGAGCCGACATAGTTAGCTAGGCAATGATGCCTCCTATGACGATAGTCACAAAGGGTCCAGACTGCAAGCGCTGGATTCTTAGTAACAAAAACAATTTTTATAATGTACATTTCCCAATCAATGGTACCAAGTATTTTGGGTACGACGTTTAATAAATTATCAGTCCACGGGTAAACTCAAAATCGTTGCGACCATAAGTGAGATACGAGTATCGTCGTTAGTTTTACAGGCGATACTTAGTTTTTGGTTTTTATTCCAATTCGTGGTTACTGATAGATCGATCAAGTTTGTATACGGGTATTATTCCACTCATTGGGCCCTTCTCTTATAAACAGGGACAGTAATAAGCCAAGGCATAAAAAATTCAGAAATATCTGGGTCAGGAAGATTTCTTAGAAAGATCTTTCTTAATAAACTCTCCCTTTCGCTGTTCAAGTGTTGCGATAAAACTAGACGCAGATTTATTACCCCCTTCAGATTGGTTTTTTGCTCCTTTTATTGTGGGTTTGCTCACGGACACTTATATCAAACTTCTTTTTCTTTTTTTTAAATGTGGCAGTTTCCAAAACTTCTCAATGATCAAATGTGTCGGGTTGCTCCGCACGATTTCAACTCTATTAGAAACAAAATACTCAGGGTAGAATTGCTGAAGTTGGCGATGAACTAGCAGTGTATCTAAAAAAAGAAAAATGATCACAGCAATATGTCTTCAGTCTATTTGGAAGAGTATTAGCACAACTTGATCATTTTAAAACGATATTTAAAATAGGAATCAAATATTAATTTGAACTCAGCTTTTCAAATAAAGGCAAAGTGATGGCTGCCTCGAGTGCGAGACCTGAAGTTCAATTAGACTTCTTTTTCAGCTCAAGCGATTTTGTGGGTTAAATAGATTGCGAAGAAATTATATCCTAGGAACAAAAATGGTTTGCAAGAAGTTATAGAAACTTTGAATTTGTATCCTAGTGAGCGTTTTCTAATATTCAAAGATGCCACCTGCATCTTAATAGCTGCTTTGTCCGTTCAAAAGTTTGGCATATATGCACGCGCATGTAAATGTTTGCGTCAAGCTCGATCACTCGCTTCTTTATGCTACGATGGTAAGAAAATATAATCACAAAACACATTTATTTCTCAATATTAAGTTGAAGTTAAACTATTTACCAAGAACTTGGGTAAGCAAAGCATCAAGACCTGAAGCGAGATTGTTAAGCAATGGGTCTGCTAAATTGTCAATCTCAGTAATGGTGTTGTTAAGCAAAGACAGGTCGACTGTCTTTTCAAGAGTTGCATCGACACCATCAAGAATTTTCTCAATCTTGGAAAGAACATTAGTAAGAAGGTTCACTCCTAAAGCCGGAAGGGCAGCGAAAACGACAACCATAAGGAAGGTGATGAATTGAGCTTGGAATTTCATTTCTAGTTATATTTATTTGGGTATATTTTATAATCGATATTTGATATAGGACAAACAAGCTAAAAGCAAGTGTCTATCGCCCTGAATTTATAGTTTTTTGTCGCAAGAATTTTTCAGTAGCTCGGTTTTCCTCTCGCTTGCTAAATGCCCTTATGAGCAATAGTTAAACACGATATCAGAGCGACTTCTATTGTTCAACGTGAAGCAATGAAATTTTAGAATCGGAGTCTGGCGTTCTCTTGATAATTTTGCAAATTTATTGTGGAGCGATTCTAATTAGGATAAAAACTTTCTCTTCTTATCAGTATTAACAGCCCTGATTGAACATATTTCAAGAGTTCGTCACGATCACGTGAGTTCTTGTATTGTTTTTTATTGACGGATGATTATGTGAATAAGTTATTCAATGCACGTTTTCGAGTCACAATCCGCCCAGTTTTCAAAAGTAAATAATGGAATAACTGCCCAATAACAAGGGCTGGAGATTGTTGGCTATTGCTCTACGTTACTAAATAGGTCGGATTTATGATGCTATTTTGGGACTGTGGTTTGCTTCCTCTCGGATTTAAAGAATGTCACTGAACGAATAAGTAGAGATCTGAGCTTCTTAAAAATTTGGCTTGTTGCCATGCCAGACAGGCATTTAAAGACTGTCAAAAGGTCTTTTCCTAATTTATTGCCCGATGTCACGCGCTGTATTTACCAAAAGATAAGCTCGAAACTCGATTTGAGATTACACCACACAATACCCCAGGAGAATGCGAAATACAATAAGTTATTTCAGTAAGTGTTCCTAACTAGATAAGATTATCGAGTGTCCCCGAAATCAGAAAATTTCAAGTTGCGATTTACAGAACCTTCCAATAATATTAAAAGTTAGAGTTATCTCTAATTAGATAAGCTCTCTTCGGTCACGTACTATATATAATTGTTACAAAGTTTGGAGGCTGAACAATAACCCAAAAGTGCACAAAGATAACAGTGAAATAAAACTTCTTCAATATAGAAAGTATTTGTTTAACGAAATAGCTAGGGGAAAAGTATTGAAGATTTTCGATACATTTATGTTGAATCCACCTTTCTGCTAGTCTTTTCATCAGCTATTGCTGCCACATTTTTATTCCTTGCTATTATATAAGAAAGGTGGCAACTATTAAGAAATATCATGAAACTTTCTGCATACATCCTGGAACCTAGTTATTCAAGATCAGCCTACCTTCTGTCCATGAGTCTATAATTGTGATCCAGTTAAGTAGCGTAAACGGAAAACAGAAATCAAGTTAAAAGAACCTGATTAGTAACCTGCTACCCTGGACTCAAGATTTGATTTTCCTGTAGCCTTCATCCTGTAACCTGCATTTTCACCATTTCTTAGCCCAGATTTATTTTCGCTTTACAGTATTTCATTTATCGGCAAGTTTAGCGACTGAAATTCTTCTTTCATTTTTCCGCGTCATCTTGATCAATGCAAAAAAAAGTATTGCGAAATCAATAATTGTCGCGCAATATACGCGCAAATAACTAAAAGAGCGCAAAAATGAAGTTGCAAAAAGTAGTATAAGTACTCACTGTAATCAGAAGGATCCAAAATATCTTTGAATATCAACTAAAAATGACTTTATCTATCACCACTCTATTTCTGATTTTGTCGTATTTAAGCAATGTACGTGGAAGCGTAATCCCTACAGAAAGGAATCTACAACAGCTCGTTTTGCAATGCGAACCTTACAGTGATCCAGAAGCGTCGACGCAATTTAGCATCTCTGAAGGGAGAGATTCAATGGCTATTTCTCGTTCAGGAAAAGATGTATCCAAGAAGACTTTCTTGGATAGGTACTTTGGTCCTTTTCTTGACAATGCTCAAGATTCACTTACTATTAAAGCTCCGAATGGTTCAGATAAGAAGCATCCTGAGCCTTTGAAGAATAATCTCCATTCGCTCATGATCAATGACGAGTATGAGTATCCCGATAAAGACGATCTACGTGACATTAATGGAACAAATACATTATATAGGGGAGGAGAATTTGGAGGTTTAACTACTTTTGCTCATTTACCTTACGCGAACTGCTACGATCCCGAATACTTCGAAAAAGAGAAATTTGATATTGCCATCGTTGGGGCACCTTTTGATTCTGGAGTATCGTACAGACCGGGTGCAAGATTTGGCCCAAGTGGTATTCGAATGGGCTCGCGTCGTTTGGCTCCCGCTTATTCCGTCTACAGAGATGGCTTTGATCCATATTCCAACTGGGCTAAAATTGTTGACTGTGGTGACCCGCCGGTGACCCCATTGGACAATAGAATTGCTTTGGATCAAATTTACAGAGCAAATCGTGCCATCGCCAAACATGCTACCGAAAATGAGAAACTTAAGGCACCAAAGCTCTTTACCCTTGGAGGAGATCACACAATCACTTTGCCAGCAATTAAAGCTGCTTATGAGAAATGGGGCCCCATCACAGTTATCCACTTTGACTCCCATTTAGATACCTGGAACCCTTATTATTTTGGTGGAAATGTTACTGATTACCAGTCTGTGAACCATGGTACTTATTTACATTGGGCTCACGAAAAAGGTCTTTTGACAGATAAGTCAATTCATGCGGCTATTAGAGGACCATATCCAGGGCCAAGAGATGTCAGACACGATGAAAAATGTGGTTTTGACAGGATTTTGGCAAGGGATATTGATAAAATCGGAACACATGGTATTATCAATAGGATCAAAGAAAGAGTTGGCGACGGTGCCATTTATATTACTGTGGATGTGGATTCGATGGATCCAGCAAATACACCCGCCTCTGGTACTGTTGAGCCTGGTGGATGGACTTCAAGAGAACTTTTAACAATTTTGGATGGTTTAGAAGGACTTAATGTGGTTGGAGGAGATGTTGTAGAGGTTGCCCCCCCTTATGATACTGCAGCTGAGTTGACTTCCATCACAGCTGCGCAAGTCGCAGACTCAATTATCTCTTTGATGATTTTGAAGGAAGAGAAACCCGAAGACGCAAAAAAGTCCAATAAGTAGTCTACATAGTTATTTTTAGCCTAATTTACTATTTTCCTATAAATTTTTCAAGTGATAAATCGAGAATTCGATATTCAATTCTTTTGTAAGTCTGTCTTTGCATGTTCTGTAGCATTCCGGTCCCTTTTTTCTTGGGTTTATCGAAAATCTTGATCATTTGCGCTTTTGACTTGCGCGCAAAAAGCTGCTTATCATATTTGCGTTTCTTCATCAGTTCAAAATTACGCTAAAAGACGCATTGTGGAACCAATGATAAGATCATACAAAATATTAGTGACCTACCTTTAAGATAAAAAATCTTTCAAAGTTCAAAATACTTAAAACATTTTCTACAGAGTAAAGTCCTGTGGCTGATATCCACTAATAATTTTGAAAATGGACGAAAACAACAATCTCTTAACAAACTCGAATAAGTTCGGTAGCTATACGACAGACCACAGTCTCGAGCTGTCAACATCTGAAAGAAATAGGGAGTTAGCGACAAATACAAGCAAAGAATTGATCATAATAATTAAATCATCTTTGCCTCTTATAGTCACTTTGTTGTTGCAGTACTCTTTGACAGTGTTTTCTATATTTTCCGTTGGAAAACTCGGAAAAAAGGAATTAGCATCTGTCTCTTTGGCAACAATTACTTATAACGTCACTGTGTCGATATTCAATGGTATGGCTACCAGCTTGGATACATACTGTGCTCAGGCACATGGTGCAGGGAACTATCCAATGGTAAGCATCTACTTTCAAAGATGCAGCGCAATGATTTTAATAACCTCAATTCCGATCATTGCATTTTGGTGTTTTAGTGCCTCTATACTTAAATATGTGGTTCCTGAGAAAGAATTACTTTTGTTAGCCCAACAATATTTAAGATACTTATCCCTTGGCACTCCAGGATATATTATGTTTGAAACAGGTAAGAGATTTTTACAATGCCAGGGTATTTATAGTGCTGGTCAATACTGCTTATTTTTGGTTGCACCACTCAACATTGTACTCAATTTGTTCTTGGTTTGGAATAAAGATCACGGACTTGGATTTATCGGTGCACCTATTTCCATAGTAATAAGCTATTGGATGATGAGTCTACTTTTACTAATGTATGTAGTATTTATTGACGGAAAAAAGTGCTGGTTTGGACTTAAACTAAAACTGGCATTCAACGTGAAAGAGTGGACCTCTATGTTTTCCCTTGCATTGAATGGTACAGCTATGTTACTTTCAGAGTTCATTGCTTTTGAGATATTAACATTATCAGCCTCAAGATTTGGAACGACTGCGCTTGCAGCTCAGTCAATTGCGTCTACAATGGCTACGTTATCTTTTCAATTACCGTTTGGCGTCTCAATCGCGCTCTCCACTAGAGTTGCGCAGCATATTGGACTGCAAAATTTGCTAGCTGCAGTCATAGCGAATAAAGTAACTTACGCCCTTTCTGGTCTTTTAGGGTTATCCAGTTGTTTGTTTTTAGTTAGTTGTCGCTATTTTCTTGCAAGTTGCTTTACTAGTGATTCTGAAGTCATAATAATTGGGCTGCGCTTAATTTCGATTCTTGGAGTTAATCAGTTATATGATTGTCCTAATGTGATTCTCGCTGGGTGTTTGAGAGGACAAGGAAGACAAAAAATCGGCTCATTACTCAACTTGTTCGCATATTATGTTGTTGCAGTTCCTTTAGCCCTAACTTTAGCTTTTTGTTTCAAATTAACACTTGTTGGTCTCTGGGTAGGGATTGGTGTGGGAATAGTTACGTTGGCTGCTTGCGAATTTTGGTTTGTCTATCACTCAAATTGGGAAGAAATCCTTGAAAGGTCGAGACAGCGTATTAGTGAATAGCCAATTCTTTAAATGTGAATCAGGGTTCCTCATAGGTTTTTTAAAAAGTGTATTGTTGAAAAGAATATATAGACATAAGTAATATAATGAAAAGGTATCGATATATCTGACAGAAAAAAAATATGATTTCAAAAATCACTAAACTGTTTCCTTAAGTTACATATCCTTATTTCATATTATACTTTTTTTAAAAAAGAAGCGCAAGGTGAAAAGAGATTTTAACGACTTTTGCGATTTTTGCAATTTTATCTTAATTCTATATATATCCCATATAATGATAATCTAATACATACTAATGTCCCAACAAAATCCGAGAATGAAATTAAAAAAGCACAGAAAGTAAATAATTTCCTCAATTAAACCTCATATATCACATTATTGACGTCTTGTTTCTTAAGAGAAGAGTTTAAATCAACGTTCTCCTTTTCTTCTTCAATTCCTTCGATTACCTCGGATGGATCCATTTCCAACTCTTCACGCTCTTTTGGAGTGAAAGCATTAAAGTAGTCTTCCTTGTCACTAACACCTAGATTGCCTGGAGGAAATACTTTGCAAACAATGATATACAAAACAAATGGACAGAAGAAAGCGAATACAATGTTTCCATAGAAAAAGTTACTCAAACCAACAGGAATATTGGTGTTTTGAACACTTGCAATTAGGGCCGGGATGCCTGGAACTACTCCTGCTAGCCAGACCGAGATCGCCCTAAAATTAAAACCTTTTGTGAAATAGAATGTTCCCGAAGGAGATGTGCTATATAGATCTTGCAACGGTATAACCGATCTTCTAATAACACTGAAGTCTGCAATCAATATTGAAATGATAGGGGTCACAATAACTCCAAAAGAGCTCATGACGCTTATGAAAACAGACGAGGTATTATAGAACTTCCATGGCTGCACAACCCATGAGAGCAATGCAGTTATAATAGCACCTCTACGAATATTAATATACTTCGGGCTTATTCCTGATAAATCCATTCCACCTGCAAATCCATTAGCTAAAACATTGAAGGTGAGCTGTGAAGATGCAAATGCAAGACCAAGAAAAAAAGCCGCTGCTCTTAGTCCTGATGAGTAATTTTCATCGAGCCAGCGTAACACAATGTCGGTTGGTAACCATAACTCACTCCCATAGAGATCCTTGGTAGCTGATGCACATATGAGCCCAAAAAGTGGAACCAACGTGCCACTTGTTAAAACAGAGACAACAATTCCTAGGTACATTTTTTTCTTCGACGAAGCGAATCTTGAAAAATCGCTCTGATTTGTGACATCTGGAGATAAGGCACCATACCAGATAGTCATCGAGTAAAGCCACATCCAGCCAGTTTTTGCCTTGCTTAAAGTAACCTTCTCGTAGTAAACTGTTCCTGGACCACCATTTTTTGCTAAACAAGTTGCGAATATCGCAACAAAAGATATACCTGCGAAAAGACAAGATACATTAACGTATCGATCCATTTTTTCTGGCTTCATGAAATAGAAGAATAGTTGGATTATTTGAAAACAAAGAAAGCCAATGAAGTCTCTCGTAGTCATTGCAACACTCTCTGGGAATGTATTTTTCATGTTTAGAAAATTCTCACTAAAACTCGAAAAAGCGACAACCAATCCTAGTCCCAACCAGCTTTGAGATCCATAAAATACAATTGACAATATAATTCTAATTACTATCCCAATTCCAGAGCCATATATCCCAAAAATGATTCTCTGACATACAGTATAGCCAATGTGGTATTTTGCGCCCATTGTTGAATTTAAACAAGTATAGACGATAATAATTATGTTTCCAATTGTTAAAGCTCCCATGGTGTGCTGAATGTTCAACCCTAAAGCTAGCATTGCACTACCAGTAGACCACGTCCAAATGGTGATATTAGGCACTGCCCAATAACCAAAAAAAGACCAGAATCCCCATGTTCTCCTTGATGGCAGCATTGGTTCTAAATCCGGGTTTTCAAGAATCGAAGGCTCAACATGCCCTTCATGAGGGACCTCAAGAGCGAGTGCTAGTCTAGAAAAAATATCTCCTGTAGTCATATGATAATGCTGGGGAAATAGAGGTTAAGGGGATAGCATAATTGTTGTATCCATATATATATTTATATATGTGTCTTCATCCGTTAGAATCTTTTTATCTGCTAAAGTTCCGAAGGAAATCTTAGATAATGCTATCGACAATCTATACTGCAGATTGTCTGTAAGCAGTTTGCGAGTAGATTAGAAAAAACATAGAGATTTGCGCCTTAAAAAATTGCGCTCGCGCAAAAAAAGTTATCGTAATCTCGTTTATATGAGCAAAAAAACGTAGATCTCATAATAATATATATTACACTAATTCGAAAAGACAACACCTTACATGGAAACTGAAAAAGGAGGACTTAAATTAACCCCCAATGATAAAATTCAGTCTCCAGAACTTAAAATGATATTTTCCTTTAACACAAGAGCTAAGGGTGCTTCTTTGCTGCTCTTGTGATGGCTGCATTTTTTTTTTTCTTGAAAAGATTGGCCAATTCCAGAAATCCATGGGAGTGAAAACATAGGCACACAGGAACAGTTACTTTATAGCGCATGTTAAGTTATATCTTAGCAAAGTTAGCTACGTATTCATAGCAACTACATAATATATGATAGAGGGAAATAAATCAAGATAAACATGGCAAATAATAATTCCATAAAATTTTGCTATTAACTGTAGGCATGTGAAATAGATGCAATTAATTCAAAGAACTAAAAAGACATGATCCTACTTTCTTGGTTGAAATTTGGAGCCACGGTGAATGTTTGACAATTTTAGCATATATCTTTCTCTCCTGAACTTGCCTTTTGAAGAATCACACATACTGTAATGTGTATATGAAAAAGCCTTTGCATATGTATAGAGACTTATCTGATATTAATCTGCCGCAAATGAAAGCTTGAAATTCTTAATATTTCCTAGGAAAAAAAAATTCATTAGTACGTAACGATGTCAATATCGTCATCAATTGCATCAGACTCTTCTTTATGACAGGAGGTACTTGAATGTATTTTCCAGGCCCTGTTCATCATTTTCAATGCATGAATAGCACTTTCTGATCCGATTTGAGCGGATAACCTAAAAAGTTTCATAATTAAGAATTTTTGATCTTCATTTATGCAATTCATACCTGCAACGAACATTGGCCATTGTATGATGATCATGGAGCTCTTTATGAACAGCGGTGTGTCTTGGATCTTTTCCAAAAATGAAATTAAAGAGACTAGCTTTGAGCTCACAGCCTGTACATGAGGCGAGTCATAACTCATTTGAAAACCTTTACTGAATATCGTAATAATAGACGCCAATACGTACGATAAATGTGACGTATCCATCCAGCTAATAACATATTTCTCATTATCCAAAATCGTAATATCAAGCAACTGCCCCTTTGGAAGGTTACCATTCTGAAATTCAGAGAGTTTAACGATCCCACCTGCCTGAATGAAAGTGATTTCAGCTTGCTTATAAAATTCTGATAGAAGTCGAAGACACTGAAACGTATCAGGAATGTACCTCTCTCTTTCGTTTCTGGCTTTGTTTAATAATTTTATCAAATCCCTCAAATGGGTAACACACGAGCCATGGAACCCACATAGCAAATTAAAGCCATTGTCTTTCATAAGTCCAAGTTCTTTTAGAACTCTGATCTCATTCAGACTACCTGGGTTGAGTATTAGATCTAATTCCTCTTCAGTTTTGAGGGTTCCTCCGCGCTTCGAACTAAGGCCAGCTAAAATTTCGAGTGATATAAACCAAAACTTGCAAAATACTAACACCTTCGAATCTTTCAATTTTGAGTACCTCTCATATTTCGAGGAAGAATGCTTCAATAAAATATCCTTGGCGCCCCTTAAATGTGGTCGCCAGTCTTGATTCTTATTGGATGCGTTTGATGACGTTAAAAGCAATACAGTAAGGAGCACTGTCTCTATATTTGAAGTCAAAATACTTGGATCATTCATTTTGTGGCTCTTCAAAATAGCTGGCTCCAAAAGCTTTAGGCATCTAGAAAGGTATTTGCAAGACGCCTCTTCATCTTCTGGCAAAAGATTTTTCTTATAACACGTCTTTGCACCTTGAGCTAAAACGGCAGCTAAAAGAAAAGACTCACGAGAGGCACAATCGAGCAAAATATCTCTAGCTGGGTTGAAATAGCAATTTAAGTTTTGGTCATACGAATTAAATGGTAATATAATATTTGCAAAATCATTGAAAAATTCTTCGAGATATAACTTTTCGTGGTTCATCTTGACTTTGATGTAATCAAAAGGAATATTTCTGACTAGGACCTTCTCTTCACCATGTCGATCAAGATTTTTTGTAGGAGGAGAATCGTTGTGGGAATTCAGGGCTTCGTCTTCATTCAGAAAAAGGTCGTCAATAAAACTATCTTCTGCACTGCGGTCCTCAAAGTGCGATTTTGGCATCATATTGTTGACAATGCTATTTAAGTCTGAAGCGAGTAAGGTTAGATCTTCCTGATTAATATCTTGAAAGAGTTCGGAATCGACACTTTTGGTTGTCTCCTTCTCAACATTATGTGTGCTTTTATCGCCAAAGATCGACAGATCCTCCCTATTTGATGAAAATGATGATAGGTGACTCGAGTGATTTTTTCTACTTGAAGAATTATTTGACTTCAATGAATCAGAGGGGGACAGGTTTTGATTGGGATGATCAGAATTATAATGATTTTGAGAGACCAGTATTTGGCTATCATTCAAGAGCTTCAGGATTGAAGTAGGCGACGGGTATATCATGTTAGTGTCCTCTTGGGGTGCTACTGCGGCTTCTCGACTTCCATTGAGTGAGGAAGCAAAATTTCTCTCCATGGATTGTGATAGTCGAACATCATTGATACTATATATTTCAATACCCCCTTTCTCTTGTAACGATGCCACTTGGACTTGAGATGGTTCCATCATTTCTCTTCTAGATACTCTCATAACCTTCTCGCCAATACCAGGATATGTACATGTCTTTCGTAATCGTTCACATTGCCAACATTGAGGTTTCCCTTCATCACATTTAATTTTTCTCCTTTTGCATTCTCTACATCCGTTCTTGCTATAACAGCCTCTCTTTTTTTTCCTTTCTATATCTAAACTCGATGAGATCTTATTCATTTCAGACCTTACATCGGGTGAATCTATGAATCTTCAAAAATGTGATCAGTATTTATCTTTATGAAGAGAACTATCTAAGTCGTGTATTACATCAAATAATATGATAGCGACTGATTAACTAGAATTTTATTAGAAATGATACTGCTAATTGTAGTATCGATCCGCCCAATATTGCCATATGAAAACCAAAAGTTTTTATTTAAAATTTTACAAAGTGGAATACCAGAGAGTCGATCCCCCTATTTTAATTTTCATGAAGGTCATAGAACAAGATTATGTGACCAGGTAATATGAGGACTTTACGATTGCAAAATTAGAAACAATCGCGATACTCAAGTTTAGGAATAGGAGTTCCATTTCCTAAAAGTGTATCGTACTCAGGACCTATCTCTATCATTCCGGTTTCAGCTACATAGTTTGTCCAGTGATGCAACAAGTCCTCAAGTACTTCGCCATACTCTGCGGCAACGTTCTTGGTTTCACCCGGGTCCGTCCTAATGTTGAATAGCTCCCATTTACCAGCTCCGAAAGGCTTAGGTACGAAAAGAGCCTTGTAGTTTCCCTTTCTAATAGCTTGCTGACCGAAAAGCTCCCAACCGGTAACTGTATTCTCATCGTGCACCTCCTGGGAGTCTCCACGTAAATAGCTAACCCAGGAAGCTCCTTTAGGCTTTACCACACGCCTTGATTTATAGAGCTCTCCAGGATGTTTGACATGTGCCAATTCCAATACAGTGGGAAGAATATCCATAACGGTAATAAACGTGTTATGGATTCGGTTATTGCCATCTGTCAAAGGTTGCAAAAGAGGAGGATAATGAACAATTAAAGGACAGCGTATACCGCCTTCGGAGGCCCAAGCCTTAAACTTAAACCATGGAGCAGTGGCCGCTTGCGCCCATTGGTCATTGTAATAGACAAAAGAATCTTTTTTTCCAATATTCTCATAGGAATTGTTGTAATTATTCTTTATTGATTGAATAACGTTAGTTGCACCCAACGGCAATGCCTCATGTATCATTCCATCAGCACCGTTATCAGACATGAATAATATGAATGTGTGCTCCAACTCGTCCCTTTCTTCTAGCAGTCTGATTACTCTGCCAATATTTTCATCCAAGATTTCTACCATGGCAGCATATGTTTCCATTATTCTTTCTTCATACTTACGTTCATCATCATTTAGCTCTTGCCATCTCTTAGTCTTGTGAGTAGTCATTTTGTGAGGATCAACGCCTTCAGGTATAATTTCTTTTCTAAAAGCTTCAGCTAACCTCGAATTTCTTAACTCCTCAGGGCCCTTATTGTATTTTCCACGGTATTTCTCAACTCTAGATGCTGGAGCTTGGAAAGGCCAATGTGGAGCTGTATAGGTCAAACATCCAAAGAAAGGTCTATCACCTCTCACTTCATCATCGCTTATATAGCTAATTCCTTTGTCCGTATAAAAGTTTGTTGAGTAAAAATCCTCTGGAATCTCTTTCTCAGGATCCACCTCTCTGTCATCCTCACAAAACAAAGCTGGCAAAAATGTATTTTTTTCGTTCAAATTAGGAAAGTATTTGAAGTGACTACCTGCTCCCGGAAGTAAAGTGTAGGATTTTTCGAAACCTCTTTGAATTGGCCACTGGTCCTTTAATAAACCCAAATGCCATTTGCCAGTGATCCAAGTATAGTACCCGTTGTCCTTCAAAATCTCTGGTAATGGAGCTACTCGGTCATTTAAATAACCCTCATAGCCTGGTTTACCATTTAATTTTTCAAATACCAAGGGATTACCTCTTATAAATTCAGCCATCTGTCCAACACCAGCAATGTGATTATCTGTACCTGAAAACAACATTGATCTAGTTGGAGAACAAGCTGGAGCCGTGTGGAAATCAGTAAATCTAGCTCCTGTACCATTTTTGTTCCACCCAAGACTCAATCGATCCAAGTTCGGGGTTTTGATCTCACTACCGAATGACCCTAAATCAGTAAAGCCTAAGTCATCTGCGACTATGATTAAAAAATTAGGACGTTTATCTTTCTGTGTCATGCTGAAGATAATATAATGTTAAAATAATGCAATTGGAGGTTACATTAATATGTTTTATATAATAGACCTTTGTGAGCCAGATATAATATCTAATTATGAACGCTTCATAATTATTGCAAAATTTGACGATTTCGAGAGCCACATTTATGCAACGAACGAGCGAGCGCAAATAGGCATCAGGGGAAAATGATTTTCACAAGACAGTATTCAACAAAAGATAAAATAGCAGCCACATTTTTTTAAAAAACAAAGTTCAAGCCAATGAAAACAGTTAAAACTTATTAAAGCCACTAGCAAAGAGCTAAGAAAAAACTGGACTTTAGTTATTTGAAAGCGGGAACGGTATCTACTATTTCAGGTTCCTTTTGTGAAAGGAAGCACATCTAGAAGTTAACTTTTAGCTGAGAAAATAGAGAGCCATGGGGCTTATTGATACCAATAGAAGAAAATGTTCAACGTAAATCTTTTAGTCAGGTCAGATAGCCCAACTCAAAGAAGTATACTTACAAATTGAAAAATAATTCTTAAAAGCACTATTTAGTAGGCTTTTTTTTATTTTTTTTATAAAATAAAAGCGTAGAATCTTGTACAGTGAGCCAGGCAATTTTCAGTCTTCAATATTGCCTAAGAAACATGAAAATAGAGGCAAAAAAATGGATAGTTTGTGGACGCTTTTATCTTCTGCAGTGTTCCATACTAACCGATAGCTGTCACATTTATTTCTATTCAAATATATTTCATTAATATCATATGCGGGATAGTTATATATGTCATGAGGAGAGCCTTGCGGGATGTACGCACGCTTCTTCTCTGAAGATTTCACTTTTTAATTTCAGTAATTTATAATATTCTTAAAATAATCAATTTGAAGAAGTGTCGTTTCGGTCAAGAAACCTTGAAATCCCTAGTTGAGTCATGGAAAATATAGGATCATCCAGTAGGAAAAAGAATCAAAATAAGAATTGTCAGGATTAGCTCCAAGAGGACGCTTCCTTTTCAATTCAGATGATTCTTCACCAGGAACTTGAACCAGTTAACCACTGTCAATAGAAGCAGCGCTAGGCAATTTTGAACATTCGATTGCGCATACATCTAAATTGAGGAGTCCAAGAGTTTTCCTTTAATACGCCAGTGCATAAAAACGATATATACAATTCGAGACTTTGATACCTACACAGCACCAACGTCATTTCCTCTTATGCTTCTTTGTAGCCTTTATGTTAGTCTCAGCTCTCTTTAATTGAACTGGATGTTGACCAATATACTTTCCATTCATTTCTTTAAATGCTTTGAAATAATCATCAGAGCTTTCAAAAGCTACAAAACCATATCCTTTATTCTTGCCAGTCTTCTTGTCGATAGGAACTTTAACTTTAGATATTGTTTGGTACTTTTTGAATGAGTTAAATAATAAGCTATCATTTGCATCATCACCAAGGTTCCCTACGAAGAGCCTAAAATGCTTGGGATTCCACTCCAAAAGGGAAGAATCTTCCCAGGATTTACTACCAGAAGTCCTCTTTACGGTTTTAGATTCATCATTGTGAACTTGGTGGATGTTAGTCGACGAAATTTGTGTTGGCAGTGCAGCTACTGTTCCAGATATTACACTATGTAAGTAACTCACGGGCTTCCTACCCCCGGCAACACGTCTATCAGAAGACTTTGAGGAATGATGAGGCTTGTGTATACCGTTGTTGGATGACTTCCTTTCGCTACCCTTCATATACTTTATCCGATGACTTCTCTCCTCAGTCACACAACCGAAGTCGAACTTTATGTTCGATGAGATGCAATTTTTAATCTCGATGTAAAATAATGAATATATAATTACCTTAGGGAACAGGGTACTCTTTAAAGAGCAAATGTTTATTCTTTCAGAATTATCAGATTTAGTTCGTATCCCTCCTAGTACGTTCAATCTTCCGACAAGAGAATCGATAATAAATGAATTAAGCAAGAAATACTCCAATAAGGTAGTAAATGATTTGGGCCTTGCAATATCAATATGGGACGTATTAGAAATAAAGGAGGGTTTACTCAAACCAGGTGATGGCGCTGCTTACGTGGAAACACGGTTTAGGTGTGTAATATGGAAGCCTTTCGTTGGAGAAGTTCTAATTGGATGGGTTTCAGATTGTACTCCTGAGGGTATAAAGGTCAAGTTAGACTTTTTCGACGAGATATTCGTCCCAAAGAACTATTTATTCGAGAACTGTGTCTTTAGAGAGGCAGAAAAGGCATGGGTATGGCAGCCTGACGAGGAAGCAGAATTATTCATTGATATAAACGAAAAGATTAGATTCAGAGTAGAGGAGGAGATATTTGTCAATATTAAACCAAAGGCAAATGAAGAAGATGAAGATAATTCCGAAAGACCTCCTTCCTATGCATTGTTAGCATCGTGCCAAACAGATGGAATGGGATGTGTTACTTGGTGGGAATAAGTTAAGACCGCTGCATTACATAAATATAAAAGATACTATAATAATAATTTCTATTTCTTATGTATATAAATTAACATAAAAAATTAGTTATATTGCATATATTGACTGGTGGAACTAAATTTCAAGTTGCCCTTAATGACTTTATCTACAGCCTTCAAAAAATCTTTCTCATTTGCAACTTTCCTTCTAGCTCTTATAGCAAACATACCTGCTTCAGTACAGACAGATCTCAATTCTGCTCCGGTTGCATTTGGGCATAACCTGGAAATCAATTCCCATCTGATGTCTTTCTCGCAGCTCATTGTCTTAGAATGGATTCTAAAGATATTAGCTCTTCCTTCCAAATCAGGTAACGAGAATTCAACCTTACGATCAATTCTCCCTGGTCTCAATAGCGCAGGATCCAAAGTGTTGGGTCTATTTGTAGCAAACATAACTTTGATATTTCCTCTTGGATCAAAACCATCTAATTGCGTAATCAACTCCAACATTGTTCTTTGAACTTCGTTATCGCCGCCAGCCCCATCGTCAAATCTTGCACCGCCAATTGCGTCAACTTCATCAAAAAATATAATACAAGCCTTTTTGGTTCGGGCCATTTCAAACAACTCTCTCACCATTCTAGCACCTTCACCAACATATTTTTGTACTAATTCTGACCCAATTACCCTGATAAAAGTTGCATCCGTTCTATTTGCTACAGCTCTCGCACATAATGTTTTACCGGTTCCTGGTGGCCCATAAAGTAATATTCCTTTAGGTGGATCAATACCCAACTTCACAAACCTCTCTGGGGACAACAATGGTAATTCGACCACTTCTCTCAATTTTTCAATTTGTTCTTTACAACCTCCGACATCACTATATGTAATATCTGGTTTCTCTTCAACAGTCATCATAGAAACCGAAGGATCAATACGAGGAGGTAATGGCAATTGAATTTCATACTTTTGCCTGTCGACACCAACCCTCATACCCTCTTCAATATCGGTCGGTGAAACTCTTTCACCTAATGCTACCACAAACTTCGCAATTTGCTTTATATTAATCACATATTTTGATTTATTATCAGCATTTTGAAGTGCACCAGCTACAGGGTTGGGATTCGTTGCTTCTATGATCTTAGTACACCGAGCAACTTGTAATGGCTGTTCTTCTGACATTCTTTGCTTGTCTCCCATAACATCCCACAAATGTGGAGGCGCCAATCCAGTGTCACTCTCTTTAATCCCAATGCTTTCCTTTATTCGCTCTTCAATGTCTTTCAAGTCTTTTTCTATGTGCTTCAAAGACGACGCATATGGTGCAGCTCCATAAGTCTTCAAAACATGAATATCGCCTTCACTTAAAGGGACTATTTTTTCTTGAGACTTATCATCCTCTTCATCTGGAGCCACATACTTATCCCAATCTGCTTTCGGTGGCATATTAAATTCTATGTTCAAATGTCAAAACAGTATATTGAGAGTAGAACAAACGCTAGTCAAATCAGTGGCGATAGTGAATTTTGCCCTCATTGAAATACAAAAATGGGTACACACACTACTATTTAATCACTACAAGACTTAGAAGCTGACGGGTGCTACAAAACGTGAGGATATAGTTAGATATTCATAAGTTTATGAACGCATGCTGAGCTTAAAATATGAACAGTTTTCGAGAATTTAGAGTATTCTTCTCATGTGGTTTCTCAAGTTCGATATTTCTCTTGATAATGCAGATTTCTCTTCCGCACTAGTTTCAGAAATATTAACAGCAGAGCATGACTTATTTAGATCTTCAAGTAAATCAGAACTCTCTATGACTCTTTCTTGAAAACCCCGGGATCTAGATTGAGCATATCTCATAATATTAACAATTAGTTGTAAGTTTCCATAGCATTCGCCAAATTTTAAGGTCAACTCAACTGAATTTTGCTCAGAAGAACATACTGTTATGATACCATCTAAGGAATCAAGATTGAAAAGGATAACATTGAATAATTTCTTGTACCAGTACAAATTATTCAATGATATTTCTATGTTTGTCTTTGAATTGTCATTAAGAAGCAACGTAAAAGAATTAGAAAGAAATTGAAGGGTGAATTGAAACGATTCAGTCGAGGATAATTGATCTAATTCAATAAGGAGATAAAAATAGTCCATGTTGATAAACGTGATGTGATCCTTCAAGAAAACAGTTTGGGATATCGTTTTCTGAATTACCGAACTCGTTTCAATGCGCCAATTTTCGATTTTTCTTGAGTATTCTTTTAATTGCTCACTCTTTATCTCATCACTTAATGAAGTGACAGTAAACTTGAGGGTTAATAGAGAGCTTTGAAGTTGAGAAAACTTCACTATTTGATTGATAATGCCGATTTCTTCACCTTCGTAAAAGACTGATGATAGCACTGGACTTAAGCCGATGAACGAATCATTAGGAAGCTGACTCGGCCTGCCTAGCAAAAGACTCAATTCCTTATCTTGGATATAAGTTGACCAAAAGATTCTCTCTTTTATTACTGTAGAACTGTTTTTGAAAAGATCCAATTTGATAACAAGACGATCCAAAATTCCTACCAAACTCCAACATAGACTTTCATTTGAAACATTCAAGCTGTATATAGTGAGTAAAAGTAGTATTTTCATATTTTCCAAGTCATCTTCTGTCGTACTATTTATATTATAATTCAAGACTTCAAGGCTCGCTCTGATGACCTTCTCACTAAAATACGAATCAAAGAGTCGATTTTCCTTTCCGGAATCATAAATCAAACAGCCAATACTCATTATCAAATAAACTTCCAATGTTATGATCGCCTCATTTTTAAAATCAATCTTTTTGAATTCTTCCAAGAACAACTTTTTGTTAATAAATGGATATCGATGCTCATAGTTTGAAAAATAATTAGAGATAAAAATCATTGGTAATTCTTCGTCTTCTATAGGTTTCATTGTCATAAATTCTTCTTTTGGGTTATTCATAGAAGTCAGTTCCGTTGATTTCAATGCAAGAAGTTCTATAGATTGTTCTCCAGAAACCTTTGTTCTATTAATCCTCACGTTTTCTTCATTCATATCCTTTAAAAGCATTGAGCTTATGGACACCGGTTTGTGATAAGAAGTATCCATTTTCACATCTTTGCCGATATTCAGTACAGGTGAATTAGTCTTGGTGACTCCTTGAGACCCTTGCTCTTGTAACTGAGCAAGCTTCTGGTCACGCTTCGTTCTTTTATTGTTTCTTTCGACATAATCACAAACAGAGCCCGATTTCAAACAATTCAAGCATCTGGGATAGGATCGTGAGCATTTCTTCTTTAAACGATAACATCGTACGCAATTATTTGGGTGGTGTGTACTCGGTGACTCGACAGAGTTCTTCTGAGGCAAGACTTCAACATACGATTCGACTGATGTCTTTTCATTTCTCCCTTTCTGAGATAAAGACGGAGTACCTGAGGGGCTCCGGGGATTACTAGCAGATGTGCCTAGTCTGAATTTGCTAGTAACAGTTCCATTGCCCATCAGCTTCCTATAGTACACATCCATGATATCAAGTTTCAAATGAACTTAAAAAATGAAATAATAACAGAAATGCAGACAGCTAGGATCAAGCAACACTGTAGTTATTTAGTTGTTTGAATGGATCAACGTTCTCCTTCAAGAAAAAAAAAATTTAAAACAAAACCCAAGATACTTGGCTTTGACCTTGTTCTTGATAATCTTATACTATCTGAAGGATACTTATTCTAGAAGCAATACAACTATAATGATCTATATTGAATCTTCAGAGACGAATAGTTGTATTCTTGATGTGGCCGCCCTGCTCGGTATGAATAAGGCAAACTTTGCGGTCTTTACTTTATTGAATCCAATGAAAAAGCGGACTGTAGCCTATTTAGGAAGGCACGTGATTATGTTATCTATATACAGCAATTTAGACTTCTAGCAAATATGAGTATGTCACTTCAAAATACTGGATCCTTGAAAAGCTCCCTAGTAAATTAAGACAACTGCCAGCTCTAAAGAGAAAGGAGAGAACTATGAAACTAAGTGAGTTGAGCGTTTGATTCAGCTAGTTTTTGAGCTTCAATGGATTCTCTTAACTTAGAAAACTCTTCTACAGCTTTTGCTCTAAGGTCATCGAGGAGGATAGTTTGTTGCCTCGGATCAAAAGGAGGAAGCGTTTCGTGCAAAACCAAATCTGGTCTCCAGTGTTCGTCATCTCCTTTTCTCCATAAATTTTCCCAGTGCAAAATTGTATTCTCCAATTCAAACTCTTCTATAACATGTGACAAGTCGGCAACGGCCTCCTGAGAATACGTTGGTCGGTATTGTCCTGAATACCATGTATTACCTTCATCATTCTTTTTTCTCATCAGTTTAGCATCCTTCTGCTTAATTGTATCCCTAACTTTACGTAATTGTACTAATCCATTGTAAGCAGCTACAGCATACTCATAAGAGCTGAAATTAGCCACACACATAATTCTCCAAAGATCATTTCTTCGGCTAGGTTTCCTGTTCTCCCAATTAGGTCTCAAAAATTGCATATCAATTTGATCTTGATGATATGCTGGTACCTGAGAATATAATACTTGGCCACTGAATAGATTTTTGAATAAAAAAACTTGTGGTGCCATATTTAAACTGATCAAATCTTTTTCAGTCTTCTCGCCTTTGGCTATTCTAGCACCAAGGATCTTTCTAGCTTTGAGTTGCTCAAGAAGATGCTTGCGCATCTTCTTTTCAGCTCTCATACGCATTATTGGCATTTTTGAAGAAGGTGATGAAACTTGTTTACTTTCAAGAGTGAGCTAAAATTGCCCTGCTAACATCCATGCTTGAAAAATTTATGGTTCATTATTTTTAAAACGGACACAAAAACCAAAACCACTGGGCTCAGGCATGCGATCCATCACCTGATTAAACATCAATACTTATCGACAGTGGAACAGAAAAATCTCATATATTATTAGCACCTTTGATGAGGATAGCATGTTAAGACTAGGAATCACACGAAATGACGAATTTTCTTAAAATTCTCTTTGGTACCATGCCTTTCATTGTATCCTTTATCTCACTATTCGCTTGGACATATACCTGTATTTTCGATCATAAATTAATACATTCGTATTCTAGTCAGATGGATGTCAGGATTGCTCATATCAACGATTATATCAATAAAGAGTTCAATAAAAAGTATGGTACTCATTTAGTTGAAGCGATTCTCGAAGATGAGAAAGAAGACTATGGGTATCATGAAAGAGCTCCCCGAGGATTACAGGATTCGGAATGTAAGAAGACTATAGTTGTGAAATTTATATTCAGTTTCTCAATATCATTGAGTATTCAATTAATAATTTTGATGATGTGTGAGCTCACGGAATTCGCTTACGAAGAGTCTAGACTATTGATGTTTCAAATCACGATTGACTTGCTAATTTTTTTCATTACATTTATCCAGCCGTACATAATTATAAGCGCGTTGATAAATCATGATTTATATCCTACACAAAGGATGCAAATTGTGATAACATCGGCCTTTTTCATCTTGTGGCTCTATGTTTTGCATAAATTTGGTGACCTATCAAAATCATTCATACCAAATCCAGTTACTATTAATCCGAGATCATTGATCGAAATCAAGGTTAACGAGATATCTATTTCTGGCATAACAACATTAGCAATATTGTCTGGAATTGGTTCTACTTCGACACCTTATCGGCTTTTTGGTTTTACAAACGCGATAAGTAACATAATAAGCGGTAAAAGAAATAAGTATAAATCGAAAGAAATTAGCGAGTTAGACATCAATAATAACATACAATCATTAAACCATACAAATTCACTTTTATCAAAGAGGATTAGGGAGCTAAATAAACTCCAGTCAATTAATAGTGGTACTGTCTACAATCACCTGAACCCATCTTATGACAGTGTTCTTTACAAGAACGCCGGATCAAATAGACAAAAAGTGGACAGTTTACTTCATAAAGTGCAGTCATTTGCAAGTTTCTCTGGATTCTCTAAATCTAATGTTGAAGAAAAAGAGCTTGAAGAAGAAATCAAGTCTTTAAAGTTAGTGCTACAAGGCGTTTTCGATGATCTATTGAAGAATCTAAGTCGTTTTGATACAAACATGAAGCGAATATCAAATTCAAACAAAATTAGGAACATTATTACAAATAATTTCAATATATTATTTGGACTATATTGTATCTACAGGGTAGTGAACGTGTTATTTATCAAAATGCTATTAGGGTTAGTAAAAAGCAAAGCACCACACCTGAGCCAAGGTGTTGATAATGAAGATCCCGCAAGTGCTTCTTCTCCTACTAAGGATGCATTGGCGGTTACTTTATCAAAAATTGTCATGTCTTTTTTCACAGTCCCGTTTTCTGAGACCCAATTGATCAATCAAATAAGCTTCATACTCTCTGGAAGTTTATTTCTCTGCTCATTTTCAAACGTTCAGACTACTTTGAAGTCTTATGGCCGGTTTTTTCCCTCTTTGACGAAAATGCCGCTGTTTGCAAAGAACTGGTTAAAGCACGTTGCTATTTCTGAGCTTTTAAGTATCTATGTGATTTCTACAGCATTGCTAATTAGGACAAATTTGCCCTCTAACTTATCGCAGCAAATATCTAAAATTTTGTCTCTTTCAGGAAGTTCTAATTCCAATTCGGAAATCGCAATCCAAGAAGTTGCATTTATTGACAAATGGTTCGATAAGGTCTTTGCACTTGCATCTCTTTGCACTTTGATTCTGTTGACTTTAAGGGACTTCATGTCATCGAACAAGGACAATGATATAGATGAAGAGAGTCTTATCGAAGATAATCCTGCTTTCTATAAGACCGCATAAGCAAGGCTCCTACGCGCTCTGCTCCGCTCTCTAGAAGCGATCATGCTTCTCGAAATATTTTTCATTCGGAGCTCTACCGAGTTTAAACATATGGAAATCTTAAGACCCTGTTCACATGCCGATCAGCATGATACCCCGCGAAAAATTAAAAAGATATAAACGAGGCTCGAATTTGCATCCTTTGACTTTTTAATACTTTATAGATATTTAACAGCATGTCAGTTGTAACATTAAATAAAGAATCTCATAGCAATCCAGCTAAATTCAGAATAAAGTATAATGATGCTAAGGAAGTTTTGATAGATGAAATACAGAAAAAGAAACCGAGTACAGATTTACCTACTCTTAAAAGCACTTCTAACGTAGCAATAATTGGCGGTGGGTTTGCTGGTTTAGCGACAGCCATGACTTGTTTGAAGGACATTAAGGAAGAGGACTTTGTCATTTTCGAAAGGCACGATAACTTTGGTGGTACTTGGTATGCAAATACATACCCGGGATGTGCATCAGATATTCCTGCGGTATGGTATTCATTTTTTGATGAACTCAATAGTTCGTGGTCCGAATTACAACCTCCTCAGTATGAAATGGAGGCTTACATTTTAAAAGTTGTGGAGAAACACAAATTAAGGGACCACGGCAGATTTCAAATCTCAATCAATAAAAGCGAATATGATGATAAGAATGGAACATGGAAATTAACGGGCGTGCATGTGAAGACAGGTCAACGTATCGAGCATACGTGTAAGGTTCTTGTTCTGTGTAGAGGCGGGTTAGTTCACCCTCGCCACCTCAATTCACCTGGCCTTGACAAGTTCGAAGGAACATATATGCACTCTGCAGTTTGGAATCATGACGTTTCGTTCAAAGGAAAAGATGTTGTTGTTGTAGGAAATGGATGCTCGGCGAATCAAGTTATTCCATCTTTACTTGAAAGCTATGAGCCTAATTCGATTACTCAAATATTTAGATCGAAGCATTACATTATGCCACCAATTCCCAAAATCATTTATTACTTTTATAAACTATTATCGTTTTCTCGATTGGGACTTATTATTTGCAGCTTTCTTATAGCAGCGGTAGCAGAGTCCAGATTTCCTTTGTACAAAGGAGAAAGCTTTGGCGCTAGAGCCATTAGATGGATCAACACCAAAGAATCTACTAGGTACATGAAATCGAAGTGTCCCAAGCAATATCAAAGCATGCTTATGCCTGATTATAAAATCGGTTGCAAAAGGTTGGTTTTTGACAAAAAATATGTACCGTCTCTTCATGATCCTAGGTTGCATCTCAGCAACGAGCTAATAGATCACATCCAAAAGAACTACGTGGTTTTAAAAAATGGTCAAAGGATCAAAGCTGATATCATCGTAGCATGCACTGGTTATGACCTTGAAAAGCATATAGCGAATGATGTCGTCATAGGAAGAAATGGTACCGACGTGGTTAATATGTGGAACAAGGAAGGTGCAACTGCCTATGAGACTGTACTTATAAAAGATTGCCCCAATCTTTTTGTCATTGGTGGCCCTAATTCCGCCAGTGGACATTCTTCAGTTGTCTTAGCAATAGAGAATGGATGTACTTTCTTTGGTAAGGTTGCTTCAAAAGTCCTTTCGGGCCAGTACAAATCGATATCAGTGAAGCCAGAAATATACTACGAATGGTTCCGCAATACTCAAGCAGAATTAAAGAAGTCTGTTTTTGGAACAGAATTTGGGGGATGCGTTCCTTGGTACTCTTCGAAGGGTGTCAATTCAACAGCATATCCTTATTCTCAGATTACTTACTGGTGGAGGATGAGTCACCCCAAATGGAAAGATTTGCAGGTAGAACCGAACTCAAAATCAAACTGAGAAAATATTAGCTTACAGTAAATAACACTTTATAGAGTTATTATATAGTATACATATATTAATTAGTTTATCTTGAAAATTTTTCTGAGAATGTAAGTGGTGCTTAATGACGTATTCTCTAATCATTGCTAGTGATTGAAGACTCATTCACTTGACAGACATATGATGTGGATCAAAAGTAGATGCTCGAGGGTTTAAGAGAAAAAGCTACAATACGTATTTTTCCATATTTTGAATTCAAGCAAATATCAGGACTAGGCAGATATCGATAATGAGAATTAAAGAAAAAGTATGAAGCTGGCTAGCAGAGTTCTTTTCCCTCGCTGCTTTGAAGTCAGAACATTATGTAAGTCCTAAAAGCTTTATGACAGTTCTCAAGAAGTCGATGGAGCATATAAGAGAACCTAAATAGGGATAATTGAATATCAAGAGAAATTTGGCAAATATAGTTGCAACTATATTATTGATATGCAGTAGAACTTAAAAAATATTGTCGTGTACTTCCCGCTTACGGAAACCATTTTTTTTTCGATGAAACTGACTCACTACACCCTCTTCATATTTAATCAAGTTTCATAGATCTCTTGAGACGTATTATAAAAAGATCGCAACGATACTTTCAAATATTGTAAAGAGGAATAGATCTCTTATTTTAGCTGCCAATATGTCTACAAGGTCTGCTGTTCCATTTTCTAGGGATGCATTAGAGCAGGTCTTAAAAAGAAGATTCTTTTTTGCACCAGCTTTTGATATATACGGTGGTGTATCTGGATTATATGATTATGGTCCACCAGGATGTGCTTTGCAAGCAAATATAGTTGATACATGGAGGAAACATTTTATTTTGGAAGAAGACATGTTAGAGGTAGACTGCACAATGCTTACTCCACACGAGGTCTTAAAGACATCGGGCCATGTTGATAAGTTTGCGGATTGGATGTGCAGGGACTTGAAAACGGGTGAAATATTTAGAGCTGATCACTTGGTGGAAGAGGTATTGGAGTCGAGGTTAAAAGGAGACAAGGCAGCAAGAGGTCAGTCAGTCGAGGAAAAAGAGGATGAAGAAAAGAAGAAGAGAAAAAAAAAGGTTAAGGAGATAAAAACTGTTAAGTTGGATGATGTAGTCGTTAAGGAGTATGAAAATATTTTAGCACAAATTGATGGTTTCTCAGGGCCACAATTAGGAGAATTGATGAAAAAATATGATATCACTAATCCAGCAACTGGGGGTCCTTTGGAACCACCCGTGGAGTTTAATTTGATGTTTGAGACTGCTATTGGGCCTTCCGGTCAATTAAAGGGATACTTGAGGCCAGAGACTGCTCAGGGCCAGTTTCTCAATTTTTCTAAGTTGTTGGACTTCAACAACGAGAAAATGCCATTCGCCTCCGCTTCAATCGGTAAATCATTTAGGAATGAAATTTCTCCCAGAGCTGGCTTATTAAGAGTACGTGAGTTCTTGATGGCTGAAATTGAGCACTACGTTGATCCTGAAGACAAGACACACTCTAAATTCGACGATATTAAGGACATCAAGTTGAAATTCTTACCTAAAAACGTTCAAGAATCGGGTTCTAACGAATTGGTTGAAATGACAGTGGGTGAAGCTGTTAGAACGGGAATGGTCGACAATGAAACTTTAGGTTACTTTATCGCTAGGATTTACTTATTCCTTGTAAAAATCGGTGTGGATTCGAACAGATTGAGGTTCAGGCAACATTTGGCAAACGAAATGGCACATTATGCTGCTGACTGTTGGGATGCCGAATTGCAAACATCATATGGTTGGATTGAATGTGTCGGTTGTGCCGACAGATCCGCTTATGACTTGTCTGTCCATTCTGCTAAAACTAATGAAAAATTAGTTGTTAGGCAGGCTTTGGATGAACCCAGGACAGTAGAGAAGTATGAGGTCAACATTGCTAAAAAGAAATTTGGCCCAAGGTTCAGAAAGGATGCTGGCGCCGTCGAGAAATGGTTATTAAGCAGAACTCAATGCGAATTAGAAGATTTAGCCTCCGAGTTGAACAATAAAGGAAAAATAGCGTTCAAAGTCGAATCAATGACAGAAAAGGTTGAGTTGGATACTGAGTTTGTGACTATCGAAAAGGTCAAAAGAACGGAACACATACGCGAATTCACACCTAATGTGATTGAACCATCTTTTGGTATTGGGCGTATACTCTATTCCATTTTCGAACATCAGTTTTGGTCAAGACCAGAAGACAAAGATAGATCAGTCTTATCTCTTCCACCTCTTGTCGCTCCAACGAAGGTATTGTTAGTTCCATTATCCTCTAATGCAGAATTGCAGCCAATTGTTAAGAAAGTTTCTTCCTTATTAAGAAAAGAACAAATTCCTTTTAAAGTGGATGACTCTTCCGCTTCTATTGGTAAAAGGTATTCTAGAAATGATGAACTAGGAACACCATTTGGTATCACCATCGATTTTGATTCTATTAATGATCATTCTGTCACTTTGAGAGAGAGAGACTCTACAAAGCAAGTGCGTGGGTCTGTTGATGAAGTTATCAAATCTATTAAGCTCCTTATCGGCGACACCGTTACATGGTCTGAAGGAACTTCAAGCCTCACTCCATTCGAGTCTCAAAGTTCATGATTTCTAACCTATAATCCATCATATCTTTTATACATATCAAATATACACTGCTAATACAACATTCAAGTAGTTTTTCTTTTGTCCTTTCCTTTGTTTATTCTTCTAGTTTGATCAGTATGACTACTTTACGATCTCCTTTTATTTTTAAGCAAAAATTTAAAGTTGGAGCTATATGTCCAAATATAATAATCATGATGGTAAATTTCTTATTCGATGAACTTTTTATTAGTATATATGCAACGGTGTTTGTTATGATTTGTCTTGAAAAATCAAACATTGAAATCTGTGGAGAAGCATCTTTCTTGTGTGTAAAAGCAGCAGGTGGTACGTTTGTCAACACAATTGCATAATATAATGGAGCTGTAAGACAGAAGACATACAATGATAGTAGGGATATCTGATATACAGTGTCCATTTTTGCAGAATCTAGCATTATACACTTGAAGAAGAAGCAATGCAGGTTACATTTTAAAAATATTGGTGTTGCAAAAACGCTCCATTGAGGCTTTTTATAAAGGACCGCCTAATTTTTTTGTTTGTGAGACAACAGTCAGGTGACTGTTGCAAAAAGCTATTACACATTAGATGACTATATAAAATGTAGAAGAACCAGAAGGTTCAATAGCTAGAGAAAGTAGTTAAGTATAACGTGCTTAGTAGTACCACCAGGTATTCACGTAGTGATTCTATATAAGTACACTTAGCTCATAATTGGTAGCGTTGCAAACAAAACAATACTATAACTAGTATGGAAACTGATCAGATTTTAGCGGAAGTGAATAGGCTAAGTTACGATGGTAACGGCATCGAAGATGCCATACGCTTTATTAGGACTCACGAGAGAGTCTATAATGGGTTGAAGTCGTTTGGAAATAGTAACTGGAGTAAGGCCTACGTAAATATATTCTTGGGTGGTCTTGTAAAACAAGCGGCAGACTGGAAAAACGACAAGTTTTTGACAGTGATGGTCGCAACGACAGAAGAATGGTTTAAGTTTTTTAGGGATGAATTCATTCCCCTGACGTATGATAGGACTCTCTATAAAAGATTACAGAGTCTTAAAGAAAACGGAAAGACCAGGAACTACTGTGATAAATTCAGACAAATAGAGTATCTTATTGAAGATAAACAAGACTGGTACCTAGACAAGCTTTTTGAAGAAGGTCTAAGTACAAACTCTCGTGATCTGTGTATCACTCGGGGAGTTCAAACGAGGTCTGAATGTATAGAGTTCCTAAAGAAGCTTAGAAACCGGGAAGACATACCGGCACCAGTAGAAAGAATTGCAGAGAACAGAGGAACTAAGAGGAAAAGTTCGTTCGCAAATGCATACAAAGAAAGATCTGATAGTATTAAGTGTTACGGCTGTGGCAATAGTGGCCACTACAAGAGGAATTGTCCGGAAAGAAGGCAATGGGAACACTAAAGTCCGCAAGAGACGTTAAACTACGAACAGTGCCCATATATGAACCAGACCCAGTGAAAGAAGGGAAGTCACCCAAAAATGAAGGTTTGAGATGGTTCGACGAGTTTGAGGAGCTTAATGGGAAAGTTAC